TGTGCGTTCATGTCATCGCTCTCAATCCGATAGCGGTAGCACAAGGACGTGCGTGTTAGCACACAGATGGTGAAGCATGTTGCGGTGGAGAGAGCCATCGCCGAGGTCTGGGAATAGCAGGCAGCGTCGACCTGTGCAGCTTCTATGCTATTTGTGATACTGTCCCCTTTGGCGCACTTATCACTGGGTCAGAGAACAATGCTTTCCACAGGCGACGTGGTCAGCTTCCTACTGCTCTTTCTAGCCTTCACACGGACGGCAGAGTATCGATCGTGCAAGCAGCCTGGAGGCTTGACACACATGTCTCTTGTCACAGACATCGCACCTTGCTTGCCTGTTGTTGTCTGTCTGCGCATCCAATGGGATGTAATGACCCTCTCGCCTGTGATGCAGGTGCACCTCCTGCCCAACTTTTTTGTACCGGTTCTCATGCTGTGCAAAGTCAGCGACTTTGTGTTCGAAGAAGCATTCAATCAGCGAGCGTCGCCGAGGCGCCTGAACATGATGTTCAGCCGATCTTTCTCCGAACGCGACGGTACTGCTTTCCCAAGGAGAGTGTCTCCCGCCACCGGCCCCCCTGAGCCGTCATGACTCTCACCCACGTTCGATTTCCCAAGATACCACCCTCACTTTAGTAGAAGGGCGACTCGAAACTTCCTCGCTGTCGAGCTTCTCGCAAGTCCTTCAGAGCGCGTTCGTCGACAGCTTCTCGCAAGTCGTTCAGAGCGCGTTCGCATTTTGGTTTGCTGGGTGCGGCGAAGGCCTGCTCCCGCCGGCACCCGGCGTCGCCGGTGATTGTGCTGAGCCAGTAGTGGGGGAAACGGCCCGGCGTGGCGGTTCGCATGCGCGTGTGCGTGAAATTGTTCAAGCGACGTATCGGTGTCAAGGTCCGTGCAGCAGGAAACGTCCAGCTATGTTGCCCACTCATCTCGCTCGTCTATCTCGCTCATAGGCAGGCAGATGAAAGATCATGGTACACAGACGGGCCAGCAATGGCCGTCGCAGAATGTTGGGCGGGCGAATTCTTTCCTTCCTGTCCATCCTTCATCGCACCTCCGCATCCACTGAGAGTGAAGCATCAGCATGACGGCCGCCACTGGTACAGCTATCGTATCGCCAACCATTGAGTCTACTACCATTCGAGGGAAGCCCCAGTCGCGGATGGCTTCGACCTGGCACCTTCGACCCCGCTCAGAATGGAACTTCTTCCAGCGCACGTTGGTGGACATGCATGCGCAAGCCTTAAGCAACACCGCTGATGAGAGTACGACTAAAGGCGATGGAGCAAGTGCCTTAAGTACGGGAAGCTCAGGAGATGGGCCGACCGCATTAGCAGGAGAGGCACCTGGTGCGAAGGCTGAGTTTCCACCAGTATTCGAGCACTCAGACCCTGTGCCAGTCTACTCAGTTCTGTCGCAGCATCGGTGGGTCTTTCCCCGAGCGATCGCACCTCTGCTGGCCAATTGGCTCTTCAGCAGGGGCACGGGTAAATGCCTGCCCAACTGGCTTGCCGGCGGAATGTACCTTATCTACTTCCTTTGGTACGGCTCGGATCTATTTGGACATCTGCAACGCATGACGCATGCCTACGGCTTCTTTGACGGGCACAAGCCTCGCGATGGCATCCCTGACATTGAAGTGGCCCACGTCACGCTCAGCCTTCTAGCAGTCATCGCTCTGCGAGTGACGTTTGCTTTCTCTATGCTCTACGGGCAGACGGCGGAACAGCAGGCCACGATGCTCAACTGGAAGTGGGCGGCGATGTTGCCCTTGAATGCCTTCGTGTACGCGTGCGCGATCGACTTCTGGTTCTACTGGTGAGTGGCGGAGGTGCTAGTGTATCACACATTCTCCCATGACGAGCAAGGCACTAATGAAGTTCGAGACGCATTTCGAGCCTAGGTATCACCGTCTCATGCACGAGGTACCTTTTCTATGGCAATTTCACCGCAAGCACCATACCACAAAGGTGAGAGAGGCCAAATCATCAAGGTCCGTATACCTGTGGCTGATCTTCTTGCCAAACCTACCCACTACCTTCACTCATTGAAGCATCCTATAGCCGCCTTAGGCTCTTTCGCCGACATCGAGCAAGAGCTCTTTGATATGCTCTTGATCCCTCTGGCTGCGTATCTCGTGTGGCCAATCGATTTCCCGACATGGTGGGTGTCGACCACCTATACGCTGTACATCGAGGCGGCAGGTCATTCGGGATTGCGAGCTCACTTCTCGAACCCAGTCACGTCACCCTATCTTGGTTGGATCGGCTGCGCCCTCGTCATCGAGGACCATGACCTTCACCACCGCAAAGGGTGGAAGCGTGCCACCAACTATGGAAAACAGACCCTTCTATGGGATACACTGTTTGGGTCAAAGGGCGAGAGGATCGAGGGAGTAGAGGGGAACGTAGATTGGAATCAGAGGCTCAAGCTCTTGTGAAGCAGTGCGTACAGTCGTCGGATGGTGACATCGTGGGGAAAATATATCATGCTAGAGACGGAACAGAATGATCGCGTAGAGTTCAGCCGATCGTCGTTCTAGCCGATCTGGCCATGGAGATGTGATAGCAATCAGCATCAGCTGTGTTCCAGTTCGATAGATCATCTAAGCCTGGTAGGAGTAAACAATGTAGAGCACGTAGGCAGTCGAAATGAGCGCGCAGCCGATGGTCATACCCGCGATGGTCCAAGACTTCTTCGCGGCGAGGAGCCCTTGCTTCTCATGGCCTTCCCCTTGCTGCCTCTCTTGCTCAATCCTCTTTCGTTCCGAGAGGAAGAGGACAGACGACAGGTAGCGACGGTCGATGTAGTGGTAAAAGCATCCGAAGAGGATATCTACCGCCTTGAGTGCGATGAGGAAAGCGAAAACTCGCGAGTAGCCTCCATCGGGGGTTCCATCCTGAATGGCACCGACGCTGATGTCGACAATGGTGGATCCCGCGCTGTTGAACGCCTTCCAAATTCCAAAAGCCGTTCCAATTGATGCTTGATTTGGAACCAGAAGGGGTATGGCGGCAATGAAAGGAATTGCGTTGGCAGATAGAGCGAAAGAACCTAGTAGGACAGGTACCAGAGGATGCACCGACGAGTAAGCCAGAAGCGCAAAGACGACAACCCAGAGAGCAGCGATGGCCGCGACGACGTGCATTCTTCTTCCAAAGCGGTCGAAGCCTAGTCCGACGAGAGGTGTCAATACAATAGGCATGATCTGGCTAAGGCTCGAAGTATAGCCCGCAGTCAGACGTGTGGTATGTCGAGTCTTCTCAATCGCGTCCGCCGAATTGGAAGTGTAGCCGAGGATGGCACCGGCTTGCAATAGCTGAGAAAGAGCCACGAGCCAGAAGCCAGCAGGAATGGTCCAGAAGCTCTGAGAGAGGTAGACGAGGCGAGTGCGGACGAAGGAGACTACGCCAGCGTCACTCTTACCAGAGGTACTCCTTTCTGAGCCATCGCGGTTGAGGCCTCGAGCTTCACGGGCACGGGCAACCTGTCTGCCGGTAGGAACCTGAGCTGTGGCTGGCATAGCCTTCTCAATGCAAACGTAGAGAATGTTGATGACCAGCGTAATGGCAGTCATGATCGCTCCGAGCCAGAACGAGAAGTACCAGCGGCCAGTGTTTTCGCCAATAGGGACCGCAGTCTGTCCTCCCATGAGATTGAACACTCGACCCATGGCGATGTCCAGACCAAAGACAAAGCCCATGAGGGCCATAGACGCGTTGCCATCCTTGGTGCCTCGGAACCAGTGAGTGTAGAGCTTGGATTGTGCAGTCTCGATGGAGGTAGATCCGAAGCCCATGATGATCTCGCCTGCGAGCAGACTGCGTGAAGTGGGCCCGACAGCAGAAGTCAGCCGGACAGCTCGTACGGAATGATGTTTATAGCCTCTTCACTCACATGCCGAAAGAGGCCTTCTGCCCACCCACGCCCACGACAATAGACCCGAGGAGGATGAAGATGGAGCAAATGACGGAAGCATAGGTAGGTCCGTAGTAGTCGATGATGATGCCAGAAAGGATTGGCAGCACCGCATTGATGAGACTGGCCGATGACGAGATAGCCCCGTACCTAGCGTTCGTCACACCTGGCACTTCAGCCCTGATGGTTGATTTCAAAGGGGCTAAGGAGGCGCCGCAGAAGTTCGATCCCACTGACAAGCGCAAAGGCATGTTACGCTGTTCAGTAAAGGATCGTGTACGGGAAGTAGTGCGTTCCAGGGCTACTCACTGGATAGGAAGATAACGCAGAGCAAGGCGGCCAATTTCCACTTCCAAGAGACAGCGGCCAAACCGTTCATGGGAGCATCGTCCTCGTGCACAATGGACCCTCCCTTGTCCTCTTTGCCAGTATCAGCGGCGACCAATACGGCCGGATCCAGATTCTTCTCCTCGGAGGAGCCTTTCTCTTGGTCATCTTTGCTGGTGTTAGAGGATTGAAGGGACGCCGGACGTCCTTCGGCTGGCAGGATGTGGACAGAAGCGGACATGTCGCTTAGAAGGAGGAGGAGGAGGAGGAAGAGGATAGGGAGTGAGATCGAGGAGGAGGAGGTCTGGCTTTCTGAGAGGGAGGCCGATCATGTTGCTTTCCCTCTTCATATACCCTGCTTCTGACTCTGCCAAAGGTCGCCTCTCAGTTCGTTTGAAGCCGACATGGTGCTCTCCCTTGCCCGGGTACCCCACGCGTGGCCGATCGAAAATTTGTGCCATCGCTTGCGCTACCTGCCGAAGGGTCTCGAGGAGGTAAGAGAAGGTGCGGTACGGGCCCCTGCCGGATTTTCCGTGTCCCTGAGGTCCCCTTGCAATGCATCTTGACAGGTGCCAGAGCGAGCTGTCTTGTCCCTGCAGACGCTCTGGTGCTTGGCACCGTGGTCGTTGGCGATGAGTAGAAGAGGCTGCTGTGGTGAGGAGCGAGGATGCACCATCCGGGCCATTAGCAACCACCATGCAGCGCGTCTCGCCCGAGAGGCCGCACACGCGCAGCGAGAACCGTTCGGATTGCCTGCCAAGGAAAGAGGATATTTTTGAAGGGCCACGTGGTGAGACTGTTATCTGATTGGGCTGTGAAAACCCTCCGCGGGATCGATGCCGCTCTCCGCCGACGCTGCTCTATCGAGGTCCTGTAAAGCAAGCAGAGCCCAAGAAAGCCAGGACTTTACCCAGCGAGCAAGTTCTGACTTTCGGCGATCCGAAAAGATTAGCCGCAAGAAAATACTGCGAAGGTGCTCAACCCTATTGTCTCACATAGGTCGCTGTTGTCACGCTCACGCAGGTACACGAGCCGGAAGTTTGCAGAACGTCTCAGTGAGTGATATTATTTTCATCGTACTTTGATGTAGTACTACAGATGTACTGGCATGCTCGAGAACTTAAGTCCCGTTCCCCCAGCCTCGATGTATGAGAGGGCGTTGCATATATCAACGGAATAACGTCCGCGGTGTGAAAGAGGACTTGGCTCCTTATCAGTACCTCAGTATGAGTATCCTCCATCTGGAGGTCCGCTACTCCTTCTACCTCTCTCTTTTGAGGCTGTACCTGCGAGACCGGGTGATCTGCCCTTCGTACCCAATAGACCTGTTAACCCGGCAGTAGATAATTATGTGCGAAGGACGCTGGCAACGCGAGCCCCGATCGGCAATACTGGACGACCTCCTCTCTTTCTTCTTCGTCCAGAGCGGCAAACTCCATCAGAGCAGTGGCTTGAACCAACGACTCTGTTCGGCGGCTCAACGTTGCTGCTAAGGAGGCTGGACGATGCGTCTTTAGCCAGCAGTTGCCGAACCAAGATTCGACGGACACGTTCCATCGACCGTAGTCGAACTGCCGAAGAGAGGTGGGCCATTGTACGGAGAAGCCATGACTGATGGGCAAATCATGGACAAGATGGGCGACTTTTGTGACTCGAAGCGGATCTCGGCTTGTACAAGTTGCCGCGGCCCATCGAAGCGGAAGTCCAGTCACCCGACATCTGTCCAACTGACCCAGAAAAGCGAGCCGGACCCAAGCAAGGTACAACGTACCTGCGCTGCGTGCATGCCTGGCGGCATCGTTCAAGAAGCCTGGTGGTGGGGCGCACGAATGAGGATCTTGCGGGGGCGGTCGAGGTGCTTGCTTCAGTGCATCGCACAGGTCACTCAGGTCATTTGCCTGACGTGCGTCCCGGGGCGTCGTTTGGTCACTCCAGTCGGGAGGGACGAACGGCAAGCGCGTAAGTACACAGCCGTCCCGCAGTGGCAGAGGTGCCACGCCCAATTCTTGAGCGATTTCCGCCGCGATGCTGGCAAGATTGCGGACTGTCACTTCCCAGTCCGGTGCGATCAGCGCCCGATCGTGGGGCAGCGGGGCGTCTGCAACCTCATCAGGCCTTTCGTCCACTTCTTGCTGGCCGTCGTCGTGCTCATGAATCTCCTCTGCGGCTCGGCCATCGGGCTCCGGCGCTTGTGCCCGCTCAAGATCGACAGCAGCCAGAATGGCGCCTGCAGGGGTCTCTTCCGCTCCTTCCCGGCGAAAGTCTGCGAGTAGCCGGCGGCATTCGGCGGAGATCTTTTCCTGGAGATTGGTCCGACTGGTCGTCGGGAAGTGGGCATCAAGTTCTCCTTGCTGTCTCCAGGCCTCGCGAATAGCTTCTTGACGAGCGACCGCGATGTCGTACTTGTTCCCGGCGCCACTGTAGGCACCCGGGTCTTCGACCGCCACTGCGAGGGCTGCCTGTACTTCAGCCAAGAGCGCATCAGCCAGGGCGTCGCCCAAGGCTGGACGAAACGCGAGGTTGACAATCATAGCATACTCGAGACAGTCTGCTTGGCGTGCCGAGAACGCGTTGAAGCGTGTCAGATTCCGCGCCAAGTCCGTCACGCGCACGTTGGTGACGATGTGGGCGGCGATCTGTCTGGCATCATTGACCTCGTAAGTGAGGATCACTGTAAGCGTTCAAGACTTGATGTTTCGCTTCCGGCCGTGCCAGCAGAAAGTGTCCGTGAAGATACTATGTAACAGGCGCCATGAAATGCATCGACCTTACAGGTGTCATGGTGAATGTCGGCTGGCGCGCTAGGGACATAGCACTGAGCCATTGATGTGTTGTTGCTCGAGGGAGATAAGTACTCGAGCTCCTGAGATAGTGCTGGTTCCGAGAGGGGATCGGCGTGGCAGCGTGATCTGGGCGACGAGTGGCTTGAGATCCTGCACCGGCAGCTGCAACTGGCGAGGTGTGAGTGCTGTCGAAAGGCGGAGCGCCATAGACAAGTTCCCACGCCTCATATCCCGAGCAAGTTGACTGACTGCCTACGGTGAAGATGAAAGTACAAGATGCAACGTGTCAGAGACCTTCTCTCCATCGTCATTGCACCACTCTGACTAATCTCACCTTGCACATTGCATGACGCATGGAGAAGCTTCTTCCCACTGGGGCGGGTATCAAAGGGAGAAGATAGTGGTCGATGCTGAGTAGAGGAATGTGGATCAGTAGCAAGGTGAGGCCTTGAAAGGGCTGCTTATCTCGTCTCGTTGTAGCTGACTCCTGGGTGGCCTTTTGTACCTGAGGCGTCAGCACCGCCTTTGTGCTTGTGGCCATCGACTTTGCTCTGGTCCCTATTGCTCTGGTCCCTATTGCTCTGGTCCCTATTGCTCTGGTCCCTATTGCTCTAGTCCCTATGGCTCTGGTTCCTGTTGCGCCGGAATTTTATTCCTTCGGCGCTTAATGCTCTGGTGCCTGTGACTCGGTGATCTTTGCATCAACGCTTGCCATTGCTCTATTCTCGATCGTCACACCCACTCTTGCGGCTAAGACGAGCTCAGCCGTAGGAAGTGGTCTTGACGATGAAGATCTCGCCGCCTACACCGAGGCCGTATTTCCGCATCGGAGCGGTCTTCCGAACGGTAATTTGCTCGAGCTCATCGACCTACATTCACACTGACAGAGCAAAACTTTGGTCTTCGATAGCTAGAACAGTACAACTGGCTACTTGCGGCCCTTCTTAGATCGACCGTCACCTCCCCCTCGAGCGTCCTTTCGTTTCTTCCCAGCGCCATTCGCCCCACTGCCAGTCCGCTCCCGGTGACCCCCACTCTCTTCACCTGCTTTCCTCACACTCACGACCGTACTGAGCCTCTTGATTTCTTCCTCGCTCCGACCTTCTTCACGGGCGCGCTGGAGTGCTCTGACTCGGGCTTCGGCTTCCTCCCACCCTCCAGCAGGGAGAGAAGAGACGTCAAATGCCGATAGATCGGACGCGTCTAGCCCTGCTGCTGCTGGCGGGGCCGAAGCAGGAAGCAGGGATGCCGAAGCAGCCGTGAGGTCCATGTCTTCGTCTTCCTCGTCGTCCTCGTCCTCTGCCTCTATCGCGGTGAGAGGTCGAGCTTGCTGCTCGGCAGCTTTCCTCCTGATACTCTCTTGTCTGCCAGCCTCTTCCAGCTCCTCCTCAATACTCATACCGATCTTCCTGCCAAGCTTGTTTGATGCAGGCGCAGCGCGTCTTGCCGCTTCTTGCTCCAGTATAACGCCCTGACCTACTTCTCTCCTCTCAACCCTGCGCAGGCAGAGGAGAATGCGACGCACCCCCTTGGCTAGCAGTGCTACTCCTTGCTGTACGGGCAGGCCAAATTCGGCACCAGCTACGTCCGATGGATCCTTACGCTGCAGACCAATGGAAAGGAGCAACGCCGCCTGCAGTGCTGAGAGCTTGAGGATAGGCAGCTCTGCTTCTGGCTGCGATGGCACGCCTGCTGCACCAGAAGCATCTCCATCCTCATCGCTGGAGCGGATCCTGCCTGCAAAATAGAGGGATGCAAGAGGTGGGAAGAGATCCAATACGACCGAGTAGTCCAGCATGTTGTTCCCGAATGCCTCGAGCCGCTTGAGGTCAAACGGAGTGAGCAAGTGGTGGATTTCTTGAGCGGTCAGAATGTCATTCTCGTCCGCCTCTGCGGTGGCCGTGGCACGAACACCAGAAGTGGCGGCTTCGAGGATACTTAACGCTGAGCTAGCAGCAAAGTCCCTGAATCTGAAGCTGAGAAGGCTATTGAAACGTCTGCGGAAGTCCTTTGCGAATTCGCCAAGCCAGGCAAGGTCACCTGAGCCTGATGCAGAAGGGGTGAGACCACGCAACATGACCGTAGTGTACTCTCCCGTCAGGTCATTCGCGGTCTGACGAATGTAGAGGGGTGTATAGCCATTCTTCTTCCAGAATCTGAACAGCGGCGGCGTGAGGCCAAATGAGACACCCAGCCAGTCGATCTGCTCCGGCCTGCGGTCTGAGAGGCGCTGTAGCAGAGCAGGCATACGGGCGGCATCGCGGAGAGCAATGGTCTCGGACTGTAGGCTGTCCCCACCAGCAGTCTTCGAAGACCTAGCAGCGATGGCAGAGAAGCTTTCTTCGCCACTTGAAAGCGCCTTCGCTTCCCGCTCGGCGATGGCGTCTTCGTCTGCCAGTTCACCAGCAAAGTAGCTCCTCAGACACTCGATCGCTCTGCTGCCGTATCCGCTTTGAGCATATTGTGGATTGACTGCCAGGCGTACCACGCGTACTCCGTTGAGAGACGCAAAGTCAAAGTCTTGGAACTGCTGCGACAGCGTCCATGGGATGAGGTCGCCGGACGAGCGCTCTCCTCGAGACAGAGAGGAGAGGACAGACTGCCGAGCAATGTTACCCTCTAGGGAAACCTGCAAGACCGCAAGAGGTTCGGGAAGTCCACCTCCTTCAGAAGGAGGACCCAAGAGGACAAAGAGCCTATGCGAAGGAGCATCTGACATCAACTGCAGATCATTCGGAGAGTTCTTGTAGTGGCTCGAGACATAGAGCGCCATCATCTTCTGCAGGAAGAGCTCCGAGGCTGGGTGGTAGGAGAAGAGGGCATCGCGGTTGACCAAGAAGAGATCGCATTTGGAAGGATGTGGAGAGGTAGGCGGTCTTTTGGACGATGTACTTGCCAGCGAAGCATCAAGGCAGAGCAGCTGATTAAGCCACGATTCAATGTTGTCCCCCCGGGAGTACCTGATGGGCTCGTTCAAGGTGATCTCCTTGAGCGTACGCAGTGTAGTCGCACTGTTTGAAGGGGGCGCAGAAGAGTCAAGGCCCTTCTTACTCGTACTTGCGACAGTCAGTGCCTCCTCGTCATCCTGTCCAGCCTTGATGGCTTGGCCTTTGCTTGCGCTCTCTCTGAGCTGCTGAATGAGCTTGAGGGAAAGGCTCCTACCTGTTCCTTCGTACCCATTGATCGTACTGCTGAGGAAGACAAGGTAAGGTCCGATCAATTTCCTCACCAATGGCAGGGGGATGGCAGCAGCTTCATCGATCACGACGAGCTCAGCTTGCCCGAGGACGTGCGAATCCGCAGGGTCGATGTATTGGATGGTCTGTCTCGAATTGCGGAACACATTGACCCTCACGACAACGTCCTTCCATTCTCCTGTGCCTCGCTGTAGAGACCAGTCAGAAACTTCCTCGTACCCAAGAACATCGAGACCTTTGAACAAGAACTCGAAGAGGGTCTTGAGGTTCTCTGGAGAGGGAGAAGTAACGAAGATGTTCGAGTAGCCGTGAGCAATCGAAGCCGCCATGGCTAGGCCGAGCAAAGCTGATTTTCCCCTGCCGCGAGCAGCAGTGAGGGAGACGGTAGATGACAAAGAAGATGACGATAGGATATCAAGGATCGTCAAGAGCGATTTGGCCTGGTCGAGCGTCTTGCAAGACTTGACGAGCTCAGTGACGCCAACGCCTTCCTCTCCGACTTCCTCCTTCAGCTTCGTCAACGCAACAGTGTCTGGGTTGGAGGTCGAAGGCAGATCCTCGCCTGCTTTGATGTCCTTGCCTCGGCTGAGAGGAAGCACGTTGAGCTCGTCATCGAGGAAGAGAGTATCCGGATTTGCGCCTAGAGAGAGCAGGAAGCGCTCATTGAAGCGTGCCACTGGCTCTGATGGGTCCATTGTCGAGCGATACTTGGAGTGGACATCCATACCAACAGAGTATAGCTGACGCAGACTGCTCATCGTTCTTAGCATCAATACGACAATTCCACCACCTTCTACAGTCTCGATTGTCCTGGCGAGCATGTTGGGCGTCATGGCCTCAAAGTCTTGCAGGATGAGCATGCCGAACGTCCTTCCTAGAATCTTGGGGGTGTCCTTGTAGTAGCAATACCTGATGTCGGTAGTCCCCACAAAGAGCTCAAAGGGATCTTGACTGTCACCCTTTTCCCTGATGCCCCTCTTGATATCCCTCTTGATCTTGGCTTCGCGCTTCTTCCTGTGAGTGGTGAAACCTAGGTCCTTCTTGTAACACCACAGCACATTCGGACGAGCAGTATGACGAGCTTGTGAGAGGAGGAGATGCAAGTTGATGACCTGGTCGCGAGCTCGATCACCGACCAAGACGAAGAAGGAGCGATGGTGCGTGGCCACATTGGTGCGGATCAGCGTCTGGATCCGCGGATCCAGCTGCTTCCTCATGGCGGCGGCTCTAGGACGAGGAGAGCGTGGAAGCAGAAGGTTGCGCGAGCACAGAGGCTAATGGCCGTACGAGCTCGACCTTGCGGGAATGTCAGAAGTGATGAGGAATAGGGAGCAGGCAAGCAGAAGGGAGGAGTGGCAGGTGTGAATGCTACCTAGAAGCGCAAGTAGGACGTCGGCGTCAGGAAGAACGGAAAGCGGGCCTCGTCAAAATTTTGGCACCGCGATGGCCAGGCAGAAGCCCAGAGGCGCGACGCCCCACGCCTGAATGCACCGTACGCACTGAGCGCATCCTTCTCACTGCCTTGATCAGAGACTATGGAGGAAATCTTTACATTTCCCAGGCTATGTAAAATCACAAAAGTACTAAATGCTACCCCTTCCGTAGCATACATCTCTGACGAGTCTTTTCACAACTTGGAGCCCAGAGTCTGCGCACCGGCTTGAAGAGCAGCCACGGCCTCGCTGACCATGTTGTCCACGATGGTCTTTGCCGGCAGCACATCCTCGATGACGGCCGCACACTTGCCCAGCAGGTACCTCTCGCGGGCACCCTGCTCCGCCGTGCCGTTCTCGTCATCATGCTCAAGATCGTGGTAGACGGGGACGATACCCTGGCTGGTGAGCTTCTTGATCTCGTCAGGCTTTGACTCCCACTTCTGCACATAGGGGGTCATCTTCACTCGAAGGGGTCGTCCGGTGAAAATGATGGTGCGGACGTCGGTCTCGTGAGTCGAGGTCAAGACGGCCTCCTTGTGCTTCCTGGGAGCGCCAGACTCCTCCGAGGCGACGAAGCGAGTGCCCACCCAGACACCGTCCGAGCCATACATGAGAGCGGCAGCGAGACCTCGGCCGTTCCAGATACCTCCAGCGGCAAGAGTGAGGACCTGCTTGCCAGTCAAGGGGCTCTTGTGGCCTCGGCAGATGTCCACCACTCGGGGTCCAAGTACACTGAGAGGTACGTCTCCGGTGTGGCCACCACCCTCACCACCTTGGTAGATGATGACGTCGCAACCTGCCTCCAAAGCCTTGGGGGCGTGCTTGGGGTGGCCAATGATGTTTGCCACTGGGATCTTGGCATCGTGGAACTTCTTGACAACCTCGGGAGGTGGGACACCAACGGCACAGCTACAAAGATGGGAAAGGCACCCGTCAGCATCGCCACCGAAAAGTCAGACATCCCTGCCCTTCCTCATAGTCTTGCCACTCACATGAACAGAGCTGCCTTCTCCTGGATAATGATGTCAACGAGCTCCATCAACTTGCCACCGGTCTGCGTTGAACACGAGAGAGAGGAAAACGTGAGTGGGGAGCATGGGATGTCTGGCTTCTGCTCGTTGAGAACTTACGTAGTCAGTGTTGGTCTTTCTAGCATTACCTCCAACTTTAGGCAGGAGGAGATCAACACCGAAAGGCGCGTTCTTGTCCTTGAGGTCAGCCTTGAGTTCCTCGATATTTTTCTTGAGCATCTTGGGAGTGTACCCGACTCCTCCAATGACTCCCAGACTGTCGAGATTCAAGAGTGCGTAAAGAGGGAAGGTAGGTGAGCAGACCGTATGCGAACATTTCACCCACGCGAGCAGCTGCTTTGGGTCGTCTCGCCACATATTCGGCAGTCTGCCTTCTTCACTCGACACTCACCCTCCAGCATTGGTGACGGCGGCGGCCAGAGCAGGTCCAGCAGCGACATTCATTCCGGCAAGGGAAATGGGGTGCTTGAGTCCAAAGAGCTCTGTGAAGGCCGTTTTGATCTTCTGCTCACCACCAGCTCCTGCGCCTGGAGCAGGTCCCTTCATCTCAGTGTCGTGGAGTGGCTCACTCATGCTGTATGTGAAAGTATTGAGACTTTGGAGGGATTATGTGTCGTGTCGCAAAGATGGGCAAGGAGGCGAAGAGCGCTTGATGGGTGAGGAAGGACAGATGGATTTACGCCGCTTCGGTAAGAGGTTGCTTAAGGCAGCCAGTCAATTGCCGAAGTGGATTGCGGGGTAGCCGGACCGGGGCGGGGTCCGGATATCTAGGCCACATGGTCGGCTGCCGGAAGCACGCACACAGCTGCCACTGCCCCAGTCTTAGAGTCGTGTGGCCAGACGGGGCCGACAGATCCGAGAGGCTGATGAGCCCCACGACGAAGCATTGAACGCAGTACTTCTCGTCTCGGTAGATGCATTCGACTGACCACTGACGAGAAGTGCTGGACCGGCGTGGGTGCATATCAATGTTGGAAGTTACCTTGGTTGTGATCCTGTGGTTCCTGCTTCCGTCCCCGGGCTTGACGCCAAGCTAGACCTTGACTCTTCTGCCTACACATCCTACAGCTTTGTCTTCCGTTCGCCTCCAAAACATTTGTGGTGACCATGGCTGGCCAGTCGCCTCCTGCAGATCTTGCCTTGCAAGTACAGCATCTCCTCGCCTCACTGCCGGGTACTCTCCCCTCGCTGTCGGAGCGCAGCTTCCCATCGGACATCGCTGGGCAGGTGGACCACACCCTTCTCGCTCCTTCTGCCACCTCCCGAGAGATCATTGCCGCTACACTCGAAGCTGTTGAGCTAGGCGCAAAGACAGTATGCGCTCCCTCTGGCTACGTACGCCTCGCCCATGAGACATTAGCTGGCGTACCTGCTGAGCGGCAGCAGGCAGGGGCCACAAAAGCACGACCTTTACCCATCTGTACGGTTGGTTTCCCCCACGGCAACGCATCCAGCTATGCCAAAGCGCAGGAGACCAAGAGAGCTGTAGAGGATGGAGCTGCCGAGATAGACATGGTTCAGAATGTTGGACTGGTGAAGGAAGGCAGGTGGGCGGACCTCTGGTCTGACATCAAGGCTGTAGTTGATGCTGCAAAGGGCAGTGACAGAAAGGTTGCCTTGAAGTGAGTGGTAGAGCGTAGTGTTCAGAGGGTTTCTCATCGAATTCGAATGACTAATGGCACAAGTCCGTCTACAGAGTCATCCTAGAGTCTGCTTCGCTCACACGCGAAGAGATTGCGGCTAGCTCCCTTGTAGCGTGTTTGGCTGGTACTGACTTCGTCAAGACGTCGACTGGTGAGTGTTGCTAATGCTCACTGGTCTCTTTCCATTAGCAGAGCTAGACATCTAAAGCCTTCCAACCCAAACTCTCCTTCCAGGCTTCTCTGCATCGGGTGGAGCTACGGCAGAAGCGGTGCGACTGATGTATCACGTAGCATCTCCTTACAATGTCTTAGTCAAGGCCTCGGGGGGAGTGCGTACATGGCCAGACCTGGTGAGGATGTGGTCCAACGGGGCAGAGCGCTTTGGATTGAGCGGGACAAGGGCAGTACTGGAAGGCAAGAAGAGGAGCGAAGAGGCCGGCGTGGTGGCAGAAGCAGGGGATGCTGCGTCCGGGGAAGCAGGCGGAGGATATTGAGTTCGAGGTGCGAGCCGTGATCTTTCTACTGGCGAGAGCTACTGCAATTATATGCACCCTCTCATCCTCGACTTCTGCTGGCTTGCAAAGACTCTAGATACATCTCTGAGAGCGTCACAAGCCTTGATGGGGTGACTTGTTCTACGTGTAGCGAAGGGGGGCACGACTCACTCCAGGGTCCATCGCAGCAACAATCACGCGTTGACATACTTCTTTCTACGCCTGATCGGTACATCGCACGCAATGACAAGGTCAAGACAGAAAAGACAAGCAAAGGATGAAAGGACGAGACAACATATCATTGCGAGAAAGAGTAGTCGAAGACAAGATGCCAGACAACATTCCACTCCCAACAGCGCCATGCCATCCCATCCTCCCTGTAATACCGGAAGCACATGATCTACCTCATGGCGTAAAGTGATGAAAAAGTTGCCCAAATCCCACCTCCCGAAGGAGGCCGGAGGGCAGGCTAAAGATTCTCTGACCGAGGCCGACAGAGCCGACTTCGCCTCTCCCCCTTCACCCGTCGTGCAATGGGGAAGGACTCGCAGAAGACCTCGAAAGGTTTCCGAGCCGCGGGGGGAAGGGCCCCTCCATGTTAGTGGAAAGAGAGGGGATCAAAAGGTCTGTGGATGGTGGAGTGTATCAAGGAGAGGACGAGGTGTCAGTGAAAGTGTTCTACTATTGGCTGCTTGCTTACACCCCCGTTGTGAGATACTGACAAGTATGAAGAAGCAAGAAAGAGGGGTTCGGGGCTCAGCGCTGCAATATATACTCGACGCCGGGGCGAAGGAGACCGCGCGCACTCAGGCACGCCCAGCCATTTCTCTCCGCTGCATGCTGGTCCGCGCTGCGCTCAACGACCTTCGAGGATACACGGATCGGCACGGCACAGTGGCCCATGCACGGCCTTCGATCAGTAGAGGAACGTCGATGATGTCTCCCCCAAGCGAACGAATAGGTGGCATGGCTAGAGCACGCCCCAATGGCTTGAGTCGGATCTCTCAGGAGGGAATTGATATGATTCATTCGCTGCGCAGTCAGAATACAATGCAGCTAGGGGTTCCCGCTAATGCTCTTTCCTACTGATAGCGGTCTCACGCGAGGATCGATCTGATTGACACTCCAAGATGTACTCGGCGGCAGATGGTATGCAAATGGCATTCTCTCGCAAGACCAGACCGAAAGGAGTCACTAAGTACATCGTACAGCTCCGGGCTACTGGCTGCTATCGTCCAGTCTACCTGCCAGGCCCAGGCCCACTGCCAGTCGAAGCGTTTGCTGCTCGCCCTTCCCACAGTCGGATACGATCCCGAGCCGTTCCGACCCCAACAGGTGCTGCTACTCTTGTCCTTGCGACCTCTTCTCCAGCATGATGTGAACCTCCCATCGAGCGCGCAGGGCCCCCGAATTGATTTGCTGCGCTGCTTGGGGGTGCAGGCATGGCTTTGTGTGCTGGAGGCACAGTGACATGAACCGCTGCTTCTTGCAGCTTCTCTCGAGGTGCTTCATTCCAATCAAAGGCCCGCTCTGCTCTGCCGTCCGCCTTGACAGGGCTCTCCGGCAACGGCACTCCGCACGCAACTGCATCTTCCTCCGTCGGCCAGGCTTCATTGAAGAAGCTCTCGCTCGAGATGCTACTAGCTACCAGGAGTGCAGTAGCATTTTGACCCAGCCAGTGGCCGCTCAGGCTGTCCTGCCCGTACGAGTTACGAGAAGGGGAGACGGGTGGATGGATGGTGCTTGCTGCTGGTCTGGCAGGGGAAGGTATTGTGATTGAGGGCTTTGCTGGGCTTCTTGAGGGCGCTGAGCCGGTCTTCGGCTGAACCTGATCATTCGGTAGACGGTTTGACAGCTTCGGTGGTGATGATGGCAAGTACGCAGAGGCAGCGGAAGAGCAAGGCGGGCTTGACAGAGCAGCTCGCGCCTTCGTCGGCGAAGCCGGCCTTGATGCCGCGTCTTGGCGATGCTTCGCAGGCAGTGTCGGCTTATCGGACAAACGTAACGATGCTTTTACCGGCGAGGCAGGTCGTGAGCCTCTGTTCTCCTCCCGCTTCTGAGACTCCATGCTCCTGAAGTCTAGACCCAAGCGCCCATCATCGGTCTCAACAGCGTTTCGCAGCTGCAATCTCTTCTCACACCAGCTCTGCACATCACCGCTAAGTCTGTAGCCTGATTGCGTGGCCAGATGAATGTAGTGGGCCAGGGCCAGATGCATCGGGCCATAGTACTGCTGCGATGCTCTCCGTAGTGTGAGCAGCAGACGCTCCATTCCTGAGTCGAAGAGGGCGACGTGAAACAGGAGAGGTGTCCTTGAGTCCTTCGATGACGAGACTGACAAGGAATTTCCTATGCAGTTGATGAGCTTCAGGTGCGTCGTCTGTGACCGCAGAGCAGCGCGAGAAGGGTCAGCACTCCATGCGCACTAGCTGCTGGATGTAAGCTACACTCACAATGTAGCCAATTGCCTCAAATTCGACTCCACCCGTCATCCCACCAGGAACGCTTGGTCCATCAACTTTCCTTCTCCCATCCTCTCCCATCGCTCGCCAATCGAAAAATCGATTTTGTCCATGGCAGAAGATCCAGAAGTAGTCTCGCACTACGCATGCAATTTCCAAAAGATAGGTCTTGAAGGGCCGTGGGTGGTGTGATTTGGAGATGAAGGGCAGCAGGGACAGCGAGCGGGGAGAGATGGGGTTGTGCAAGAGTAGCAGTAACAGCTGTAGAGGCGAAACGGTGTCATGCTCCTCCGAGTAGACTTGATAACATGCCGATACCTCTCGATCTGCCTTCAGCCCATCGAAGACATCTCGGTTCAGGCCAGAGGGAAGACCCAGAGATAGGATCATCCGCAGAAGCTCTATAATCAATTTGCGGGTATTGAGGTCTCCCGGCTTGCGTTCAGAGAGGAGCAGGGCGGTGAGAGGTCCGAAAGGAGGGTGACGCTCCCATCCGACTGGCAGTTCTGGAGGGTTTACCTCCTTCGCCGGAGCGCCAACCAAGGTAGTGGAGGGTAGGTGGGCGCTACGAGCTGGCTGAGAAGCCAATTGAGGATGGTACGGCCGAAAGATGGCAGAGGTCAGGGCTAGTCGGCCTCGATCTGTTGCTCCTAGAGCCACCAATCCTCTCAACAGCTCGTGAAGAGCCTTGTCGTCATGGATCTCGTCTCTCCACTCCATCTCGATGAGCTCTCCAATCCTTCTCATCAAGCCCTCGTAGCCTCGCTCAGTGAATAGAAAGTCTGCGAGCCATGAAGGCGACTCAGTGCTGAGGAGAACACGCAAACGGCGGAGCTTCTCAACGTCTAGCTTTTGTGAGGATGTCTCGAGCAGCATGCGTGCATAATATATGGGCGGAGAGATCGAAGAGGAAGAGCTTGATGTAGGACGACTCGGTGAGGGGTTGCGAGGCGCGGCAAGTGACTTGGATGGGGAGACGCTCCTGCCTCTAGTCCTGCTACCCTCTTCTTTACCACCGAAGACCTCGTCTGCTGGTCTCCTCGGACCACCTCTCGAGGGATATGCTTGTGGACCTCTATGGTCATGAGACGAAGTTCGAGGTAGCTCGTCTCTATTTGATGTCCCATTCGTTCTACTCGTCTTGCCAGGTGAGCCTGCTTGAGGGTAATGTCTGCTGGTATCTCCAAGTGCACCTAATGAGGCAAGGCTGACGGATGCTTGGTTGCGTATCAGGGATTCTTTCACTGCCGGCTTGAGACTCGAAAGACTGGCTCTCATATCGGCGGGTATATCGCGACTGGCCTGACCGTGACAGGAGTGAGTAGGCGGGTAAGTCTGAATGAGCTCTTCACAGTTCTGCCTTCTTGCGCACTCACCAGCATCTTGTCAAATCTCCGTTGTAGATCGTCCAACGCAGTACTATCTTCCAAGCTCATCAGTCTCGGCCTATCCTGCTCTACAGAGCCACTACCCTGACCATTTGCAGCCTCATCGCGCTTCCCCTCCCTTTGTTTCTTGAAAGGTGAGAGCGACCTGCCTCGCGCCTTCTTTGCAGATGAGGAGGACTGGCCTGCACTGTGGGCCTCGTTTTGCGCCCGCGATGAGCTCAGCACCGAGCCACTCGAGGTGGATGGTGGTGAGGAAGAGTAGGAGTAGGACATCATGCAGTCTGCGTCGTCCCGACAGTGGAGTAGTGGTGGTGGTATCAACGAGGGCAGACCGTACAGGAAGCAACACTTTGCCTCTCGCGAGAACAACACACTCCACGCGTCGGAGTTGCAAGACGAGGTCGACTCGAGGAATCCGGGTGGCCGGTGCCATCTTCCCTTCTCTTCGCCTCGCTCATACCGTACATCTCCCCTCTACCTCCCTTGGGTTGTCCGTCGCCATGTCCTTCAAACCACCATATCGGTATATGACTGCCTCTTCTCTCTCTTCCATACTCAAAGCATCGCCTGCCACTTCCAATGTGCCGCGCAAGAACATAGCAATTGTGGACGTACGGGACGATGACTTTGAAGGCGGGAACATCGTGGGGTGCATCAATGTGCCCTCGACACAGATGAGCGACGAGAGGGTCAAGGAACTAGTCAAGGACCTTAGAGATGGTGAGCGTATTATCATTCCAGCCCTCAACCTCCGATTCACTGACACCTCTGATCATTCCCGGTGACCCTCGGTGCAGTCCCAACCGTCGTTTTCCACTGCTCCCTCTCGCAGCAACGTGGCCCAAAAGCCGCACGCATCTACTCCGAAGCCCGTCAAGCAGCACTCGCATCGAGCCAAGTTTCTCCTATGACCAGTAAGCAGAGCACTGCTGGCGATGAGCAGAGTGAAGAGGTAGGCGCGGGCGCGGGCGGTGAACAAGGTGGACAGGAGATCTACGTTCTGCGGGATGGGTTTGCCAATTTTGGGCAGGTGTACAAGGTCAGTAGCAATGTACACGACGAATCTATCTGATCAGAAACTCATATGGACGCATCCCATCTCACCCTTGTAATCTACAGGGCGATGCCACATTAGTGGAGAAGTATGATGAGGAGGCATGGGCTTGGCGGTGAAAGAGACGCAGTCTATATCTGATGGCCGGGCTTTAGCGGTCTAATATTGGATTGTAATCTACCACGTTCACATCGGTGCAGCAAGGTCACTCTAATCAGTCTGATCTACAGCTAGGCTCGACGCGAACCTCAGGCCCCGCCCGCCCTTTTCCACATCGATCCTCCCTCCAGCCATTCTCCCAACTCTTCATTCGACAGCCCAATGAAGCGCTGCCTCAATCCACCACTAGCAGCAGTCACATCGCCCGTCTCCCCATCTCGTCCCATCATGCCCTTTCCGAGCGCCGTCTCGGGAGCAAGCAGCACAGAGACGCCAGCTCCACCAACCGTGGTAGGGTAGCACTGCATGCCCAGCTTCGTCAGCGTCTTGACCGCTTCTTCCTGCACCGCCGCTGCGTTGGATGAAGATGGGAGGAGTGTGACTGCGCATCCTCCTCCTCCTGCGCCAGTGAGCTTTGTGTCCAGGGCATACTGGGTCGAGTCGACAACGAGTGGTGAGAGGGTGGTCCTGATCGTCTCCAGGCTCGGGTGGGAGACACCGAGCTGGACTAGGAGCTCGTGGTTGCGGCTGATGAGCTTGCCCAGCGTCTTCTCGTCGCCTCCACTGGAGAGGAGCTTGGTAGCCTCATCAACGATCGCTTGAATCTCATCCAGGATGCCACCCACCCTCTCAGGCTCAAGCTCGAGCTGCTTGCCTACACTGGCAACGAGGGACTTGGTATCCCTGCCTACACCCGTGTCCGTCAGCAATAACCGCTTCTCGCCAAGTCCGTTGCCCAGCAGCTTCAGTTCGTTGGCTTTGAGAGCGTTGCGAGGCGCCTTGGGGCGCGTGAAGGCCAGACAGCCCCCAAAGACCGAGACGGAGTTGTCCACCCCAGAAGGGTTGCCATGGATGACCTTCTCGGAGAGGAAGGCATACCGATTGATGATCTGTGCAGTTGCTGCCGAGATCGCTTCAGAGTCTTCTGACAGCGAGATCTTCTGCTGGCTATGCAAGAGCGCAGCAGCGAGGGATGAGCTGTACGCTGCTGAAGAGCCCAGACCAGCGCCAATGGGGAGTAGCGAGCGCAATGTGAAGCTCTGTCCTCCGGCTTTCTGCGGAACGCCGCCTACAACGATCATGTACAAGTAGAGGAATGCAATGCATGATGCATGGCTTCGATCGCTCTCTGTCAGTCCTCCTTGAGTTGCTTCGACGGCGTGGACAATACGTCTGAGGAGCTTAGCGTCTAGATCGATGGGCGCATCCCCTGCCTGCACGCTAGCTGGCAAGGCGTCCCATGGTAGCTCGTCTAGGGCCCACGAATGCTCGATGTTGAGGTCCGGCAGAGCCAGCGACAAGCGACCGTCGTAGCGAGGCTCGAGAAGACAGTAGCATCGCAATGAGACGGATGCTGCGAGAGCGGTCACGCCATGCACCACCGCGTGCTCTCCAAAGAGAATGACTTTGCCCGGCGAAGACACGATGAGCGAAGGTGTACTTGAAGAAGAGGGAGGCGCAGCAGTCACTGCATTCGAGGTTTCTGACACACTACCATTAGTGGCGGTCGCCACTCGGACGAGGCTCCCGTCGCTCTGCCTTTGAACTGCCCCAGCTGCGAGCAGAGCATCGTTGAGATCGGCAATGAGGTCCTCGACGTCTTCAATACCGACGCATAGACGGATGAGATCCTCAGGCAGACGGCGAGCTGCTCGCACTTTAGGGTCGATGGAGGCGTGCCTGGGGAGGGGAACGCAACGGGAAGAATGAGGCGTGAGTTTCTGGCGCTGTCTTCCTGCTGGGCTGCTGCAAATACTCACGACATCAAGCATGGCATGCTGATCAAGCTATTAACACAGCCAAAGCTGACACTGACTCCCCACAACCTAGTCCCTCCCACTATCCGCTGGCTGAGTGCAGCGTCTCCAGTCTCGAAGCTGATGACAGCTCCTGCCCCCTTAGCCTGACTGAAGTGGGCGTCTCGGCCAGGATGCGACGGGAGGCCTGGGTAATTTGTAGCGAACCCAAGTGAGTGTAGGTGGGTTGCAATTACTTGGGAAGAACTCTGCTGAGCAGCGAGACGGATGGCAAGGGTCTTGAGGCCTCGCAGTAGTAGGAAGGACTCGAAGGGAGCGAGAGCATTGCCAACTGAGTTGATCACAAATGCGTAGGACTAGAGGTGTGTAGGGGAGATCCGACTCGTAAGTACAAGCGGATTCCAGTAGCGAGTGAGTGTCTAGTCTACTTACTTTTGCTAGTTGCTCGTCATTTGTAGCTACAACACCGGCCATTAGGTCATGATGGCCACTAAGGAACTTGGTAGCAGAGTCGTACACCACATCTACGCCTAGCTCGAGCGGCCGCATGAGCGCAGGACTCATCATGGTATTGTCCATGACAATGACGGTATCCCTGACCGAGGCGACGTGCTTCCTGACCGCTGCTGTACACGCCTTGATGTCTACCACCTTCAAGAGGGGATTAGTGGGCGTCTCGAGGAGGACCATTGCTAACCTGGGTCCCTTGCCCTCTGCATGGTCCTTGACAGTCTGGCGTACGGTCTCCTCCAGTATGCTGGCATCAGTGGTGTCAATGTGTTTTGTGTTGATGCCGCCGTTGCTGGCGAGCAGTCCCAGTAGCCGATTCGTCCCGCCGTAGATGTCATCTCCGGCAATGATGCACTCTCCTGGCTTGACGCTGCGTGTGATCACGTCCAGGCAGGCCATGCCCGTAGCCACAGCCATGGAGTACTTGCAGCCTTGAATCTTGCTCAGATGCTGCTGCAAGACGGTACGAGTAGGGTTGCCAGATCGCGAGTAGTCGAATTCTTCGGAAGCCTTGTTTGCCGAGCCGGGCAGCCCCTTGAAAGTGGTGGACTGGTAGATGGGCACGGAAGAGGAGCCATACTGGTCCGGGTGGTCTGGGTCAGAGACTGTGGCGCAGAGTGTGGAGAAGGACCAAGTAGCCTGCGAGGATGAAGGAGGAGCCATGGCGGATGGTGGTGAGACAGCAGGAGGGAAGATGAAGGGTGACTATATGCTCTTGGTGATGCTACCAGTCTGCATCTTGCCCTTCCCGCTCTGTGCTTCCGAGTCAAGTGAGAAGAAGTGTGTGGTGTGGCGCCGCGCGGTGCAGCAGTCCCGATCAGAATCTCCCGCTTTGGCCAAGCGATTTTGATCAACGGTTGATTTCAATTCAGACGGCGGAGACGGCGAATGGCTCAAGCGATACCAGTCCAGATAGATTATCACCGAAGTCCACCCTTCCTTATCAACCACGCATCGTCGCCCTCACTCGACATCGCCGCAATGTCGGCAGCATCATCCTCCTCTTCTCCACCGCCCTCGTCCCTCATCCTCGCACATAGACCCCAGTCGCGCTCCCTACTCATCCTCGGGTCCTCCAAGCTCGCCGCTTCTCGAGCTCGCACAGCCCTCGAGTCTGGCGCAATACCCATCGTAGTCGGCGGCCTCTCAGCTATTCCACCTTGCGACGAAGTGAAACGCCTCATCGCAGAGCGAAAAGTGAGATGGCAAGACATTAGCAGCCATGACGACGTAGACATCCTCCGAGGCCATGCGGGATCCAGGTCAGACATAGAGGCCAGGTGGGGCGCACTCATCGATGACCTCGATGGTAGTGACAGGAGCATCTTCGCAGCTTGCGTCACAGACACCCTTCACGATGGTGACGATGACGCAGAGCATGCTCATCATCAAGGCGGCTCAGCAGACACTTCTTCCTCGGTGGATCGAGCAGCCCTGCTTGCCCACGTATGCCGAAGGCGGAGGATCCCCATCAATGTCACAGACAAGCCACTGCTATGCGACTTCAGCTTCCCTGCCACTCACAGATTTCCAGCATCTTCCTCACCTCTACTCCCTCACGCCGACGGATCAAAAGCACCGTCTTCGATGTCTTCGCTGCAGATAGCAGTCACCACCAATGGCAGAGGATGCCGCCTAGCCGGAAGAATTAGGAGAGAGATCGTCAGTGCCCTTCCTCGCAACGTCGGCGATGCAGTGGAGAGAGTGGGCGAGATGAGAGACTTGGCCAAAGGCGGAGAGGGAGCTTCACAAGGAGAGGGAATGGCTCAGACTACTGGCTTCTTCGAGGAAGCGGCGAAGCTGGCTGCTGCAAAATCATTGGCACAAACACCCGATTCTGCTCCTCACAAGACTAGCGTCAACAGCAGCGCTCAGTCTTCGCGGAGAGGTAGTACAAAAGGCACAGCAGAGTTGCAAGAGGACGATCTCAACTTTGATACCACGCCACTCAATTCTCCTGTGCCTCAATTGAGTACGCCTGCTTCGCGAAGTGGTCTCCCCACACACTCAAGACAACACAGTCACACCAACCTCACCTCCGCGCTTAGGACCACGCAGATGAAGACTGCTGCTGTGGACATTGAAGCTGCGATCAGAGCGGACAAAGAGGAGGCTGCAGAGAAGACGAAGCGAAGGATGAGGTGGGTCGCTCAGATCAGTGAATACTGGCCAATGGAATATCTGGGCGGCATGGGACCAGAGCAAATGCGAGAAGCCCTCAGATCTTTCGGTGAAGAAGAGGAGGCGGCTGGTCTCTCAAAGTCATCTTCGAAGCTGGCAACAGCGGGCGAGGTAGCTGTCTCGCCGACGTCACCAGAGGCAGCACCTACGAACGGTGCAACATCTAGCAGCGCACGGCATGATGAAGAGACCTCGTCGCGAGGCCGTTCTCGGGCTGCCCCCTTCGCTACCTCGAATGAAGATGACTCAGGCCCCCTCACGTCGACTCGCCCTCGAGCTCGCTCACAACATTCCCTCGCCATCGTTCCTCCGCCTCCGCCTCGCTCGGTTGCCCAAGGTCACATCTATCTCGTTGGCTCGGGTCCTGGTCATCCCGGCTTGTTGACACTCCTCGGCCACCGACTGCTCACCTCACCGTCAACTCACCTCGTCCTCTCCGACAAATTGGTCCCTGCGCCCATCCTTCGTCTCATCCCTGCGACCACGCCGCTGATCATCGCCAAGAAGTTCCCTGGCAATGCAGAAGGCGCGCAGTCCGAGCTCATCTCTTTGGCTCTCAAAGCTGCTCTCGAGGAGGGCAAGAATGTGGTCCGACTCAAACAAGGTGATCCCTTCGTCTATGGTCGTGGAGGAGAAGAAGTGCTGGCCTTCAGAGAAAAGGGTGTGGAGTGCACCGTCGTACCTGGCATCTCTTCGGCGATCGCAGCGCCCCTCATGGTTGGCTTGCCGGTGACACAACGGGGCAGTGCAGATTCGCTCGTGCTATGCACCGGCGTCGGACGAGGCGGCAAGAAGGTAAAGCTGCCGGGGTACGACAGAGGCAGAAGTCTCATTGTCCTCATGGGCGTCGCTCGTCTAGGTGCTGTCGTTGACATCCTCACAAAGGGCTACGGGCTCCCTGCTGGCGAACAACCTCAGTCAAAGGAGGAGGATCAGGACCGTACCGGCCCTCCCTTCCCACCTCACACACCCATCGCCATCATCGAGCGGGCGTCTTCGTCAGATCAGCGACTGCTGGCCTCTACGCTTTCTGGCATCCTCTCCGCCCTCGAGTCCTCTGGTGAGCAGCGCCCACCAGGCATGATCCTCATCGGCTGGGCTGTGCTCGCTCTTGAAGGCAAGGGCAACGTGGATGTCCTCGACGACGAACACGAGTGTCTCACAGAGATCGGCGGGGAAGAAGGTCAGAAAGAGCTGAAGAGGAGAGATGAAGAGAGGGTCAAGAGGTGGCTGAATGGAAGGGAGTACGTCGTCAGGGAGGGCCTCGACGCGGTCTATGCCAAGGCGCTGGCGGATCTTGCAGGAAACGTCGGCGAGGATGACAAGAATGGTGACGCCGGGGCAGGGCAGGCGCTACCGCCGACTGGCAATGGGGAGAGGACAGCGGAGCCCACCAATGGCAGCGCTACGGACGCCGCAGCTGGACCGCTTCGAGCTGTAGATGGTCATGCGACTGCTGCTGCCGTCGAGGTGGACCATTCGCTCTCCTCTCGATCGTCGACTGGCTGGGCGCAGGGTCGCTACACTGGCACTGGCAAGCCGGAAGGCGGCTGGAGCCAAGGTGAGAAGCGTTTCATCGAGACCGACGGCGGGGTCAGATAGCCGATGCCGATTGTCTGCGGGGCTCCGGGAGTGCCGGTCGTGGTGTGAACTTTAGCCACTCATCCTGAGAAATGCCATGTCGCCGTACTGACCCAGGCTACCTAATTAGGCTAAGCGATACAAGCTGAGCAAAGAGGTGATTCCGCTGAGCTGACCAAGCAAGGCAGGGGTTAGCGCTTATCATCAGTCTCGGCATGCCTGATTGGGTAGTATAGATTATGATCTACTCCCTGCGGAGCGCAAAGGGAAAGCGGAAAGGAGCATGCTCTACGCTGTTGCATAGTACCTATCTCAGCATTTAAAGTAATTTCTTGGCCTCGACGTGTTCGGCACGAGGCACCGGCGTACGAAAGAGTGGGTGTGGGTAAGGCCAGGCGGGGGCGAGTGCGGGAGTAGAGGCTAGGCGAGGCTGATGGGTGCGTCTGTAGCTGCGTGGTAGCTTCCATTGGGTGGGAGATGTGCAAGTTGACGTCATTTGTCATTGCCTTTGCCTTTGCCTTTGCCTTTGCCCAGTGGCTGCTGCCCCGTGGCCTCTGTGTGGTGGATGGCTGTGCGTTCTAGCCCTCGCGGCGAGATTGGCACAGCGATGGGCACTAGAGGAGTGTGCGCCCGTCCCTTCCGCATCGTGTCCTGGCCAGGAGAGACAGGTGGACAGCCCCGGCCAGGCCAAGCCGGCCAACGTCATCCTTCGACGGGCGTCACTGCTGCTCCTCACTCGCCATCGGCTAACCCCACTCACCACTCATTTACCCACCACCCGCACCGCCGCACTTCTTCCTTCCCTGTCTACCACAACTACCTCATCCCCGCACCGCACATAAAAGAGTGAGTAGCCGCACACCCACCACCCGACGCTGTCTTCGTCGCCTTTGCTCACCATCGTCACCCTCCCTTCTTCCTCCTCTGCCAGTAGCAAAGCAAATCAACTATGTCGCAGTACGACGCACACTCCATCTCCCGGGCCACCTCCCTGTCCAGGAAGTCCACCGTGGCATCCAGGAACAAGTCCCTCATCTCCAAGCAGACTGCACCCCATGAGCTCAAGCCCTCGGACATTCTCATCGAGAGGTTCAATGGTGAGTATCGCAAGTGCGTCGATGGCGCTTCCCATGCCCGGGCATCGCTCCCGCAACGGATGACGTGGTCTTATCTGCGCCATTATGAGCCGCACCGACCCTGCCACGCTAAAGCGCCCGCATACTGACGCGATTACGTACATTGTTTCCTCACTCGTCTCTCTTCTACCACAGGCTGGAAGCACATCACCAAGCAGCTCATTGCCGTGAGTATCGCACCACATAGTCATGGGCAACAGTCGCGCTCAGCTCCGCCTTGTGACCCGCGCACGTGCTTACCCCGGACGCTCCACTCTTTCCTCTGCCCACCCCTCCACAGTACTTTGAGGGTATTGCTGACATTGAGTACAACACCGCAAAGGAGCTCACCAAGCTCGGTGGTGTGATCCAGGTGCCCTTCCGTGAGGGCTCTCAGTTCCTCGGCGAGAACGGTATCCAGGACATCTACTATGGCATCCGTGACAAGACCCGTGTCATCGCCGACCACCATGCTAACCTGGCCAAGACCGTAGAGGGCTCCATCGTCCAGCACCTGCAGAAGCTGCGTGCTGAGATCAAGGCTCACGTCAAGAACATCCAACAAGACACTGGCAAGCTCGCCAACTCCGTCGCACGGGAGCGTGAGATGTCCACCAAGATGATTGCCGACCTGGCCCGATCCATCACTCTGCTCAAGAACACCCCCATGAGCGTCACTGCCCGTGAGGACCCCTACTCTACCAACGTTGCCGTTGCCAAGCAGCTGCAGCGACAGGTCAACGAGGAGAATGCTCTGCAGAAGTCGATTGTCATCATGCAGCAGAACTCTGCCCACTTCGAAGAGGGCATCGTCCGATCTATCCAGAGTGCTTGGCAGACCTTCGACGAGTGGTCTGGCCGTATGAGCGCTCAGGTCCAGGACACCTGGCTCGGACTTGGCGTGCACATGCGATCTCTCCAGCCCAACTCCGAGTGGATTGCCTTTGCCGCCCGATCCGACCACCTCATCGACCCCGACACACCTCTCCGAAACCCCGAGACCATCGAGTACCCCGGCAAGGAGGACCCCTCTGTTATCCCCGTTCACCAAGGCATCCTGGAGCGCAAGAAGCGATTCACCAAGTCTTACAAGGAGTCATTCTACGTTCTTACTCCCTCTGGTTACCTGCATGAAATGACCTCGTCCGACCCCACCAAGAGCGGCGCCCCTGCTCTTTCTCTCTTCTTGCCTGAGTGCACCCTCGGTGCCCCATCGACCATGGCCTCCAAGTCGCACAAGTGGCACATCACCGCCGGTTCTCCTCAGAAGGGCATCCAGAAGGCTCTGGGCCGTGGAGAGCACGCATACACCTTCCGCGCTCGCTCTCACGACGAGATGATGGAGTGGTGGAACGACATCAAGCAGCTGTCCAAGGTCTACCTTACCACCTCTGAGCAGATGGACCGATCTGGACCCGTCCCCGCTGCCGTCCGCTCGGCTGGTTACGTTTCTGCCTCTGACGAGGAGGACGAGGAGGAGGACGGAAGCTCCGTCGAGGAAGAGGAGGATGAGGAGGAGTACGAGGAGGCCGGCGACGAGTCTGCCGCTGCCAACACGCACGCAAACTCATCCGCTGCCCCCGCTCTCGGTGCACCAGCCACTAGCGCCACCCCTGCCTCTGGCAACGCCGCCAGTGCCGGTGAGGATGTGCCCGGCTACTCTGCCCCTGGCAAGTCGTCTGGCATCGAGATTGGTCACAATGGCTACGCTACTGAGAAGAAGGGCGAGTCTGCCGTCTCTGGCACTCCTGCTGGCGAGCCTTCTCAGGACGCCAGCAAGGGCAAGGCTGTTGAAGGCACCACTGAGTAAACAATCTTCGTTAAAAGCCTCAAGCAAGCCGTCGTCGAGTCTCTCCTTTATCCATTAGGAATAGGAGAGTGTGAAGGAGAGTGAGATGTGGAGAGGAGAGGTGCCGTACGTGCACCTCGATATACCCTTCCAGCTTCCTGCAGGTCGTCTTTTGAAATGTCTTTCAACTATCCCAAATCATCTTTCTCTTTCCCACGTCGTGCCGGTTATCTGCTCCAGTTTCAGCTTATCTGCACAGGCCTGTTGTTCTCTCTTCTGTCTCTGTCGTCTTCTATGATTAAATTGAGTTAGTCCGGACATCATTTCCTTGCATGCGTTCGTCTTGGCGCATAATTGTGACCCACCTCTTCGGCTTTTCTCGGCGTGTGATGATGGCTTTTCCTGTGAGAGCAAGTGTGAGCGAGGGAATCAGCAAGGCAGGCCAGACCGACAACCTCCGGAGTAGGAGCGACAGACAGCTTTAGCCTTCTCGGCTAATCTTTCCCCGCGCTGGTGCCGCTATCAATTGCTTGCGTCTACCGACGGGAAGACGGACGGACGGAGGGACGGACGAGACGGGAATGCCGGTCGCCAATCTAGTCCTTCACGTCCTTGTAATCGTCATGGTGCGCCGGAACTCTTCGCGTGGGTATGACTCGCTTTGCTTCCTCCTCCGCACTGCTCCTGTACTGGTGGTTGCTAGCTACCCCACACTCGCCAAGCCTGACAGACAGACGGACAGACAGCCGGACAGACAGACAGCTAGACAGACAGTCTATCTGTCCTGCTGCTGCTGCTGCTGCTGGGCGTGCAGCTATGCCAAGCCCCCGAGCGGCGAGTCTGCCTGAAACGAATGTACGTCGGGCGAGGTGAGCGAAAGGGTGCTGCGCAGGAATAGTACTTGACCGGGTTCGGCTGGGAGCAAGCGGGGCCGTGCCGCACGGGAATCTGAAGCAGAGGGCCGCCCCTTCCGCATTCTTGCCGTGAAGTGGCCCGGCCGATTAGCGCGAGGCAGAGGGGCAGCGTCGTCAATGCCGGCGGGGCGGGGCGGAAAGGAGAGGAGAGGGCGTCTCGGGTGCGGGAGCAGAGGTGGAGAGGTGCTTACGCAGGCACTGCAGCAGCACAAGCCAGGCGGCCTCTCTGTCCGCTGCACCTCGGAAGCAGTAGAGGAGAGAGACGGACACTTTAAGCATCGTCAAGCTTCAATTGGGCTTCGGCAAGGGCTGACGACGACGACGATGATGATGATAGTGGTCATGCCGGTGCTGCTGAGGAGGAGCAGGAGGAGGAGGAGGAGAGGAGAGGAGCGGAGAGGGGCAGGATGCGGGGAGGACTGGCCCCGATGAGCATCCAGGAACCCGATTGACTGACCAAGTATTAAAGCAGACCCTTTTGAGCTATTTATTACCATCTCACATTGCCACACCCTTTACTTTCCCATCGTACCCCTCCAGCACGCTCACCCCAATCGCTCTCATTACTCAGATTACACCTCCCACACTCACCTAGCTACCCCCCCAACCACACTCACACGACCCAATCCAGTACCCACCCAACATGGCAGCTAAAGAGCTCAACATGGCAAACATCAACGACGAGGAGCGGCAGCAGGCCAACAACAACACCTACTATGGCCTCGATGGTCACTCGGACGATGCCACTGCCGCACCTGCCCCGACTACCCGACGTGCCGTCAGCCCCAATGCTACCAGTGGCGGGCTGATCACCGTGCAGCCACTGAAGCAGTCCGAGATGCAGCCCTCGTATGCCCAAGACCTGGGTGTGGGCGAAATCGAACACGGCGTTTACGGCAGCCTCATGAATGGTCTAGGCTCCCTCGTTGGTACTTTTGGTCAAATTCCCTGCTGCATCTGTTGCCCTAACCCCTTCCGAGAGGTCAACCAGGGACAAGTCGGACTGGTCAGCAGGTTTGGAAAGTTCTACAAGGCCGTTGACCCTGGACTGGTCAAGGTGAACCCCTTCTCCGAGGAGCTCAAGAAGGTCGACGTCAAGATTCAGGTTTCGCAGATTCCTACTCAGACCGTCATGACCAAGGATGGAGTCTCGGTGCAGGTAGACTCGGTAGTGTACTGGCACGTTAACAACCCTTACCGAGCCGTCTTTGGTATCTCCGATGTCCGTTCAGCACTCATCGAACGAGCACAGACTACGCTGCGAGACGTCATTGGCTCTCGAGCTCTGCAGAGCGTCGTCTCTGACCGTGAGGGCGTGGCGATTCACGTCGAGGACATCTTGGAGAGGGTGGCCAAGCAGTGGGGTATCAGCATCGAGTCGCTGCTCCTCAAGGACATCATCTTCTCTCGCGAGCTGCAGGAGTCTCTCTCCTCTGCTGCTACCCAAACCAGAATTGGACAGTCCAAGGTCATTGCTGCGCGAGCGGAAGTCGACTCGGCCAAGCTGATGAGACAGGCAGCCGATATTCTCGCCTCGCCCGCCGCTATGGCCATTCGAGAATTGGACGCTCTGCAAGTCATGGCCAAGAGTGCGGGGACAAAGGTCCTCTTTGTTCCCATGTCACTGTCGGGTGGCCGAGGTGCTCCCCCTACCGCTCTTCAGAGTGCTGTCGAAGGAGGTGGCCAGTCTTACAACACCACTGGCGGAGAGGGTTCGAGTACGATGAATGCTGCCACCCTGCAGCAGATGGCCAACATGTAAGGCAAGATTGAAATCGTTGATCTGGAAAATCAAAGCACGGGAGGTTATTGTGCTCATACCAGGCCATGTATCGTTTGGTAGACAACGATGAGCTGGGCGATGACTCCATATGGAAAGTCATCTGCTCGTCTGTGCCTCTTGCGATATGCGACCCGATACCCATTTTGCACCTGTAGCAGTCTCTTTGTATCTCGTTATGACCTGCTCTTATCTAGTGGAATGTGATGACCGTGATGGTGAATGTATGTGTCACACGAGAGCGACAGTCTTCCTGTGCCAATAGCTGTCCTTCTACAAGAAGGCCTTGGGAGGCGACTGACTGGCTGATCGTGCCGAAGCCGAGGGAGTGGTGCCTGGGTGTGCGTCTGCCTGTCCGTCTGCCTTTGCGCCTCGGCTGCTTCTCTCCGCTGCGCCCCGCACCGCGAGTGTGACGATGCACGCCCGCGACCCCAGGGTTGCCTATTCCGCTTACATCTCACCATCCCTCGCGGGTAGCCTCGACTGAGCGGCATCGTCATCGTCCCCCTCCTTTCCTCCCCTCGTATCGATTCCTTCATCTGTGACGCGCATCCTTGACGTAGTCATCATCATCTACTCGTGCTCCTCTGTACACTCTACTCTTCCAGCAACACACCTTTGCCGCGCCAGCCGGCGTCGCGTATTGCACTCCTGTCTCAAGTCCCCGTCCTCCCCACAATTCCGCGTTTTTTGCTCCATCTCCAATTCTCTCAGCGTCCACTCAGGCTAGTCGCAGCATCGGATGCTACCGCTGCATAGCATGACTGGCCGTCCAGGCTATCCGCCGCCTCACCTCGGCCCCCAGCAGCAGCAACAACAGCAGCAGCAACAGCATCACTATCAACATCACGAGCAACACTATCCCCCGCAGAATCAGTATCAGCATCCACATTTCCAAGCGCAGCAGGGTCACCCTTCCTACCACCACCCATCGAATGCGATTGCTATACATGCTGGATCTAGTCCCTCTGGATCCCATACTGGCACATCGCCCAATTCCGTAGGCGGTGGGCCGAAAGCGGGAAAGACGGGAACAAAGTCAAAGAGACCCAGGCCGTATGCTTCAAAGGTGCGTCATCAGTGGAAAGGAGGGAAGGACTCGGCGAGAATGCGTCTGCTAACTCTCTCATTTGCGACCCTTTCGCTGTGATGACATCAGACATGTTCGGAATGTCGGCGTCGTAAGATCGCCTGCGTAGCCAGCGACCCAGATCCCGATGTCTGCAAGCGCTGCTACAAGATGAAGCTGCACTGCACCCTTTCCGAGGAGAATGCTCGTGGTGATGGTCGGCGGAGGAAGAGGGGAAAGAAGAGGAGCGCAGAAGATGGGGGTGATGATGACGACGATGAGGACGAAGATGGTCAAGGCGAGACTCCTCGAAGCGGGACCTCCAAGAGGAATAATGATCAAAGCGGAGACGAGAGCGACGAGGAAGAGGATGGCAACCAGGATACCGCACAGTCCTACGGGCCACCCGCTCCAGCAGTCAAAGGCCCTACAGTTGGAAGACGGCCATCAGCAACCAACATAGCTAAAGGGTCTCGTGGCCTGTCCACAGCGCTGCCACCTCCAGCCCCTCTCCCAGCGCACCTCGCATCTGGAAATGCAGACGAGAATGCGCCCGATACAGACTTCCTCTACAGCATGAAGGAGGACAAGGACCGGGCCCGCATCCTTCCGCCGCTGAGCCACATAGAGGAGAAGAGGCCTGGCACGAAGGGCGGTCGCCATGCCGCTGCCACTGGCGAAGTCGCCCCTTCGAGCGGAAGTGGCAGCGGTCGCATGATCCTCGGCGTCTCTTCTGCTCCTTCTAAGGCTGCACAAAGAGCAGCGGCGCAGAATGTCATGCTCGTGCATGGTTGTCCCGTTTGGGTCTACTCCGACCTGATGGCCAGATTCAACCTTCTGAATATCAGCGACAAAGGATCTAGAGGCGGCGGAATGGTCCCACGATTGGATGCCGCCGAATTGTGCTCAAAGCTGACCAGTCTACCGGCCAATGTCATCAACACCATCGATGACATCTTAGAGGATGCCCGTCTTACAATGCCTCACATACCCTTGCTCTGCAACCTCATTGTGCAGCAAGAAGAACGGTACGACTCTGCACGATCTCTTCTCATTGCCATCCTCGTCTACGTAGCAAGCAACGAAGGAGACTTGACGTCCACTCTCAACCCTCTTCTCCCACTTTCTGTTCACGCCGACCTCAAGTCTTTCCTTTCAAATCAGGCCCTGGATAGTATCATGTTCTCGCCCATGAAGTCACGAGAAATCGTCATCGCAGCTGAGATCCTTGCGGTCTACGATCCACTGCTAGGTCATCCAGCGGCAGGAAAACTCGAGACATCTCGCTTCCTGCTTCCTACATCCTTCTACCTTGATCTAGCCATCGGCTTTGCCTATCGGATCGGCGTGGGCGACTCGGTTCACGAGCTTCAACAGTGGTACCTGGACGATGTGAGCAAAGCGGCCAAGAGTGGCGGATCAGAAGCGGGTGCCGAAAAGCCTCTGCCGGATCACATCGCTTCGGCGCTACACGATGCGACCATCTGGGCGTCCCTCGAATTACACATCTCTGAGCTCAACCGGAATTTGCAGGGTGCCACCAACTGTTTTGCGAAAGATTGGAAGCCGCTATGGCCTCATCAGGCTTCACCCACATCCAGTCGGAGAAGCACGGTATCGCCCAAAGCCCTACCTTCTTTTGCGACAATACTGCAGCATTGCAGCAAGAGGATTCCCGGGCGCAAGATTGGAGTTCCGGTCAGCAAGAGCACAAAGAAGGGCTTTAGCATTGCGTCTCGACTCGGTATGGTCAACCTCGCATTTAGACAGGACGGTCTGGGACTGATTCAGGATATACTGGCAACGCTGTACCACGGCATACCTGATGTTGAAAAGATTGACAGATGTTATATGCAGCTGGAGGACGATCTGACTGGCAAGCTCAGAGCCTTTGCAGACAAGAGTCTTGGTAAGTCACAGATCATGAAGAAAAGGCAATGAATGACGCGAGCTCACAGTACCTGTCATTTCTTCCATCCAACAGCCCAAGTCCTGGCAACGAGCAAAGTCGACCCGCCCTCATCAGACTTGTTGGCCTTGTCTAAGGACATCTTTGAGCGCGAGAGCGCCTGGATGCGTCACTTCTATGGTGGCTATTGCTTTGCGATCCTTCTCTGGCTGCCCAACTTGCAGAAATCTGGAAAGGCCGGGAGCTCCGCAAAAGCTGGCGGTGGAAAAGGAGACAAGGACGAAGGAGGCAAAGACCTTCACGAGCATGGGATTCACGACGTCGACATGGCTGCTTCGGTCATCAATACTATCAAGGGTCAGAAGTCTGATCCGGACCACATGATGAAGTCGGCGGCAGAGTCTCTTTCTGGCAAGTCATCAAGAGACAAGGAACTCTTGTCTGCGCTTGCCAATGGAAGCAGTGCTATCGCTGGCGCGGCTCCTACCGGCGACGCTGCAGCGGGAGGCGCCTCGCCAGACATGTCCTCCTTCCACTTCCTCGTCAAGCACAACGAGTCCCACGAGCTGGTCCTCCAGCGCTGGCTGACCCTCTCCCTTGAAACCCTAGCTCGATTGCGCTGCTCCAACATCCACCGCATACCGACGAACTCGCGTATGGTGTATGTCTCCAAGGAGATCATCGAGAACCACGCCACTCGAAAGCGAGGATGGGGCAAGGTCGGTGACAATGCTGTCATCCACACTGGACTCATGAACCGAGCCTGTGAGCACTTCAAGCAAAAAGGCAATGCCCTGGACAACAGCCTTGCCAAGTTGACCAAGATCTTGGAGAAGATTCTGGACGGCTGGAGGAAGATCAAGCCTCCCGAGCAGAATGCTCCGCCAGCTACACAGAAGAAGCGAGACAGTCAATCTGCACGAGGTACTGCCCCTTCGGCAGCGAGCTTCCGTAAAGGCAGTACTAGCGGTCCAGCTATATCTGCCGTGCGAACCCAGCAGCAGCAGCAGCCGCCTCAGTCTAGTACAGGAGCGTCATCGACACTATCGTCGATGGGAAGTGGAGGTACCGTCCAATCCGAGCCACCGCTCTTTAGCTCCCATATGAGCCAACACCCACAGCAGCGCTACCAGGCCACCTACTCACAGGCCCCTGGGCAGACTGGTGGCTACAATGGGCTGGGCTCTTCGTCCAGTGCCAATTACGGGCCACCACAAAACTTGCCTCCGCACCAGTACGGCAGTCCAGGTACAGGCAGCGGGCCCTACCAGGGAAGCTATGGGGGCGGTGCAGGACCAGGTGCAAACGCCTACGGTGCTGCCGGGTCCAACGTGCCGGCCTACAGCAACTTCCCCGTGGGCAGTGACTCGTACAATTCAGGCGCTGGCGGGGGCGGTGCAGGCTCATACTACTCACAGCCTCACCATGGCCATCCTCCACACCAGAGCCAGAACAGGGCATCCTTCTCCTCTGCAATGGGAGGTCCCATGAGCTCCTCTGCCTCATCGCCCACCACGTCTCAGTACGCCGGCGGACCTTATGCCCAGCAGCAGCCTCAGGCACTGCCTTCTCCATCCGTGTATGGCTCGCATGGCGCTGGTAGTGCGCTCCTCCCCTCGTCTTCCTCGACGGGCAGCAACGGATACGCAGGCATGAGTACCTATGGGCAACAGGGTCTTCCGGGCACCAATGCCTCCCTCCTCGCCGCTACTTCTCCCAATGGTAGTAGCACGACCAATGGCAATGGCAATGGTAATGCCTTTGACCCTTCCAATAGCAGTACTGCCAATCTCAATCTTCTGGATCTGGACATCTTCACCGATGCACCACTGGATCTGAATGTGGAGAATCTCTTCTTTGATAATTGGCCACAGATGGACATGGACGTTGACATGAGCTCCCTCTTCCAGAAGCAGTGAGCGAGCGGAGATGCGGCGTGTACCGCGGCCAAATTAGGGACCACGATCATCTATCAGCCTACAGTGCAGTTTTTTTGATTTGGCAAGTGGGCAAAGAAAAGGAATCGTTGTCGCTTCTCGTTTCAAAATTCTGTTTTAAATACATTTCACGACTGGCGAAAACCCACTTGAACATTGACTGCCGTCTCCTGCATGCTCGCATGCCTGCTTGGCTGTGTGTCGCTCGCCCGTACTCTTCTGCATTGCAACCCCTGTCCCCTGGCCCCTTCTCGCGGTTTTGCTGCGCTGCGCTGCGTTGCGCTTGCTTGCTCACAGTCCTTTTTTGGGCCCTTCTTTGCTGCTCACTCTCCCCTCGCCCTTCCTCTCTTGGGGCAGCCCGACTCCAGGGCCGCCCCGCCCTACGTAGTGGTGAGACCTGCTTCCTCTTACAAGACTACGAATACGTTCGGGTGCTAGAGGCCGGCCGACTCATTCCACCAATCGTACTGCCCTACAACTCTCTTGTGAGTCTCCGGCCCGCCTTTTCCTTTCTTGTACTCCTCGCCGCCGCTCTCCCACACTTGCCCTACTACTCGCCGAGACTACAGTCTCTACGCGGTCTTGGAGTTCTCCTTTGACCGTTGGTTGAGGAAGAACCTGAAGCCTTCATACGACTGTGATGAGGAGGACCAAGGGAGAGGGCAACATCAGCTTTCTCGCTCATCGCCAGTCATGCTATGCAGTCCATCTACTCACCAGCCAGCAAAGAGCATTCGAGGGCATAAACGTAAGCACCCGCGGTGTGAGTCCCCTGGCAAATCCCTTCATCCCCTCCCGATTCTTGATGACCTTCAATGCCTCGATCATTCCACTAGCTCCCCGAATCTCCGCATCACTACTGTTACCCCGCGTCTGCAGAAGCGTCTTGGCCACGTCCAGTGGGTTGGTGACGGCTGCTGCTACTCCTCCCGAGAATCCACCCGCAATGACGTGTGTCATGGGCGAGTAGGACTCTGAAGGGTTGAGCACCTTCTTTGCCCATTCGTACACGGAGAATTGCACAGCTGTAAAAGGTACAGTCATTGTGAGGGTAGTGGGGTAGGAAATGTAAAAGGCGCGAAGACCTTCGGTTTGGTATAATGTACGTGCGCACTTGAAGACGGATCGATGAGCGGAATTCTCCATCTGCATCCTCTGCTTGATCACATCAAAGGGGTTCATAAAGGCGTCCGAGGCAATTGTGGCGGAACCTCCTGCGAAAGCTGTAGAAGCCCACTGGTGTCCTTGTCTGTTGCCTCCGGTGAGGTCTTTCATCACCTCGTAGGTACCAAAGTAGAGGGCGTGGGCGGGGCCTGCACCGAGGATGACGGAATTCACTCCACGCCAGAGTGTCCTTGCGCCTTCGACGGATGTGATGCGGGTGAGAGCATTGAGCACAGATGAATATTGCACTTGACTTGGTGAAGAGAGAATCTGCATACGAGTCTGTCAAGGCGTGATCAAGGGAGTGGGCGAAGTGTGAGTGGAATCAAGCCAGCAAGCCTTGCCCACACCTCATCCCAATCTCCTGAACATCTTCTCCCCCTTCCACGCTCAGTACTCACCCTAATCACATCCACTGGGAACATGAAGGCATGTTCACTGATCCCCGCCAGTGATCCAGCAAGCATGGAGATGCTAAGCGGCACTCCCTGCAAATCTTCATAGTCGTACTCCTCCTGCTCTAGCTCTTCTACATTGGACACGGCTTGCTGCGAGGCCATCTTGTGCTAAGTTGGCCGATGTGGTGTGTCAAGGGAACAATCGAAACGAGCAAGAGGTTATCGATGTGCGTGGGAAGAGGTGCGATGGCCGATCGGCGTTAAGGGCAGGTGACTTGTTTCGTTGCTATGTGCGAGTGCTTTCTCTCCTCGAGCTTGATGGTATGCAGATCAATGGCAATGCGGACGAGGTAAGAGGGGGGCGATGTCGATCTCAGTAGCAGTGACTGATGATGTGAACAGTGTCTGCGGTTGCTGTATGGAAGGTGGGATGATCGAGGGATGTGCGAAGAAGTGAAAAAAGGGCCCAGGATGTGCGGTGCTTCCTTTCCGAGCGTTGGTAATCTCCTACCAGGCGCGGCCGGTTTTGATCCTTGAGTTCGTCGTGCAAAGGTCGTAGCGCGAGGGGTCCTCTTACACTGATGATCTGACTCGGTAGAGGCGCTTGTCGATGAGGAGCAGTATGGTACACCTTGCGATGCTTTGCAGGAGGAGAGAGGGGGGGAATACCGTGACGTAACTTGTCAGTCGAGTGAGCGAACGACGGACGAAGGGAAAAAGGAAGATCGTCCGCCATGCGCCTGCCTGCCGCCGCCTGCCTCCTCCGCCCTGCGCCCTGGCTGGACGTCGTGGCCGGGTGGGTGTCCGGCTGCACCCAAATGCCGAGGCGAGGGCAGTCAAAAATTGTCGGCCACACCACACCTGCGCGGCCCAAGGAGCGGGGATACCCATGATTGCAATCAAGATGACAATGCATCGATCATGCCAGCGAGGAACGTTCAGTACAAAGAACGATGGTACCGTGGAATCAATGGTATATTGTGAAATGGTCGCCGCGAATGAGCCCACATCAATTTCCCCCTGACGGGCCACCCAGGTTGAACGTCCTGCGCCTCCGGGCCTCAACATCCTGCACCGCCTCTTTCCACCCATCTCGCACCTGACGCAACAGACTACCCTCTCCCCCACTCCCAGCTCCCGGCGTGCCAGGTGTACTCCTCACTGCCCAGCCTCGCGTGTCGCTCAAGCGTGTGTAGGGGCTCAACGTCTGATTCGATGCCACCAGGTCCTGCAGGTGCAGATAGCGCGGGTGCGAGGTGCTCGGAGGGATCCCTGCCGACGGACGGCTCGTCGAAAACCCAACAGGCGTGGCAGTGCCACTCACATCACTACGACGCGGGGGTACACTCGAACTCTTGCCCGGCATACTTCGCCCTCCTGCTGGACCCTTGGCAGTCGTCGTCGTCGTCTCATTTGCATCTACACCATCCCATCCCACTCGCACAAGGCCGCCCAGCTTCTCCTTTTCGAGCTGCCGCTTGTATGCCAGACTAGTCTCGTCCATAGGCTCGGGCTCCAGCGTGCTCAGCGTGCCCGCACGAGAACCCGAGCCAGAGAAGGAATTGGAATGAGAATGGGAGCGCGATGAGGAACCCGGCTCGTCGAGGGACGAAGTGGAGGAAGAAGTGGGGAGATTGTCGTGGGAGCGTTCCTGTGAGGAAAAGTCGTCCTCGTACGATCCTTGTCCACCCCAGTCCCAGCCTCGCTGCCCTAGCAGATTACTCAACGTGGACGAGGCCCTCGTCAAAGTCTGCCTCGCTGGCATACGCCCAGAAGCATCGCCTTCCTCCATCACAGTGCTACCTCCTCCACCCCCGCTACCCGTCGCACTCCCGGCACTTCTGGTTGTACTGGCGCCTGAAGTACCGTTGCGCTTCTTGCTGATCGTGAACGTTCTGCTGCTCCCGGGACCAGAACGACTACCGTCCGCACCGCCGCCATAGATGGTCGTGCTTCCGCCACCTACAGACTCGCTCCTTCCGCCTCGTATTGATCCAGTCCAATTCGATACTGGATATAGACTGCCATCGTCTGCGGACGCATCGGCTGTGTCCCCTCCGTACACGGAAGGATCCACTGGGCGGATCAAAGAAGAGGAGTGGAAAATCCGAGGCCGGATGGAGGGAGGTCGGGGTCGAGCGCCAGATAGGGATTGCAAGCCCCCAGACGGGGAGCGAGTCAGCAACGGAGACCTCGCTGAGGCTAGATTGCTCAGGGATGCAGACGTCGGCATGGAGGTACCAGCTGTAGCCGTGCGCCGCCCGGAAGTCGAAGCCGCCTTGTTGCCGTACACTCTCTCTGCAGCATTGAGCACACTAGCAGCTCGCTTGCTGGCAGAAAGAGGCATGTACCCATAGCCAGCGTCGCTCCCGCTAAGGCCTACACCCGCACCCACCCTTCTCGAGCCGGAACCGGTACCGAAAGACCCCATACTTGGGGTGCTGCCGCTGCTTCGAAAGGCACCTCCACGTAATGCCTCGATAGTCGCCAGGGATTGTCGCTTGGCGTGTGGGCCTGACGAGGATGCAGGAGTGGACTCTCGCTGCATCCTGCCATTGCTGCGAGACTCGGTAGCAGAGGCGGCGACTCGCGAATGGGAGGGTAGACCAGAACGTCCAGTGCGGTGAATGCCGTCGTGTGCAATGTCGTCGTTGAAAGGGTCGAAGTCGGGCCGATCGACGTCATCCAGAAGGTGTGAGGCAGACTCCGGGAAAGGGTCGTCCTCGAGTGACGAGAGAGAGGAGTCTGAAGCGACGTCGTCTTCTTCGCCTTCTTGCACAGCCTCATCGAGTACTTCTGCTTCTGCTCGGCGAGGCAGGGCTTGCTGAATTTGCCGACTTTCTTGCTCTTCATAGAGTACATCATCAAGCGCTCCCACACGGTCTAGACCATCTTCTTCAGCCCATTCGCTTTCGCCTCCATCTAGTCTCATTTCCTCGGCTTCTGCCTGCTCAAGCGCCTGATCATCAACATCGACAAGCTCAGCATCGTCAAAGTCATCTTGCTGCGATGACTGAATATCTTCAAGTAAGCCCCCAAGGCCCATTGAACTGCGACCTCCCAATGCACCGCCCCCCTTTTTGAGGCCTTTAAGGCCCTTGAATCCTTTGCCATCTTTGGGCAGCCTCACTTCGTCCGGCCGCAGACCATATGTTGGGTCGTAGGACTCGGTATCATCGAAGGAGGTACTCAGAGGCGGAGGAATCTCGAAAGAGCCTTCGTCCTCTTCGAGCCGAAGGCGAGTGGCTAGATTGCTGTCCATGGGTACAGCCGAGGAGGAAGAGGTAGAAGGCAGCGGAGGCTGGGCGGACTTGGACGATCCAGCTCGGCTCCCTCGCCGTTGTTTCATCGTTGACGGTGGAGAAGATGCATCACCGGCAGCGCTGCTAGCTTTGCGTGCGTTCTCCGACCGCTTTCTCGATCGTTTTGGGGACGTTAGAGATGGAGCTGGTGGTAGGTGGTCCTCTTCCCCTCCATGCGTCGAGGCTGAGCCCCGCTCCGGCTTCCCTGCCTCGTGGTGTGCTCCTGGCCCCGCCTTAGGCTTTGCCTGCCCGCTGAGCCACTTCTGACTCAATCGATGGATGATGCCCGGCAGGTCCTCCCGAAAGACTTCCTTGAGCTGGCCCTCGATTTCTTGTTGTAGGTACTTTGCGATGACCGCGACGCTATCAAACGTACTTGACACCTGAACACTCTCTAGTGGATCGTTCTTGAAAACGAGTGTGATGCCTTTGGTCTTAGACACGACCAGTACGATGATGGCCCTCAGTCGGACATGCGACAGACGCAGCTTCATGGGGACGATGAGGGGAGCGGCAGCGAAGAGGATTCCTCTGGAAGAGGAGCCGGCAGAGGAGAAGGGTGTGAAGGTCTCCTCATCTTGTCCTGAGCTGACACCTCTCCCACTAGTTGCGCCTGAGCTCGGCGTCGGCTTCGACAAGGGATTAGCTTGCACTTTGGTGGACAGAACCAGGTGAGCATCTCCCGAGTAGGTGAGCCTGAATATGCCACGAAAGCGATCGCGTGAAAGATCGCCAATCTCCAGAATTTCGAGATCAGGAGGCTAGGATAGAGGATGACAAGGTAGGAATGGAGGGTGAGTCGGAGCATTGGATTGACATCCTTGATTGCCGCAAGCTATCGTAGGCCTCTTCTACTCACTACGGTCCCCATAGACAGCTCATCTACTTTGATATCATCAGCAATGACTTTCGGCTTTGGTCCTCGATTGAGAGCCGAGTCGAGCATGACCCGAGCATCAGCGTGGAACTCGGGCGAGAATTCGGGCCATGTGAAATTGAACGACATCCTCAACTACGGCAGGAGGGAAGGAAAGCCGACCGCGGCAATGCGAGAAAGTTGAATGTCGTTGTCTAAGACTATGTCATGACTGGTGTTGGGACAGAAGTATCTGGGTATCGCGGAGATGACGATGGTGTCGAGGTGATGGCACGACAAGAGACGACGAGGCAATGACAAGGTCCTTCTGGGTGGGATATCCGTCGGGCCCTTCTTCCCTGGGCGGACTGGCGTGCGTGGGTGCGTCCCGTGCAGGCGCATGGCGCTTCCGCGGGAAGACGGGGGCAGAAGGGACCACCACCACCACCATCAGCACCTTGACGTCCATACCACGCCTTGCAATCCCCACTCCACCTGATCCCGCGCCGAGAGTAGCACAGGATGCCCTCTGCGCCTTCTACATCATCGCGGCGGCAGCCAGCAGCATCGCAGTCGGCGTCGGGCGACCCTTCCTCCTCTTCCGCCAACGCCTTGCGCCGACCCAGTACCCTCGCCTCCGAGGACGTGTCCCTCTTCACCTGCCTCTCGGCCTACTCGGACGCACTCGATGCTCTTCCCCTTGACCTCACTCGCTCCTTTTCCGACTTGCGAGAACTCGACGCTGTCCTCGGCCCGCATATAACGTCCCTCATCTCCCGGTTGAACGGCCTCAACGAGATCGTTCGCGATGTAGACGGCTCCTACGCAGCCCAGGGCATCACTTCCGGACAGCGCCTCCTACTTCTCAAAGAGTGCGCCGAAGAGGCTAGGGCCTACAGGATGGGCGGTGAAGACAAGATCCGCGTCGCGCTCAACACCTGTGAGACAATCATGAGCCACACAGAGTACATCGATGCCATCCTGGACAATCTCACCTCACATCCCGAGCTCAGGGAGATCTTCGAGACTGAACGTCGTCCACACGTCGCTGGAGAGCTCAGCGACGGAACCCCCATCACAGTCGCGTCAGCCAACGCTGCTATCATGGCCGCTGGAGGCTCAGGCATCTTTGCCAACCCAGCAACTGAGGCAGGTGGCAGATTCGGCGTCGGGGGAGGCATTGGCGGCGTGGGTCTCACCACCTTCAACGGCATGGAGGTAGACAAGACGACTGCGGGCGGATCTGCCGTTGGCTCGTCAAAGAAGAAAAAGGTGGCAGCAGGCGGTGCTGATAAAGACACACCTGGCAAGGCCCCCTCATCAGCTGCTGCATCGGGCGTCAAGAGTGCAGCGGCTGCTTCCGGATCTTCGAAGAAACGCAAAGCAAGTGGAGCTCCTGGCAACGGCAAGGACGACGACGATTCGGGTACGCCTAGCAAAAAGACGAGCACTCCAACCACCTCGCGCAAGAAGGGTTCGGCAGCAGCAGCAGCCGCTGCCGCCTTAGCCCGCGATTCGCCTGGGCCCTCTTCGGCGAGCAGGTCCAACAGTCGAGGTGGTATCGGCGGCGGAGCAGACGATGAGCCACCCTCTCGTGGCACCTCCTCACGGGGACACGTTGCCTCTGCGCTAGCTCAGAGTGCAAGTGCTGCCCGCTCCTCTCGCGCTGGATCAGAAGCACAGAGGCGAGATGATCTCAAGGACGATGACGATGGGTCTTCTTCCAGGGCAGGAAGTGTCGTAGCCGTTCCTTCCGGGACTCGCTCACGCCCTGCTCGAGGAGGACCTGCCCGAGGCGGAACGGCCATGAACGCTACGGGCAGCTCACTGCGCCGCGGACATGCGGCCGACGACGATCAAGACGGGTATGGCGGCGAGGACGGATACGATGAAGACGATCGAGGTGGAGCGGACGAAGAGAGTGGTGCCGTTGCTCCCTCTTACCCAGCTGCTGCTAGTACTGGTCGACGTGGCGGAGGCAAGAATGCACTGGAGCGCACCGCCTCTTCCTCCTCCCTGGCTCTGGGCTCCCATGCGGGTCTGCAGAACGATGAAGCCCTTTCCCCTGCTGGAGACGGAGCGGGTGGAGTGCCCCTGGGAGGAAGCGGACCGGGCAGTGTAGGAGGGGACGAAGCGGATGAGAGGAGGTACTGCTTCTGCAACAATGTCTCGTACGGAGATATGATCGGGTGCGATGACGATGCCTGCGAGAGGGAATGGGTGAGTATCGAGCGCGGGGCGCACCCCAGCCCGGCGAGGAGGTGGCAAGAGCACAACACCGAGACTGACACTGAACCTGTCTTGTCTTGCCTTTGCTACCCATAGTTCCACTTGGGATGCGTGGGCCTCACCAAGCCTCCCTCCGGAACATGGTACTGCGACGACTGTCTGGACCGAAGAGCAGCCAAAGCCGTGAGTGGCCCCTCCGTATCCCGCACGCGCTCACTCCCCCCTCCCTTACTCCGTCTCCTGAGCACCCACTCCAAAAAGAGCTTGCTGACTCTTCCCTCCTCCCTCGTCTGTCCCACAGTCCAAGAGCAAATCCAAATCCAACTCTTCTGGCGCAGGGGCGGGCGGCTCTGCTTCCAAATCCCGTCTCGCACGAACGTCGGGCACGCACGGAGGTGGTGGAATCGATCTAGCTACTACCGGCGGTGCCAGTGGGAACAATGTTGCGACAGGAGGAGGAGGTAGATCGGGTGGAAGTGCGGGGACGGGGGGAGGAAAGTCGCTGCGTCGCTGAGAGGCCGGGAGACGGAAGAAGCGAAGGGAGCGAGGCTTCTGAGACGTCAGCAAGGGCGAGGAAGCGCAGCGGTAGGTAGACGCAATGTGTGTCTTCCTTTGCTTGTAATTGTGAATGCAATTGTGATGTGTGTGATGAAGCATGACACAAGAAAGAGCAAAAGTTCGACGAGGAGCAAATTCTCGCTGCCATTCGCTGCCCTCTCCACCTCGACTGTGTACCCTGCTCTCGTGTCTCCTTTCTTCCACCTTCCCTCACCCAGAATGTCCCCACTTGTGGTGCCCGCTTCTTTTGCGACACTTTCACTCGTCTCTACTAGCCAGCCGCTCAGGAAGACTTCTTGTCGGCGCCTTGAGCGCTGCTGCCCTCTGCCTGCGCACGGATTCGCTCCTCCTTTCGTAGAGCGCGCTTGCGGATGTCGACGTGTGTGCCTGGACGCGGATGAGAAGGAAGGAGAGGGGAGAAGAGGGGAGGAGTCAGATTAGTCGGTGGAAGCCCCTCATGATTGGCGTTCTGCCTGGTCCACTCACCATAGCTGTAGGCCGTGGCCCTACCAATTCCCAGCAGCTCCCTAACTGCCCATTCCACAAGGGCATGCTGAGGCCAGATGGTCATCTCCCTCCCCCTCCTGTCCTCCTGGTATGCACTTCCATTCCTACCAATCTTGGCCAGCACCTGTGAAACGTACTGCTTGGGCGTGGGGACCGACCAGCTCGACTTGCGAATCTTGGACATGGCCGTACTGATCAAGAAGGTGTTGAGGAGCAGCGAAGTCACACCTACGCGGTTGAGCTCCTCATTCAATGCCCTATTCCAGCCGATCAAGAAGGACTTGCTGCCGGCGTAGGTGGCCAGGAGAGGTGTGGGCACCGATCCGGCAAAGGAGCCGAGGTTGAGGATCAGGCTCTCCTTGCCTTTGCTCGAGGCATTTTTCATCAGCAGAGGTACGGCAATTCGGCTCACGCGCAGGGTGGCACGGACATTGATTTGGGTAATGGCTTCGATCTCTTGCACATCCGTCTGGGAGAAGAGGACGGGGATGGAGTGGGACATGCCGACGTTGTTGACCAGGACACCCAGATCGAGCGGGGAGAGGAGCTGTTCGAGCTTCTCGAAATCATCCTCGCTCGCTTTGGAAAAATCGATTGCAATCGTCTTGACCTCGGCAGAGGTGTTGGGCAGGCCTGACAGAGGGAGATTCCGGGGAAAGGAATGTGGGGTGGTCGGCATCAGTCCTGGTCCGACTACTGGAGTTGTGTTGCTCGCATCTCTTCGACTACGCACCTTCTATCTCTGCCTTTACCGCATCTAGCTTGCTCTGTGTCCTGCTGGCAACGACAATGTTGAACCCCTTCTTTGCCAGCTGCAGTGCGAATTCCTTTCCAATGCCATCGGTAGCTCCGGTGATGAGTGCCCAGGACGCCTGCTTGGGCTGCTTCTTGTTGGCGCCAAAGGTGCTGAGTGGGATACCAGAGAGGACGTAGCAGTCGAGTAGGACTCTGAGAAGGCCAATGAGGGGCTTTGCGACAGTGAAGAGGCCGACGACGCTCAAGATGCGAACAAGGAGGGGAAGCTCACCTGGCCGAGGAGAGCGGGTGGGATGGAGGGTGCGGTAGGATCGGACAGTCAGGCGACATAGCTTTGGCGAAGCTTAGCTCTCTAGCCTCTCTCGATATGCTCACCAAAGTAGCTCGTGATGATGGCCATGGTGTGACTTCACTCTGGCGTTGTAGGATACGATTTTGCGGATAGGATGGTAGCGGTGGTGTGTGCGCCAGAAGAAGTCAATGGGGCGTCGTGTGTGTGTGTGTCTGGCGCGTGGCTTCACTCCGCCCGTCGTCTGTGCGTCTCTCTGGTCGGAACGGAAGGGACGCGCGCAACAATCACACCACTCACTCCTCACACACAGGAAAATGTCACAGCCGCCTCCTTCCGCAAAGCCATCATCCATACCAGAACTCGCCCTCGATAGCATCGCCGCTCCCTCACCTTTCAAAGGCCATGATCATCTCATCGGCTACCACTACCACAGCTCGCCGGTCACTGGCATCTGCTTCCAGACTGGGCGCCCTCGCTGGTCCATCTCGCAGCCTCGCCACGCCTGTCTCGTCTTCTTCTTCTGCACTCGCCGGAGGATCAGGATCTTCCCAACACCGTGTCCTTATCGTCGGCGGAGGCGCAGCAGGACAGGCCGTGTCCCATCAGTTGGCACGCACAGGAGCATTCCCAGAGCACGAAGATATTGCCATCATCGACCCGAAGTCTACCCATGACTACCAGCCGGGATGGACTCTCGTCGGTGCAGGTCTGAAGACAAAGGAGGAGCTCAGGAGGAATATGGGCGACCTCGCCGGCAATGGCGATGGTCTCAAGCTATACCAGGACTCTGTTGAGAGCTTTGACCCTGAGAACAACTCGATCAAGACTCGCGATGGGCGCACCATCTCCTACGAGCACCTCGTCGTTGTGCCCGGCCTGGCACACTTCCCCGAGCGTATCTCCGGTCTGCCTGAGGCCCTCGCCGATCCTGCCTCCAAGGTTGGGTCCATCTACGACTACGACTCCTGCGACAGGGTGTGGGAGTACATTCAGGACCACAAGTCCGGCCCAGCTATCTTCACTCAGCCTCCTCAGCCTCACAAATGCGCCGGCGCACCTCAGAAGATCATGTGGCTTGCCTGGAACCACTGGAAGGACCAAGGAGTGAGAGACAGCATTCCAATTTCCTTTGCTACCGCACTCCCTGCCATGTTCTCCGTACCCAAGTACAGTGCCGTCTTGGATGATCTGAGAAAGGAGAGGGATGTGGAAGGTCTCTTCGGCCACAATCTCACCTCCATCGAGGGCTCCACGGCCACCTTCACCACTACTTCTGGCGAAAAGGTGACACGGCCCTTCAACTTCCTCCACGCCACGCCTCCTCAGGGTCCCCGCGCCTTTGTCAAGGACTCGCCCTTGGCAGACGCTACGAGTGGCTTTGTCTCCGTGGATCAGTCTACTACTCAGCACACAAAGTACCCCAACGTGTGGTCCATCGGCGACTCCTCTTCCCTCCCCACATCCAAGACAGCTGCCGCCATCACCGCGCAAGCTCCGGTCCTTGTGGCCAACCTGATCCGCTCTGCGCTCAACATCAAGGACGGCGAGGCGGCATCGTACGACGGGTACACGTCCTGCCCTCTCCTGACAGAGTACGGCAAGGTCCTCCTCGCCGAGTTCAAGTACGGCGCCCAGGTCAAGGAGACGTTTGGCCAGCTCTTTGGTTTTGATCAGGGAAAACCCTCGCGCGCATTCTACCATCTGAAGAAGGACTTCTTCCCTTGGGTGTACTACAACTCCATGGTCAAGGGTACCTGGGCCGGTCCTAAGGGCTTCAGCATGGGTGGTGGACTAGGAGCTGTCGCGCCTAAGCCCACTGCTCGCTCCTTCAGCAGCAGCGCCTTCTCCTCTAGCTCTCACTCCGGCTCGCGCCGAGCCTTCTCTACCACTCCGCGCCAGCAAAGGGACACGCCGGTGCGTCGCGCCCGCGACCCTCTTGACAAGGACCCAACCGCAATGCGCTACCCCCTCCCCAGCGGCGAGACGCTCATCGTGCGGCGTGCACCCGCTACTGGATCCTCACCAGGTGGGAACCTGCTGCAACCTGCCCTACACGAGGTCGCATCCGCAAGCGCTCAAGGCAGCGGGAGTGTCCTCCCCCCACCCCTCTCCCCACGCTCCTCCCACCCTCTTCGCAAATCCCAACTCTCCCCGCAGCAAATCTCCCAAATCCAATCTCTACGCTCCTCTTCCCCCCTGTCAAACACCCCTCGCAAGCTCGCACGCCAATTTGGTTGCTCGGAACTCTTTGTAAGGATCGTCGCACCGGTGGATCGGGTGACGAAGCAGTTTAGGGAGAATCAGGAGCAGGTGAGGCGGCAGGGAGAAGGGGTGGAGAGGGCAGTTGTGAGGGCGGAGAGGAGGGCCAGGCGGGAGCTGTGGTGATCTTGTGGTGCGGGGGCAGTGAGAGCCAAAGAGAAAGGAAGAGAAGAAAGCAGGCTAGGGCGAGGCAATGCAATTCAATTCAACATCGTAGACTACTTTCATCATCATCTCATCTCATCTTCCAGCCGTCCGACTCGCAGACTGCATAAAGACTGAAACCCTCTATTGACGCGTGGAAACTATTCTCATCAGGTTCGAAACAAAGAAAGTCTGAAAGGCGCTGACAATTGACTATAAAATGCCAAGACCTACACTTAGTCATGGGACATGGGACATGGGAGCCGAGCGCGCGTACATGGTCGCGGCGAATCTACAACAGGTTGGGGACTGGGGACTGGGCAAAGGATAGCGGATCTAAGGAAGTCAAAAGTCGAAGGTAGGGACGGGACCGTCTCTGATCCTCTGATCTTCTGTTTCCTGTCTCTCAAAGGAGCGTCAGAAGTGACGAGAAGATCTGGGAGATGGGTCGTGTGTTCATGGTCAGTGGAAAGAGGACTGGACTTGAAAGTGGGTGACGGAGGATAAGGGAGCTGTGATGTCGAGGATGGTCCGAGGGTCGGCGTGGCACACTCGCTCTCTGAGTACATGACGCAAAAGCTTCAGGCTCCATCGACTGTCGCGCCCACGGCTGCCAGTCCGAAGAAGGTCCTGTAGTAGGGAGAAGCAAGCGGGCGTCAGTATCTGCGCAAGGTCGTCCTCTGAACTGCAACTCCAAGTGCACACTCACCCAACGGCTCCCAGCGCGACGCCGCACGCTACATCCCTGACCCTCTTAGCGTCGATGCCAACGGACAGCCTGGGGCGCTTGACGGTCCTGACTCGGTCCAGACTGGCACGAGCGCGTGCGGCAAGTGCAGACGAGGAAGGAGTTGCACTGAGAGCTGACGTAGCCTCTTCGGGACATTGGGGAGAGGTGTATGTAGTGACAACCTCGTCCGTCTTCTCCTCGACGTGAGCGGGAGATCCTTCGTTCGTAGACTGAGGTGAGTCTTCAGGCTCAACCTCATCGATGGAGCGTTTGAGTCCAGCAGGGACAATGGGGAGTCTCTCGCAGCCGACTTCCATCATTGATGGAAGTCGTGCGTCGGCGCTCACGTTTCCACCTGTCTGAATCTCGTTGTCATCGAGCTGACCGCCTCCGGTAGATTCATCCTTCTCCTCGACGTCGCCTTCTTCGACTGACTCTTCATCGTCGTCGTCGTCGTCGCTATCGATGCTCTCGTCTTCCTCAGCTGATTCTTCAGAGTCGTTATCTGAGTCACTCTCGTTCGCGTCTTTCATGTCCCCGGAGTCGTTGTTGAGATCCTCTGCATCGGCTGGGCCTTCGTCCTCGACGGCGTCATCGCCGCCGATGTTCTCTGCGCTGGGTGCGCAGTAGCCATGTTCATCGACATTAGCTTCGAGGGCGTTCTCCGACTCTTCAACGAGCTCAGAGGACTCGGTGTGTTTCACGCTCTTGCTCATGTCAGAGGAAGCTGACGCCACCTTCGATGCAACAGGAGAATCGTGGCCTTCGTCACCTCCGAACGCTTTTCGGTAGTCCTCCCAGACCGATCCAAGAGAAGGCATCCTGAGCGTGGCCCTACGCCACAATGCATAATTGAAGGCCGCGTCGGCCTCAGCCTCTTCGCCTTCGCCTTCGCTGTCGCAGTCAGCCTGCTCGCATCTGCATTGGACCTTAGCATGGTCATCATCGGCCATGTTGGAAGACGGAGGGGGAGCGACGTCTTCGAGCTCGGCAGCTGTCTTCGCGCTTCCATCGTTTTCGGTCTGTGTTATCTTCTCGAGCTTCGCGAAGAACAAGGCTCTCTCGGCCACCTGCGAATCAGACGAGAGCGCCAGATGCTCTGCAGTGACGCTTGCGTGTCTTCTCAACATATGTTCTCGCTCATCGCGCTCGGTGTCGAAGCACATCTCGTGCAATTCACTTTCGTGCACTCTGGGTGAGCTTCCATTTAGCTCCGAGTCCGAGCTCACGTCTGAATCGTCGTGAACATCGCAGGGCGACCACTCGCGATCTTCAGCACTGCCAAGAGATTGGTCGCCCGAGGCGTCATAGCCCGCTGGATCATCGACGGGTGTTGCGTCGAGGTCTTCTTCAGAGCTGTGTTCGTCGTCACTGATCGAGTCTTCTGCGATGCCTTCGTGCTCGCCTTCTTCTTCCCGGCCTTCTGGCTCTGCTACTTCAGCGTTATCAGCTTTGGTCGAGACTGGGTTGGTCATGTCAGGGGCACCGGAGGAGCTCGTCCTGGCGGCCTTCTCTGCCTCGCCGATAGCCTTGGCAGACACATTGTTGGCTTGGATGGAGCTACCCGCGCTAGGGACCGGGGAATGGTCTAAGTTACCTGCGGGAGCGCTAGACTGTGCTACAGTGCGTATGGCCCAGGGGATCTCATCGCTTTCCATGAGGTCTTCATCGGTGAGGCGTATGACATTGTTGGCCTCTCTAGGCTTCGGTGGCGCGTACTTGGCCAGGGTGGCATTGATGGCATCAATCGTCTTGCTCAATGAGGTCACCTTGTCGATGGGCGCATCTCTGTAAGGACCTGCACTCGTAGAAGGGCTTGAATGAGTGGGCACCGGCGCAATCACTGGCGCACCTACTGGCGCAGACGCAGATGTTGACGTGGGCTTGGCAATGACCTTTACCTCGTACTGAAGGGGTCGATAGTCACGTCCACTCCTCGTGACGCCTTTGCCAAGGAAGAGTCGATCCCCAGTCTTGATGGGCCACCATGTGCTGTTGGTGACTTGTCGGCATCTGTAGAGAGCGCCGTGGGGTAGCTGGGGTGTAGCCTCGATGACAGTTCCGTGGGAGCTCTTCAAGTCTTTGATCGTGACCGATGTGCCGCCTTTGCCAATCTTGATGTAGAGGTGCTTGCGGGAGACGACTCGTCCTTGGAGCTGAATGTGGATAGGAGTATGATGATTAGAGGGCAGGAGGATTGGTCAGCTTGTCAGCTCCGTTGCGATACTCAGCTGTACAGCCTTGTATCCCACTGCGATGGACTCACGCAGACGGGCTCGATGAAGTTTGCATGGTCATCGAGTGTGACGTCGGCGGATCGACCGAGGACATAGGTGCGGTCTACATCGGTGAAAGCGGGGAGCCATAGTGTCTTGTGTGGCTCTCGATTGTGCTTGGACAGGAGTTCGAGACGGAGTCCTCCCTTGTCCTTGGTCTGCTGAGCACTGTGGTCTGATGCGGCATAGATGGCCATTGCGTGTGGGTTTTCCTCGGACGAGAGACTGGGTGAGGGTGTGGACTTGGGTGGAAGGGCTGCAATCGAAGAGTTTGTTGAGGTCTTGTTGGTAACCCAGGGGGACGAACTCTTGTTGGTAGTGGTGGGTATGGGTGCCCAGGGCTTTGGGATGCGTATGGTCTGCGAGGACGATGGTGGAGGAGGTGGTGGTGCCGACGAGGGCGGTCGAGATGGGATGAGCATATCAGGAAGGGTAGAAGGGTGGTAGACAGAGTGCGAGATGGAAGGGTGGATGGACAGACGAGGACGAGGAGGACGACTGACCGGCGCACGACGGACGGCATTGGCATTGGCAGAGGCAGTGGGGGATCCGTAATCTCCCATTGGCCTCAGTCGCACGGCACACGCTCAGCCTCACGGAACTACACGCCGCGTCCCCGCCTGGAGGCACCAGAGCAGTGTCATCGGCAAGAGCACAATCTCGCACGGGCCCCACCAGCGACCTCAAAAGTTAGCGGGGTGCACGGCCCCACCAACGCCATGCGCCGTGCCTACGCAAAGGCAAACAGCGGAGGCGAGTGAGAAGGTACAAAGCAATGTCGGGGAGCAATGGCGCGGAGCACAGGCGCCGGGAAGAGGTAGCACAATGAGGAGCACAGCTTGAGTGCAACATCGACGCCGTAACCCAACTCCACCAGGTACTTCACCACTCGACGGGTAGCTTGCGCCTAAGTGTATCTCACCCGCCTTCAACTCTACCCCCCAACAGCACGCCCAATATGAGCGGCACTCAGCACCCTCTCTACCCACTCATCAAGCTCTGCACAGTCACAGCCACCAAGCTCTACTACGGCCTCCTCCTCACCTACCTCAAACTCGCACCTCCCAAGCTCACCCTTCCCATCAATAGCTCAAGCACCACCACCAAAGCGAAAGACTACCACGAGTATGGCTTTGCAACACTCAGCGCTTACGATCTAGCTCTCGACTGGAATTGTTTTCTATATGGTGTCAGTAAGAAGGAGATGCAGGAGTGGTTCGATCAAGGATTGACCGAGGAGCATGCAGATATTGGGCCGGGAAGTGGGTATTATGTGAGTGCGAGAGGGAAGAAGTAGGTTGCTTGCAGGTAGGGACCTCTGAAGCCTAATCTTCATCCCCTTCCTGATGCCCTCAGCCGGTACACTCCAAGCGACTGCCCGCCTTGATCGCCTCCTCCACCCCCAGCAAGCCAATCGCCTACCACGCCTTCGACACACAAGAGACCTCCCTCCTATACCTCACCTCTCGCCTCTCATCGCGGTTTCCTCTCACGACCAGCTCCTCCTTGCCCTCAACCGCTAGCGGCAACGGCACTCCCTCCAATCCCAGTCTCGCGCTACAGACCCACCTCTTCGACGCCCGTCAGCACGCTCGTGCCCGAAGTGAATTCGGAGGGAAGATGCAGAGCGTCAATATGCACTTTTTGCTGCACTGCATCCCACCCACTGAGGGTGGTGGGCCAGAAGACAAGTTTGAAGCGGTGTTGAAGACGGCGTGGGAGATGTTGAAGCCGGGCGGGAGCGTTTACGGGACGACCAGTGAGTAGAATGGGAGCTGAGCGCCGAGTAATTACATAGCTCTAATCACATATAGAGGAAGAGCTGAATACCCCTCTTTCCCGCCCGGCTCTGCTCAGTCCTCGATCCTCTCGCCCCCTCAGCTCCAGGGAGACTCAATAGTTCCTTTCCCCCCACCTCGCTCCGCCTGCAGCCTGCCCTCGCCCTAATCTCCTGGCTGCAGAGCGTTGGAGTACTCTGCAATCAGGGCGACTCCCTCAACGCCCTGCTCTGCGCGGCTCAGCCTGTGGGCTTTGAGTTCGAGGAGAGAGGGGGGAGAGACGTCTACTTGAGGGGAGTGGTGTGCTTTTTTAGATTTCGTAAGCCAGAGGAGAGGAAGGATGAGGCTTGAGTGAGTCAGAAAGTTCACTTTCGGCAAGCTACCTGCAGCCTGGCAAAGGGTTTGCAGAATGAATCAATGCATATGCGCATGGCAATCATTACCATTGCCGTCTATCATCTCTAACTCTACACTCTTCCCACTCTACTTCCATCCTTCTCCTTTCTTAAAGCACTCCTCCAACTCCGCATTCAACCTCTCCGGCTCCTGCGCCTGAATCGCATGTCCACACCCTTCAAACAGCCTAAATTCCGCTCCGGGTAGATTCTCTTTCAAATGGTAAGAGTTCCCCGGGTTGACCAATTGGTCCCAGTCCCCTGTGACGATCAGGATGGAGGAGATGGAAGAGGCAATGCGCTGCAGGGCGACGTTGGTGACGCGATGTGAGGTGGCAGCTCGCACTTGGCCAAAGGAACCGGCGGGGGATTGACGACGGGTGAAGTGGAAGCGCCAGAGGAAGAACTGGAGAGAGTACAAGCAAGGAGTTGAGAATGGTGTCAGTCCTCGAGCTCTCAGTGAAAAGTACATCTTTCAAATGTCGCCAACTTACGTCAAAAGCTACCTCTCCATTCTTCTTTCCCGGGACGACTTTACTCTCCTCTCCCAGCCACTTTGCGGGAAAGAGTGTCTCTACGAGTCTCTGGATTGGGTATTCTGGTGGGTCGATACCGAGCATCTTGCCTGCCATTAGACGGGTAATGGTCGCCACGCCTGCCCAAGGGGGAAGAGCGGTTTTGAGACTCTTTTCACCCGAGAAGCCTGCACGGCCAGATGTGGTGGAGAGGAGGGAGAGGGACGATATGCGCTGCACGGGCGAGCCAGGTGAGATGATAGGCGCTGGTGAGCTTACTGGTCCATTTCTCCTCGTCTGTTTGCAGGTCACTCACCTCGGGTATAGCCTTCGCCAGCTCTAGCGCGATCATCCCTCCCATGCTGACTCCCACCACATTCAACTGCTTCTTGTCTTTCCACTCGAGATGATCGCAGATTTCTACCACGTCCTTTGCCATCTCACTGGTAGAGTACTTCTTCATCTCCCGCGGCGTCTCGCTGTTCCCGTACCCCCTGTTGTCAAGTACGAGCAAGGAGTAGCGTGGGTCCTTTGCGAAATGCTCCACCTGATTCAGCCAGCCAAAAGCAGAATTGTTGAGACCCATGACGAAGAGTACTTTCACGGGTCCATCGCCGTGCACTTCGTACCAGACTTGGAAGCCCGGTTGGGAGCGATCAGGCGGCCGAGCGCCCTTTGCTGCTGCGTCCAGAGATGGATCGGCTACGGCTCCTTTTGTAATGCGGTCTTTCGCCACGCGGAGCATTCCACCTTTACTGAAAGTGTCTGGAGAGAAGACGGTGAGACCGCGATCTCCTGGTGGGGACGAGTCGCTTGTGGGGTCATTGGAGGAGGCTGGGATCCCTGAAGGGTCGGTGGAGATGATCGAGGAGATGTGCGTTTGTCCATAGTTGGAGGGAGCGCCACTATAGACTGCGCCCGGTGGTAGGGAGTCGTACGAGGGGAATTGATAGTTTGCCGTCATTGTGAGAAAAGGGAGGAGCGCGTAGTGAGTATAGCTTATGATGTCCGGAGGTGAACATCTAGGGTCCTGTCGTGTGAGGGACTTGTACGGGTGAGCTTCAAGTGGAGCCGATGTGCCGGACGGGAGGAGCTGGTGCATCTCCGGCGGACGTTGAAAGCGAAAGCCCGGTCAACGGAACAGGAAACGGAAACGGAAGCGGAAGGAAGCGAGGCAGGCAGGCAGGCAGGCAAGGAGCCAAGACAGGCTGCAGCCCGATGCGTGCGCGAAAGAGGGCCAGGCCAGCAACCAGGGAGCAAACAAGGAGCCAAAGCAACACCCAACACTTTCGCATTCCTACCACCTTCTTCCCATTCTCTTCCGTCTTTATTCTCCCCGCCTCGTAACCTACCTCTTCGTCTCAAGATGAGGTTCTGGAATATCATCAGCATCTTCGTCCTCGCCCTCCTCCTCGTCGTGCCAGCTTGGGCATGGGAGAACTCAGACCATGAGGTGAGCTGCGAAGCACCCACATCGCTAGCCGCCGATATAAACAGCTTCTTTCTGATGTCCATCTTCGCCCCTTCGCCATATTGCAGATCTTCGACTTGCAAGCAGCCCTCGAGTCGAGTGAAGGCAAGGGCGTTACATTCTACTCCATGCTCAATCTCACCAAGGACGCTACTGCCCAGCAGATCAAGACGGCTTACAGGAAGAGGAGCGTAGAGCTGCAGTGAGTCAGAGGGTCTCGACGAAGGACGACTGCTTGTCGGCACGGAAAGATGCTGAGTTGTGCTTTTGTTCTTTCTCCAACCTTTCCAGCCCGGATAAGCACCCGCAGAATCCCTCGGCAGCAAAGCGCTTCGAGCGTCTGGGCCTGATCAACAAGATCCTCCGTGACGAGCGCAAAGACCGGTATGACCACTTTCTCTCCACCGGTTTCCCCAAGTGGCGCGGAACAGGCTACTATTACGAGCGCTTCCGCCCTGGACTCATCTCTGTCATTGTAGGTGTTCTAGGCCTCACGGTCCTCGTGGAGCACATGATCAAGCGACTCAACTTCTCTCGCGACGTTGGAAGAGTTTCACAGCTGCGCAAAGCAGCCCTATTCCAGGCTTGGGGACCCAAATTCTTCCAGGTTCTCTACAATGCCAAGGGCGCGCCTGCCGTCGCACAGGAGAAGAAGCTCAAACTTCAGGTGGCTTTCCTGCCTGAGCTGCCGGCAGGTCCTACTCCAGCAGAGGTGGAGCAAGGAAAGGTGGACTGGGATGCTCTGGAGAAGGAGGTCAGGAAGAGCGCGCTCACCAGTGGTGGAAGCCCAGCTCGCACTGGAGAGGGCGCTCCACGGACAGTGGATCTGCTGGTCACGAGGGAGAGCGATGGAGAGGCCATTGTCTGGCTTCTCGATCCCGCCTCGGGCGAATTCAGCGAGCTCAATGAGGAGAAGATGCTCAAGCCTACCTTTAAGGAGAGCTGGCCATTGCGAATTGTGCAGAGGTTCAGGGAGGGAAAGGCTGGTCAGGCGGTCGAGGAAGCTGCTGCTGAGGGAGCAGAGGCCGTGTCGAAGGCAAAGGAGAGCGTCGCTTCTTCGTCGGCTGTCAAGAAGAGCAAGGGCGGCAAAAGGCGCTAGAGCCAAGGCAGCGCATGGGAGCATATATGCAGATGAGGAGAGCTGGGAGAAATTCAAGCCATTGGAGAATCGCATTTACACCTATCCGATAGCAACAACCATTAGCTCAGCTCAATTCAATAGAGGGAGAGTGTTCTCTAGAGGCGGTATACCTTCGAGGCGTTTCTGTGCGACGAGGAGAGGGAGGATTAGTCAAAGTGCGATTGTCAGCTTCTGCCCCATCTCGTCTCAGTCCGACTATGCTCCACTTACTCTGCGAAAATACCATCCAGTTCTCCCCTCCTGCCCAGTCCCATTGCATAAAGTCCAGAACGTACAGTCTCATACCACTCCTTGACAGCCTCCTCTGCCTCTTTGGTTCCATCCGTTGAAGCCGTAGCCAAAGAAGGGCCAAGAGCATTCAAATGACAAGCCCAAAAGACTCTCTCGGTTCCAAAGGCCTCAATGAGGACCTCTAGGAAGATTCTCACTCGACTTTGAACTTCTTCACTCTTCTCTCGAGCTGGGAGGAGGAGATCACCCTGTGCGCTCGCAGAGGCGGAACTGAGGACTTCGGCGGCACTTTGTACGAGGGAGGAGGAATGGTCGGCTGCGCGGGTGGAGGGAGGTGTGGTTAGGGGATTAGAGAGGGAGGAGGGAAAGACGAGGGGGGAGAGCTTGATGTAGGTCTGTGGGTGGAGGGCAAGGCGCTGCGTAGATGGATGGAGTAAGGTGATCGAATTCAGCACAAGGGGTGTAGAAGAGAGTTGCATCGAATGACTCACGCCGACGAAGGCAGCCCAGTCTTGTAGCTCCTGACTCCGTGGTAGGCTGGTGGAGTTGATGTGCAACGGCGGCGAGGCAAAGGAGTCTGTAAAAGGTCAAGGTCGCAGCGAGTGTCAGCGGACTCTCTTTCAGCACCTCAGAAACGTATCCGGCACTGACCAAAGACGATGTACCCTCCTGACTCATCACTTCCTTCTTTCTCCTGCCTAGCAGCAGCCGAATCACTGTGAGCCTTGCCTAAAATCTCCTCGACCTTCTCCCTCACCCGCTCCGCCTCACCCTCCTGCTCCCGACTACCATCGCTAGTCACCAGTGCCATCTCAAGGGTATTCTGCCTCTCCCGCGCAGCCTTGATAATCTCGACCCACTTGTTCACTTCGCTCAGGTCTGCCTCTGAGCGGATGGTAGGCAGGGAAAAGTTGAGGGAGAGGTGCGCAGGTACAGAGGTTGATCCAGGCTCGGGCAGGGCAGGTGGCTCTCCGCTCTTTGCCCGTAGACCAGCAGCGAGAGGGTTGACGACACCGATGGGGAGGTTCTGCCTTGCGTCTTTGCCCACCTCAAGGGCGTTGGAGGTACCGGCTGGTTCCTCTCCAGAGGAGGCCAGCTCGTATACGAGACCCCTGAGCTTGATGCTTTCATTTCCGCAGAAGCCTCGCTCACGCCAGGAGAGGCAGAGGGAGTCGAGTGTGCTCCTAGAGGCTGAGCCAGAGGTGAGGAAGCTTAGAGAGGAGGGATGCTGTTGCTGCACCGAGGAGGTGGGGTGATTGGACGAGGGAGGAGAGGAGAGGACGGAAGCGAGGTCCAGCTTGGGAGGACGAGAAGGGGCCATGACTGTGGATGAACTTATTGCGATGTGGGAGGTGGAAGAAGGTGATGGTGCAGTCTTGCTCGGGTGGATCTACGACTTTCGTCAAGGATGCTTACGAGTGCGAAGAGAGTGTATGGCAATGAAGGAGCAGCGCAGCCTTGTGACCATTGCACTCCAGAGCGGAAGTAGGGCCCTGCTGCACCTCGACGTCGATGCACGCCAGCTGTGGAGGCAACACAACTCCGGCCTGGCGCATGAAAGCAATCACACTCGGCTCGCGTGGCAGACGCGGGGGGAGGCCACACACGCCAAGGTCCATGCCGTGCAGCGACGAAGGGCATCCCTGGCGACGACATTGAGGGGGCGAAGAACATTTTTCTAGAATGAGGCACGGCAACAAGATGTTGACCCAGCGATCATATGGACATAGATACCGAACTTGCCAAGCACGCTTCGGAGCACTTTTCACCCGGGTCCGAGAAGCACGGCGCTCTTCCGTGACGGGGATATAGAGCCGCAATTACAGGCACTCGGTCATCTCCGACATGTGCACGCTGCACCTGGGCGACGACGGAAGGGTTCCTGATATGATGACCCTAATATGATGTCTCTATTACTTACCGGTCCTGGGAACAGCTGCTAAGGGCGCGGTCTTGGACTCTTTCACACGTCTCCAGTAGCAAACGCCGTATATAAGAAGGCATCCTTTTGCCTTCAACGCCTCGTTCTGCTTTCTCGCACCATCCACACCCTCCCCCACTCGTCAGCCTCTCTGACACTTCCACTCCTTCTACATCCGCACACACGCACACACACACACAAACACCCTTGTCAAGCACCCTGTAGAACAGAGTGAGCACAAGCGCTGCATGGACTACGTAGTGGCGTGAAGCTGACCTCTTCAGATCATTTGCTCCTGCCCAGTAGGCTCTCCAAGCTGACTTGACATCAAGCATCTACCATGAAGTCGAACACCCTACTCATCACACTCTGCCTCATTCCCCTCGTCCTGGCTTCCCTGGCCGATGCTCACCGAGGGTTCGAGGCAGTCCGTGGTGCCCCCTCCAAAAGGTCAAACCCCATCGATGAGGTCCTCTCCCAGGTCGAGCACCTCCCCACGACCCTCCAACCCCGCTCTAGGAAGCACCTCGCTGAGCGTGCCGAGCAGGAGGCACCCTACCATCCCGACGAGTCCTACCAGGGCAAGACGGCACCCAAGCCCTTGCCGCACCACGGCATCGTAATTGCTCGACCTACCAACGGCTGTTATCTCCCAGGCCACGACGGCAAGATGTACCACATCTGTAGGTCCCCGAATAGGAGTTGCCCACTGCAATGCCAGTCGTCGCGACCCCCTTACTCCCCACCCAAGCCCAACTCCCCCTAAGCAAAACGCGAGCTGCGTGGCTCGTGAACGCGACAGCAAGGGCGGTACGCCTGTATTTCCTGACTTTTTGTAGTTTGTTCTCTTCTACTTGTCAGCTCACCTCTTAGAAACTTTTGTTCTATCGCCGGCTATGGCGGCACACACAGCGGAGACGCAGCGAGAAGCAATTCAATACGGCTTGCCCACGTAGTCTGGCAATAGCAAAGACCGTCGATCGCTTGTTACCATTCGAGAGCGAGGCGAGAGTAAAATCTTCACTGATGCCGCCTTCTGACACCAACGAAACGCGGAAGATCTTCGCTGACGGCGTTCATTTGCGGTGGTCAACAGCTACGGAAGAGGGAAGCCGCGGTTTGTGACTTGACATGTAATATTCAGAAAGGGGGGCAAAGGCAAGCGTCGGCGACTCAGGTTGTAGGTAATTGCTTTTTGCGTGCAGCAAGTCCGATGGTCGCCGGCATGGACTTCCGGAAGCCTTGTGCGACCGGAGAGGTCGTCATATCAGAAGTTGACAAGTCCTTCATTGGTAGACATGTTGTCGGTAGGTTTCACAGACTCCACAAGCAAAGAAGCGATCAGCAATGGCTCCGTAACCCTGGCTCTGCTCTGCTCTACTATGCTCGAACGCTAAGCGCAACTTCATTCGCCTAAACCTTCAGTGGCAAAAGCCATTGCGTCCGCGATATCCTTATCCAGCGATCAGCCCCTCCCTGCTGCTCCCAACAACGTGTATCGCTGTCGCGTATTGGTGGCAGCAGCCGTTATCGTATTGCTTGCTCTCCACCACTGTCGGCGATGCTGGTGGACGATGACATTGTCCATCGACAGCTGTCAAGCTATTGTGCAAGAGCAGCGCCTCTCCCAGTCTTGTTTCGGGATAGACGGAGCGAGTCCGTGCTGATTATCCTTCGAGGAAGTACAAGAGGGGTCCATGATGTCGCTTTCGAAGTCTGGACCCTCTTCTCTCTCCAGCAGTGCTCACTTTCTCGATAGCGTCTCATCCTCTCCATCTCTACACTCCAAATCCTCAGGCTGAACTGGTTTCACCCTAGAAAAATTTCCTCACTCCAGACAAAATTTTCAAATAGAGCAGTGCTCGTCTATCCAAACACTCATCATCACACAATCTGTAGCAGGTCTCAGATCCACAACATGAAGCTTCAATTCGCAATCATCCTTGCCGGACTTCTGTCCCTGTCCGTAGCACAGGCTGCTCCTTGGTCTGAAGAATCGCCTAACGAACCCATTGGCCTCGGTGCTGGCTCTTCTCGCGGCTTCACCCAAAGCAAGAGGGCAATTCCCACTGTTATGCGACCTACCCCTTCCCAAGACCCGCAGGAGCGGCTCAACGACCCCATTCACCTCATGAAGCGCCGAGCGATCCCTTTCGGCGAGCGAGGAATCAAGATCGATGATCCTACCACACAGTACATCACGCCAGCCCAGTACAGGCGGGGAGACGACGAGATCCGACTCATGGGAGACTACCAGAGCACAGTCGGTTCCAAGCCCCCCGCTTCCGGGATCGGGCTACCTCCCCGTACTGGCAAGCCTCCTGGAGGCGGTGCGGGTCGCTCATTCAAGCGAGACATCGCCAACGAAGACTACGCGTCGCTCAGAGACGACTACCAGAGCCAGACCGGCGGTAACCCTGGTCCGGGTCACTGGCTTCCCCCTCCTGATCCCAAGGCTAGGTCGGGCGGTGGAGTGCGCTCGGGCAAACGAGACCTGACGGATGAAGATCTGGAAGACTACGCCTGGCTCAGGGAAGACTACCAGAGCAAAGCCAACGAGCCTAAGCAGGGCGGTTCCCCGGGTCATTGGCTACCTGGATCTACTGGCAAGCCTCCTGGCTGTACTTCATGCCGCACAGGCAAGCGTGACCTGACCGAAGAAGACGCAGCTGATGATGTCTGGCTGAGGTCCGACGACAGGCGCAGTTCATCAGAGCCCCGCAGCTTGCTGCCTCCCCCTACTGGCATGCGCCCGGTACGCGACAGAGCTCGCATGGGCAGGCGAGACCTAGTAGACATGCAAGTCGCAAGCGACTACGTCTTGTCTAGAGATCTTGTTCAGAAGCCCCCCAGTGGTGTCTCCAACCCTGGCGGTGGCCCAGACCAGGGAGCAGTTGAGAACCCCGGCGGCAGGCGAGGGCTGAACGATGCGGATTCTGCTGGTGGATCTATCCTCTCCAGGGACACTACGGGCAACAAGCCCTTTGGTGCCGTCCCTCGTGCCCCGGTCGACAGGGGTGGTGAGGCTTGGCAAGACATCGGCCCTACGAACCCTGTGAATCCCGGACACCCTTGAGCTCATCGCCGAGCCGAGCTGAGGTATCCTGCGCGAGCAGATCGGCGATCCTTGAAACTCCTCGGTGACGACCCACATATATACTTCCCTTTTCGACCCCCTCCCGACGCAACGGGCCCGGTTGCTCCACCTTAGTGGAATAGATGCATGACGATTTGCTGACAGACTGGCTGATCTCCGTGATCTTCTTGACGCTTGCTGCCAGCCATGAAAAATGGTTGAGGTGGGCAGGCCACTGCCAGACCTCTATCAAGTCACCATGTTGCTGTAGCTCTTGATCGCTATTCACTTGCCAGCTAGCTTGTATCGCGCATCAGCTAGCACGATGCCCTCTGCCCTCTGTCTGTTGCTTTCGCTCTTCTCCTCATACACCTCCCTCACCCGAGCCACATCCCTTCCCGCTCCCACAGGCTCTCCGTATTGGACCCAGCAAGGCACAGCCCCCTGCATCGCCTGTCCTTCATCAGCCTCAGCTCGGTCCTCTTCTGCACTCTCCCCCGACTTGAATCCTCCCGTTCTCTGCTTCCCACTCATTGCCTTCACCTCACATCGAATGACGGCTGTCCCTCGGGCGTTTGTACCGTTAGGATCGGAGAGGCCAACAGCGGCGGAACGGTCGTAGCCTGTGCTTTGGTTAACGACTATTGCGAGTGCTTTGACTTTCTCTGCTGGGTCTGTGACAAGGGAGGGACGATGTAGGTGCAGAGTTGCGCTACGGTAGTCATAAGAGTGATCATGTGGGAAAGGTGAGAAGACGATGCCGTCCACTGAGCGGGGTCGGACAAAAGGAAGAGATCTTTTCAGCGCCTCAAGCCTACTTGCTTGCAACCGGGAAAGGGCAGACTGAACTCACCGATCGTACAAGACGCCGTAAGTACTTGCAAAGTCCCAGCTTGCACAGCCTCCACCAGGCTACTCTTGTAGTTCATATGCAGATAGACGACTTCTTTCATCTCTACCTCGTCCGCTTGCTCCTCATCTTCGGTAGGGGGCCGAACGGCCACGATGAGCGGAATATTCATCAGAGTGTCCCCATGCTGGAAGGCCACATGACACAAGGGTGACTCGCGCACGACGTCGAGGATGTTCTGTCTACGGTAGAAGCCGCGGTCTCGATAGTATCGAATCTTGCTCTGAGGCTCGGTTGGGCCGGTAGTGAGATTGGAAGAGGAAGCAGAGGTTTGACCCGAGGCGGAGGTGAACGTAGCAGCAGCAGTTGAGGAAGAAGAGGCAGAGGAGCCGAAGATGTTGAACATGATGTCAAGGATGGTGGTGGCCTACAGAAATTGGCCGTAGGCTGCTATCTTGAGGCTGCCGATACAGAGAGCAAGGTGTACAAGGGGTAACTTCTCCGAGTCCAACTTGTGACTCGCCCCGATCTTCCCGCTTGCCCTTTCCGCGCCTGCAATTTCCCGAGGTGCATGGTGTGCCTGCCAAGAGGCGGAGTTTCGCAGCGTTGATCTGATCTGCAGCGATAAATGGCAGGGGTACAAGGCGGGGAGGCAGGGGCCACCGGGAATTAGAGCGGGAAGTCCTGGGGGATTATCAATGGCAGCCCGATCAGACTTCACCGGTTTCATCCCTTGCTATACACTCCCCACTTCCCATTTCTCCTGTAGAGCGATTTGAGATCAAGAGCGGGGGCGCTCATTGAAAGACCTATCATCCCCGCTAGCCCAGAAGGAGCAGCGATATGGCTGCTCCGCTTATCTCTCCATCTCAAGCATCGGCTCTTCCATGGGGCGAGACCCCTTTGCCCAAAAACTATCCTGATCGTCCAAATCCCTTTAAAACGATTGGCATTCCCGATCCTTGGCGTGTGCTGGAAGACTATGGATCCAAAGTCACGAAGCGCTTCGTTGCGGAGCAGAATGCCCTCACAGCACCTCGTCTGCAACAGCACCCCTCGCGGGCTAGACTAGAGACAGCAGTGAGCCGGTCGCAGGCGTATCGAAAGATCTCTTGTCCTCAGCTGCAGGCAGATGGCTACTACTACTGGCTTCACTGGGGCGAAGAAGGAGAAAGAGGGGTGATGGTCCGCTCCAGAAATGTAGCGGAGGATTTTGGCAAGGCTCCTGGCTCCTCGCATCACAAGTTGACTGCAAGGCCTCAGCTGGTCTTTGATCCGGCGCAGGAGGGACAGCATACTTCCCTCTACGATCACAGCTTTAGTCCGTGTGGCACACGGTGGTGCGCTGTACTCCAAGACGGTGGATCGGACTGGCAGCGGCTGCATACAATAGACATGTCTTCTGGGCAGCCAGAATCGATCGGCCAAGACGTGGAGCATTCGAAGTTTACGTTCGGAGCCACTTTTCTGTCGGAAGATGAGTTCCTCTACAAACGCGCTCTGCAGACCGACTGTCCGTCCAGGCCCGGCGAAGGTGTTCCGGCCAAACCTGATGGGGACTTCGGTCTCTTTTACCATCACCTCGGCAACGAGGCTAGAGCAGACAGCGTCATCCTCGGCATCAGTGGGCGCATTGTCGGCAAGCCAGTCTTATGCCAGTCCCTTATGAACACTAATGATCGTGCCCGGCGGCGGCAATGGCTCTTTGTAGATTGGTACGCCAATACGAACCCCGAGACGGAATCCTTCTTGATTGAGCTGCCTTCCGAGAAGAAGGGCCACCTCAAGGCCGCCTCGCTGGCCACAATTGTTGAGACCGGGAAGCGCTGGCTATCGAGGGGATTTTTGGGCCTCACCACTTGTCAGTAGTTGTGGTCAGTCCAGCAATAGCGCAACATCGAATCGATGTACTGATCCGCTCCATCTCCTTCCCAACCTGCAGATATAGGAAGTTCAGATACATGTCACATCTTCCTATCCACCTGCGATGGGCACACAAAAGGCAGAATTGTGTCCGTCGACTTTGACGCCCTCGATGCTACCGCATTAGATTCACAAATACCCTATCATGAGCTTATACCGTCCACTGAGGATACCCTTCAATCTGCCAACCTGGTGGGCAGTCACGCCGGATCACAGGTACTCGTGCTTGTCTACCTGCAACACGCCTCATCTGTACTGGCTTTTCACGATGCCCGCACGGGGACCAGATTGGCTGACCTACCCGGTAACTTGATTCCTGCGTGTGCTGACATTTCTCAGATCTCTTCACGCGCGGATGCAGATGACTTCTATATTGCTATTCAGTCACTCACTGCTCCACCTCAGGTGCTGATCGGCAAGATGGACCAAGAACAGCACATCACACTAGCCACTCTGGCGGACCAAACGTCCTTTGCGGATGACTATGTCCACGTTCAGCTTCCAGAGGAGGCACTAGTCTGCACAAAGCACTTCTACAAGAGTTTCGATGGGATCCAGATCCCTCTCTTCCTCTGCCACCGCACTGATCTCGACTTGCAGACGTATCGTCATCCCACGCTTCTGCATGCCTACGGTGGCTTTGCCCAACCGCTCCTGCCCTTTTACGATCCTCTCTTCGTGACCTGGATGCTCGAATGTCGGGGCATCGTCAGCCTAGCTTGTATCAGGGGAGGGGGCGAGTACGGCAAAGCCTGGCATGAAGCGGCGCGCGGTCCCGGGCGGCGTCCGACGTCCTACAAGGATCTCTTATACGCTGCGAAGTTTCTACAAGAGGAGCTTAGTGTGACAACGCCGGCACTGACGGCGAGCTACGGAAGCTCCAACGGCGGCACTCTCGTGGCAACAACGATGAACTCCTCGCCTGAGCTCTTCGGAGCAGTGCTGTGCGACGTTGGTGTGCACGACATCTCCCGTTTCCACCTCTTTACAATGGGCCGGCTCTGGAAGGGAGAATATGGAGATCCGGATGTACCTGCGGACCTGGAGTTGATGCTGGAATGGTCGCCGCTGCATACTGTGCCCAAGCAAGGGACGGTGAGACAGCCGGCGGTACTTATTACGACGGCAGATCATGATGTGCGGGTGATTGCGGGGCACTCGCTCAAGCTCTTGGCGGAACTGCAGAGCAATAGGAGGTTGGGTGGAGAGGATGGCTTAGCGTGAGTCTGAGAGGATGCCGCCCATGCTGGACGGATGTCATGCCAAATGCTGACAAGCTGTCTCCTCCCCGCCTCTGGATCGATCGGCCCATCAATCAGGCTTGGACGTATCTACACGAATACTGGCCACGAATGTGAGCATCATTGGCGTTCACACTGCCTAGACTACCGCGATCGACTGGAGTACTCCGTACTGACCTGTAATGCTCTATCCTCCCCCAGCCGGTGCGAAGAGTCGTCACCAGATCATGGAGGAAGCCGTAGACAGGCTGGTCTTCCTCGTCTCTAGTCTACCGGGACCGTTGCCTGCTGCAGCAACTGCAAGTGCAGTCAAAGGGTGTGTGATCTGCTAGGCTATGGGTAGATGATGAGTCTCATAGTGCCTATCGTGCGATACGACAGAGCTTCTATGTAGATTGGGACTGAGGTGTGATAGAGATAGGCGACAGGCGGCCCATAATGTACGCACTGTATGTTCTTTCTATTGAGTATGATGATGATGATAATGATGATAATGATGACAATGGGGATATGATCACGATAATATGACCCACGCTCGGCTCCGTAAGACTCAGCGACATGCTCATGCACTCAGAGCCGCCTCCACCAGCTTCAAGCACCCGAGCAGCTCCTCTTCCTGCATTCTCTGTCCCACCAATTGTAGTCCCACAGGTGCATTCCTGTACCACTCTGGACTCCACTCCTTAAAGACGTGCTCCTCGATAGGATTACGAGGTGGATGCGGCGGATACCTCGTCTCTGCTTCTTCTTCGGGTGCTTCTACACCGCTGTACTTGCCAATGGGGAAGGTGACGGCGGGCCAGTCAGTGACGTTCCACATGCTCGTGTAGTTCCAGTGGCGAGACTGGTCATGGCGCGGCGCGAGCGTTGGTGCTCCGGGACAGAGGAGGACATCGAGATTGAGCTGCTCCCACTGGGCAAGGGCAGCAGTCTTGACCGTATCCCTCCGCACGTTCAGGTCCCACACTTCGCGCGGAGTGCTCAGAGTCTTGGAGGGTACACGCTCTGTAAGGAGCCACTGCAGAAGCGGGACTGCTGGCTCACCGGAGAGACGCATGTGCTCGTGGTACTCCTCGCCTCGATCTTGCAGACAAGCCGTAAAGAGGACTTCGACGGACTCTTTTGCTAGGACAGGATCCCAGGGGAGCAAGGTGTGACCTGCGGCCTTCAGGGTTCTTGTGGCCTTATTCATGGCGCGGGAGATAGGAGGATGGACAGCACAGAGGCCATCGTCGAGGATGATACCAATACGCAACTTGCGGTCGGGCGAAGGAGAAGTCAACTCTGTCTTCCAGGGCAGAGTCAAGACCTGAGGCTCCCTGCGCCAGGGCTGTCGCTCCAGTATAGCCGAGCAGAAGAGGTTGAGATCTGCGAGGCAAGTCGCAAGTGGTCCTACCACTCCGAGGATAGTGTCCATACCGCTGTGCGGTCCTCTGAGACCAGAGTGTGGCAGGCGACCAATCGTGGGGCGTAGACCATATATGCCGGACGACAGTGCCGGGATACGAATGCTGCCAGCGATGTCGGTCCCCACGCCAAGGACACTGCCACGCATTGCTATGAGAGCGCCCTCACCTCCGCTGCTCCCTCCAGGCGAGAGGGTCCGATTGTGAGGGTTGGTGGTACGCCCATAGACATTATTGTTGGTCTCAATTGACTGTGGGGCCACATCAGAAGCTTTTATCAGATCCGACTCTCCTCACATCGAGCACTGTGGTATGCTTCTACCGTCTCGTGCACTCACCAGCAAGGACTGAGGGTTCGCAGTCTTGCAATAGATGACAGCTCCTGCCTCTACCAGGCATGACACGGCGAGGGCATTTGTATCTGCCACGCAATTGCCACACCATCCCACGAACCCACTGGGTCCGTCCATACCCTTGACATCAATATGGTCCTTGACGCTGACCGGTACGCCGTGCAGAGGTCCTATGGTCTTGCCGTCGTGCTCTGCCTGGTATGTATCTAGAGAGCGAGCCTGTGCAAGACCTTCTCGAAAGCATATCTCGGTCAGACAATTCGTGGCATCCTGCGCGATGGTAGCTGCCTTGCAAAAGGCGAGTGTGACCTGGTATGAAGTGAGTCGGCGGGCGGCAATGTCGGCTGCGAGGATGTGGGCCGGCTTGCCGATGATGGCTGCCTCTTCGTCGGTGAGGAGTGATGCTGCGAGGCTTGAGAGATCAGCATCGTCTTCGATTGGACCGCTGAGAAGCTGCTGGAGGCGAGCTTCGGGCAACAGAAGTGCCTCTCTGGCCTGCTGCTTGGATGCGCCTATATGCTGCCAGGTGCCCTTGAAGCTGGAAGCTGCCTCGAGGTCATCGGCAGACGCGCCATCAGATATGGGGTTCGTGGTCACAGCAGTCGGTGCTTGAGCATCAAGAGCATCATCGAAGACCATTGTGGTGGCACGACGAGCAAGACTACTCTCCACTGAGGGAAGGAAGATATGGACTCCAGTCACGTCGGCAAGAATGGCATCTTCGGAAGTGGGGATCAGCGGAACTGAGCGGAGTTTGAGCGGAGTCCAAACGCAGATACCCCGCAGAGATCCCTCCGATTGTGCAACGAGGTCTGCCCAGGAGACCTTTGCACCTTTGGCTACAACACGACGAAGCGGCGTGGAGACTGTCATATCAAGGCTTAGTATGCAGTTGGTATCATCGTCAAGCCTTTCGCAGCTCAACCATGCTGCTCTTCCTGGGGCGCGCACGACAGTAGCGAGCTGCTCAGCCTTCCCCTCTCATGCAAGCCACCTCGAGTAGTCCCGCACTTTCCCACCTCGGTTATCTCTGTGAGGGTCTAGTGCTCAGCACTCCTCGCCAACGTTGCACCGCTGAGCAAGCTCACAGATGTTGCCTCTGTTCCCCTATCTGTCAGAATACAAGAGGTCCACTCCCGCACCGGGCAGGATCAGATGTCCCGCACTTCTCACAAACCCACACTCCCTCTCTGACATGATGCTCTGCGACAACGACGCGGCTTGGGTGAGTACCGTAGCCGGACGCGCGTGTGCTGCGTCTTCCTGGACCAATGCTGATCATAGTCCCTACGACCGCTTGTTTGGTTCTTGCACCTTACAGGGCCCAGGCAGCTCTTGCCGGTCCCTCGACTTCACCATTCACTTTGAGCAAAGGTTGAGTTGCAAAGCATGGGCAGGCGACTGTCAGCACCACGTGAAGAGAAACTGAAAACCTCATACGCTCCCATACATCCACCCCTTCCACAGTATCCTTCTCGTGCTTCCCAACGCTATCTTCATCGCTGCCGCCTTCTTGACCGTACTCTACACGATCTATGCGCGGCCTCAGAAAGCAGCTCCCTCGACTCGGGCTTCCTTGCTTTACCTCGCAAAGCAACTGCTGGCAGTAACAACTATCGTCGCAGCAATCATCTCCCTTGCAACGCTTCCCGGACCATCTGCAGCTTGGCCTAGATCCACGGTCCTCGCCAGTCGCTGTTTAACGTTGATCTCAGCTCTGTTGGCAATCCCGGTCATAGACTGCCTCCACGCTCGGGTAGACGGTGTCCCTCATCGCCCACGGACGCGGCTTATTGGGTCCTATTTCTTCCAACTACTTGGCCATGCGACCTTTTTGCGGACATCGCACATCGTGGGCATCAGACGCAGCGACTTTGTCGTCGAGATCATATTAGCGGTCTTGCTAGGCACTTCTCTCTTGCTCGAGTCGACTGGTACGCTGATCCCACTTGAGCACACAGAGGTCAGTATTGTACGATGAAAGAAAGGGGCACTAGCAGCGATTCTGACTTTCCCATCTATGTACGCCTTCTGGAACTCAGACTACCACAGCATTCAATCCTGAAGATCGCTGGGGTCTCCTGGGTACCACGTCTCTCGCTTGGATGTACCCAATGCTCATCTCTGGCATGCGGAGACCATTGGAGTGGAGCAATCTCTACCCTTTGCAAGCACATCTCGATGCTTCTAGCGCAAACGAGAAGCTCACAGCACAGTGGCAAGGGCAGAACAGTTACCCACCCCCGTCGACTGGTCCCGCTACAGTCGGTCCGGCTTTACGATTCATGGCCAAATTTGCACGAGCCTTTCCTCTGGTCTTTCTCGCACCAATTCTTCCTCGTATCATCTATCTGGTGACCGAGTTGCTGCAGCCGCTTGCCATTGACCGCATGGTTGACTTCGTCTCCGATGAAGGAAGTATTGACGCGCAACGTCCTTGGGCTCTTGTGGCAGGCGTTTCTCTCCTCTACCTGGTGCTAGCCGCTTCCAATGCGGTCTTCTACTACCATGTCAATCGCGCCGTCTTGGCCTTCAGAGCTGCCGCCGTCTCAACAATATTCCAGCGCATGATCGAAGAAGAGACCTTTGCGACGGATTCCGACAGCTCATCGGCACCCGTCTCACCAGCTACTCTGATGAGCGTGGACATCGAGAGGGTGGTGGAAGCCCTTCAGCTCGTTCATGACCTATGGGCCGCTTTCCCCACTATGGGGGTCAGTTTCTGGCTTCTCTACCAGCGAGTTGGGCTTGCCGTAGTACCATGCATAGGGACTATAGTACTGACGCTGACGACAACCTCGGTACTAGCTCGACCTATCGCTGCTCGACAGAAGCGATGGTCCGACGCTACAGCGGAGAGGGTCGACTTCACCTCGTCTTTCCTGCTGAACCTCAAGTCTATCACCCTTGGATGCTACCAATCCTACTTTCAACGGCGCTCGTCAAGCTTGCGCTCAGCAGAAACAGAGGCAGTGAAAGGCTACTACGCGCGCCTACTCCTCATTGCCACTCTTGCAATCTCAGCCTCTCTCAACACTACCTTTGTCACTTTTGCAAGTGCCTGGGCTTTGGCCAAAGCCGGCCTCATCGAGCAATTGACCACGGCCTCCATATTTTCCGCACTGGCGATTATTCAGATTATTGGCGGGCCACTTGCCTCCATCGGACAGCAGGCGCCCGTGGTCTTTGGCGCTACCTCGAGCATGGCTAGAATAGGAGAATATCTAGACCGTGGAGCAGCCCGCGAGCGTGAGAAAGCTAGGGAGCACGCTATGCCGTCCAGTGTCTCTATAATCTGCTCTGCAATCGACCAGCACGTTGGCAAGCAGTCTTCGGCATCGTCTATACGCGTTGTTCATCTAGTCGGAGGCGGAGCTACAGGCAAGACGACAGCACTCCGCTCTGTATTGCAACGCTATCGTCAGAAATTTTCGATTGCGTATGCTGCCCAACGTACTGCACTCTTCGAGTCAGCCTCCATTCGGGACAACATCAAGTTCGCCTTGTCAGCGGGTGCAGCACAAGGAGCCAATAGAAGCGATGAAGCGGACCCGCGCCTTGCTGCTTGCATCACTCTTTGTTGTCTGGATAAAGACATTCAAGGGCTAGACGAGGGGATCGATACGCCTATCTCTACCTTGAGCGGTGGACAGAAGCAAAGAGTAGCTCTGGCGCGAGCTCTTTACTCTCATGCGCCACTTCTTGTGCTTGACGACGTGGTTTCTGCTCAAGACGCTATCACCGCCGCCACAATCCTGCACAATCTTTACATCGCACCGTCGCCTATCCTGTCGGGGCGCCTGATGCTATATGCTTCCCATAGCATCAATCGATACGATGGTTCGGGGGGCACATTCCTTGCGCGGCGTGATGGCGATCAAGTCTTTACAATCGAAAGTCTGCAGCTAGACCAGATTGCAGCTATTTCTGCTGCACAGGCTCTGAGCCTCAACACGGGTAATTCTAAGGAGTCTACAGTAGGAGAATCGGATGCGCCGAGATCTAGTGCTATGGTCAACGAGGCTCCTCACTCATCGCGTCTTGGCCTGAGGCCGTATAGATTCTTTCTGACCCTGTCTCCCCGTCTCGGTGTCACAGTCTTCGTTGTAACCAGCTTGATGGCTGTTGGCTGCCATTTCGGCCTTCGATTCGTCCTTCAACAGTGGGCTAGTCTCACACCAGCAGGTAGCCTACCCCAGCCGGGGCTGTACATTCCTCTCATGGCCGCCATCCTTCTGGGGGCGAATGTCACTCTATTTGTCAGCCTTCAAGCCCATATGGTGGGCACTTCACCCACTACCGGTCTCAGGATCCACAATCGTTGCATGGCTACCGTCCTCTCCAGTGTCAAGGCTATAGAATTCTCTCCGCATCAAGTGATCAACCGCTTTGCGCGTGACTTGTTTATAGTCGACTATGAATTCCCTCTAGCTCTGCTCGACACTTTCATCAATGGTCTGGTCATCGTTGCTGAGCTGGCAACACTGGTAGCTGCTCTGCCGGTTTTCGGCGCGGTGATACCGGTCATCGTCGCAGCCGTGTATCTTGTGCAGCTATTGTACTTGGTAAGTAAGGCCCAAGGCTTGAGAGGCATAGGATATCATCGCTGACGCCGTCACCGATCGTGTCTCTGGAACATCCGCAGCGCTCATCTCGGCAGGTACGATCTATGGAACTGGAATCCCAGACGTCCCTATTTGCTCTGTTCTCCGACGTTGCCAATGTCAGGGATACGATACAGTCCCTCCACATCACCAAAAACTTTTCTCGTCGATGCCATGCCATCCTGGATCACACCCAGCAGCCCTTCTATGCTCGTCTTTCGATGTTGCGTTTTCTGAGAGTATCGCTCTTCATCCTCACCTGGCTCATCACAACCATCGTGGCCTCCCTCGCGGTACGGTTGCGTGCTTCCATCTCTCCTGCTCTACTTGGTCTGGCACTGGCCAACATCACGCAGCTTTCCGGCGACCTCAAGTACTCTGTGATGTCGTACACCAACCTCGAGACGTCTGCCGTTGCTGTCGACCGGTTGCGGAAGCTGGTCGGTGAGGCCGAGAGCCAAGGTCACGAGCAGGTTGGTGATGCCACCGACTTACTGCCCCTTATCGACCCGGGTCGGTCCGCAACGGCTTTGAAATTCTCGGACGTATCGATGCGCTACAAGTGAGTAAAGATGTTGCACAGGTAGCCTGATATCCAATGACCTACGTACTTTGGGCTAATACTTGATCTCTCTTCCTTCGATGTTCAGCTCCACGTCATCCTTGACCCTACGCGGTGTCTCCTTCTCCATTCCTCGCAACTCTCGAACAGGTATATGCGGACGCAGTGGCTCCGGAAAGTCCTCTCTGATGATGACGATGCTGCGTGGCGTCCCAGACGAGCTCTGTGGAGGTGTTCGTTCCCTGTACGGCTCTCTTGCTGACCAGACCAGCTTGGAGGGATGGCGCAGACGCTTTTCATACGTCCCGCAGGAGCCCGTTGTTTGGAAGGGAACAATTCGCAGTCTACTCACCCTGAGCGAAGATAAAGGAGAGGGTGCGATACATCCAGACGTCAACCTGTGGGAAGTTCTGGACGCGGTTGATCTAGGGGATCGGGTGCGTGCAGCCCCTGAAGGACTCGAGGCAATGTATGGTGCTTTGCAGAAGATGGAGAAGCAAGCCGAAAACAGTCAAAGGAATGCAGCAGAAAGCAGTGCCAGTGCCAGTGCCAGTGCAGCGGCTGCTACGGCGACAGCAGCCGCCGCTACCTCAAGCGGACCTACGACAGTCTACCTCTCACGTGGCGAGACTCAATTGCTGGCCTTTGCTCGAGTACTCCTCGAGCGTGACCGACCGATCCTCCTTCTCGACGAAGCCACCTCTAGCCTCGACGAAGAGGCGGAGAAGATTGTCACTGATGTGGTAATGCATCACCCTCTCTTGGCGGAACGGACCGTAGTGGCTATCTCCCACCGTATTGGTGAGTGTGGGAGAGAATAGATTCAGTTGGTATAATAAGCGACAAGGATTCTCAAGTGCTGACTTGACTGTCGCTTCTCCTTCTCCTTCTCATTCTCCTTGCTCCTATGCACCCGTCTGTGTGCCCCACCACTACCCATCTCGCGCCATGCAGCCTTCATTGCCAACTTCGACCAAATCGTCCTTCTTGATTCTGGCCGGGTGAGAGAGGCAGGGGACCCGAAGGTGTTGATGCAGCAGGACTCGGCGTTTGGTCAGTTGGCCAAGCTGCAGGAGGTGGGTAGCGAGTGAGTGATTGAGTGGACTGGCGATGCAGACCCGGTCGACTGGTGCCTACTGCAGAGAAGTACTTAGACCGATTTCTGGGGCGGTCGAACAGCAATGTTCTCGTATCATAAGCCAGAGGTAGCTATTGGGGTATACTCTTTTGCTCGATTGAAAGTTGTTGTTGATGCATTGAAAGTATAATTTGTCCCACTCAACCGGCCATGAGGTTCTTCTTGAAGAAGGCCAAATAGTCCCTTGTAGCCTTGTCGTATGCTTCTCCGATATAAATATCAAAATGTCCCATGTCTTCATAGAGCTTAACCTCACCCCTCTTTGCCTGTCTTGCATACTTCAACGTCGGTCCGATAGGGGCAACCGAGTCCTTTCCACAGATGGCAAATAGGATGGGAGTTTGGATCTGGGCGGCGGAAGCTCCTGGGCGGAGCATGGGGAGTTGTAGACAGAGTCGGGCAGGTATAGCGGTGGAGGTGAGGGTTGAAGAGGAGACGTTGCTGGGTCGGAGGGCGAGGTAGCCTGGTACCGCATCGGGAGCATTCATTAGGGCGACTGAGGATCAGAGGTATGAATACGGTGGGGGAAAGTTAGAGGGAAAGGTCAGAAGGTGCGAGGACTTGCACCTGCGCCATCATTCGAAGTCTGATTACCCACCTTCGCCTGGCTTTGCAATCAACTTGACGCGCACCGTCCCACCGACAAAGCTAGCAGCGAGATCCAGTAATCCCCAAAAGGCCAGTTGGGGGAGCACCTTCCACCCCACCGTTGCTGCGCTGGCTATACCATCCGTAAAGGGACACTGACTGACCGTCGCCTTTACCTCTTTTGGATGCTTGGAAGCAATACGAATCACATGACCTCCGCCGAAGGATGAACCCAACAATCCAATCTTGTCCGCATCGACCGAGTCGTGCTTGAGGGCATAGGAGAGGGCACTCTCCCAGTCCTCCTCCTGTCTAGCAGGACTAATAAGTCCGCGTGGCTCTCCACCGGAGGAACCCCAGTAACGGTAGTCAAAGAGGATTACCAGGAAGCCTTCGCGGGCAAAGAAGGTGGCATAGGCGTCGAGACGGAAGGTGCGGAGTCCGCCTAGGCCGTGCCCGAGGAGGAGGGTAGGATGGCGAGCTTGGGTGGAGGAGAGGGGGAGGTAGAGCCAGGCGGAGAGTGACTGGCCGGGCGTGTGCGATGGGATGGAGATGTCCTGCCTTGTAAAGGGAAGTGAAGAGGACGACATGATGGGCAGCTGAGACGACCAAGGGACAAGCTCGATGGGATAGGTTCGTAAGAAACGCAGCAACGATGTGTGAAGGTGGGGGTGTCTGGTACGCTCCTGGGCCGTGCGCTGAGTCCACCCTCGGAACGGAACATCGCTCAGTGGCCTCTTGGGCCGAGGATTCACATGCCTCACCCACCACCAGCCAAGGCCATCTCACGCCCACGCCCACGCCCACGCCTACGCCACGGGAGCGGAGCGGAAGGTTTCGACGCCCACTTCTGCCCTGACAATCCCGGGCCCGCTGAGCCAAGCCACCCAGCCCGGCCAGACGCCTACGTTTCCTTTCCGTTCTTCGGCGAATCCGGTAAAGTTGCAAAGGTGACTGAGGGGAGTAGTGAGTGCCGTGCATGCGTCTGCCTGCGTGCGGGTGATTGCTTCCTCGTCCCGGAACTGTGAATCAAGACAAGTGGTAGAATGGATTAGATACAAAGCCCTTCTGCCTCTTCCTTCCACATAGAATCTCCTTGCCTCATCAATAAACGCTCCGTACCCCACCTTAGAGAGATAGATTGATAGATTACTTAGATAAGACCTCACAAGTCTACCCACACCTCGTCCTTGCACGTCTAGAATCCCCACACACATCAATCCTACCCAGAGCCTAACTACAAGCAGCCATGTCGGTACAAGAGAATCATCAACTGTCGGGAGACTTTGACAAGGTCAGAGACGATATCATGGCCATCCTCAAGATGAAGGACTACGATGATGGAAGCATCGGACCCGTCCTGGTCAGATTGGCGTGGCACTCTAGGTGAGTCAGCAGAGGTGGCAAAGCTGCGCGAAGCTCAAGTGCTGCGCTTGAGGTCGATCATGGCGCTGACTGTTGCATGCATGCTCTCTCACTTCACAGCGGCACCTACTGCAAGGAGACGGACACCGGTGGCAGCAATGGAGCAGGTATGAGGTACGAGTCGGAAGGAGGTGACCCCGCCAGTGAGTAGATAAGAGCTCTCCTCTTCGCAGAGCAACTGACAGCTGACCCTGTGCGCCACTCCTGCCCTACCTCCCCTAGACGCTGGTCTGCAACACGCCCGTACTTTTCTAGAGCCCATCAAGGAGAAGCACCCCTGGATCACCTACGCAGATCTCTGGACCCTCGCCGGCTGTGTAGCCATCAAGGCCATGGGCGGTCCAGATGTACCCTGGAAGGCCGGCCGCTCCGACTTTGCCGACGAGTCTCTCAACCCACCTCGTGGTCGTTTGCCAGACGGAGCCCAGGCGGCTGACCATCTCAGACACATCTTCTACAGGATGGGATTCAATGATCAGGAGATTGTGGCGCTGAGTGGAGCTCATAATTTGGGAAGGTGCCACACGGATCGCTCTGGATTCGACGGAGCTTGGGTGGTCCAGCCTACTCGGTTTTCCAATCAGGTGAGTGGCGAAAGGAGTCATGCAGACAGATCTTCCATTGGAGAGCAACAGGCTGACCACTGTTTGGCCCTCCCTTCCCTCTGCAGTACTACAAGCTGCTGATGAAGCTCGACTGGCAGAAGAAGAAGCTGTCCAACGAGTCTGCCGAAAAGGGAGCTTCGTGGCAGTGGGTTGCTCAGGCTCCTGGTGCGGATGAAGATGAACCTCCCTTGATGATGTTGCCTACAGACCACAGCTTGATCGAGGACGACAGCTTCCGGCCTTGGGTGGAGAAGTACGCCGAGGACAGAGGTGAGTGGGGAATCTAATCAGTACAAGTGCGTAAAAGGGGGACAAATAGCTGATGCTTTGGACCATTCCTCCACTCCCTCAGACGCCTTCTTCAAGGACTTTTCCGCCGTCTTTGCCAAGCTAGTCGAGCTAGGCGTGTACAGAGGCGAGGATGGAATTGCCCGCTTCAGCCATCTTGAAAAGGGCAAGTATGACTCGGCTCCCAAGAAGAGCGATTCGCCTGGCGCCAAGGGATCGGGTGATGGATTGGCTGAGCCTGCTGCCAAGGAGAATGAAAAGGGTATTCCCCAGGCAAGGGCCAAGTTGTAGATGAAGGATAGAGTGCAGCTCGTTACTAGATTAGATTTGAGATTAGATGGGTATGCGTAGGATAGAATTGCTACCCGTAGATCTAGAATGCTTCTTCCTAGATGGTTACTAGTATAGATGGACTGTCCACCCCCACTAGAAAACTCGATATTCCTGATTTCACTTCTTGAATCGACCATATTATAGATTATCTAGCTCTCCACCCCTCACCTCTGCTCACTCCACCATTGCCGGCGGCATGCTCAATGCTGCTGCCTTTTCCGGAGCGGAACGAGGTCGTGGCCAAAGGCATGCACCCTGCTGCGTGTGGCGTGGTGCCTGAGTGGGGAGAGGGGCGGGGTAAATAGTCCAACATCTGCCAAGAGCGCAGCGCAGCCTGGGCGGGGCAATGGAGCCTGCGAGCGAGGGAGCAGCGCGTCGGATCTGCGAGGGCCGGGGCGGTGAGGAGCGTCTGTTGCTACCACGAGGTCAGGACTGCCCAACGTCTTTATCCCTCTTTCCTCCTTGTGTCCCTCCCTCATCTCCTCCTCTCCTCCTCTCCTCCTCTGTGGCATTCTCTGGCTGCTCCCTCTTTCCTTCCTCCGCCCACCATGACTCGCTCCTCGTCACCCACTTTCGTCATCACCCTCATCTCACTCGTCGTCCTCCTCCTCTTTGTCAACTCGCTTCCTTTGGCCAATGCAGCCGATAGCTGTTCCGCCTCTTCACCCTGCTCTTCTTCCTCCTCGCCATGCTGCTCCCATTCGGGCTTCTGCGGTAGCGGTACTCTCTTTTGTGGGGGTGGCTGTAGTCCCTTGGCGTCCAAGACTGCCACGGACTGTATGCCCATGCCCGTGTGTATAGACCGCAACGTGACTCTTACGCCGAGCGATTACAACGACACGTCCCTCTTTGTACCCGTGCTACAATATGCGGGAAACGCCAGCCAGGGTCTCTTCACCCTTGATGCTGGATCTCTCGCAGCGGGACCAGAAGGGGTAATGATGCAGATGACTGAGAATTCATTGGTGAAGCTGTCCACCACGGCCTATATCCTCTATGGAGAGATGGAAGTGACGTGTAGACATACGGCCTATCAAGGCGTAGTCGCGACCATGATCACCATGAGTGACGTGTTAGATGAAATCGACTGGGAGTTTACCACGTCCAACTCTTCTGACGCACAAACCAATTGGTTCCCACAAGGACGCATTGTTTCGGGTTCTGGAAAAGACAGCCAGCCCACTTCGGGCACACTCGATGTCAGCGAGTGGGTCACCTACGGTATCAATTGGCAGCCCGACCGTCTACAGTGGCTCATCAATGGAGCCGTAGTACGTACGCTCAAACGAACCGACTACAGTTACCCTAGCACGCCTACTAGGTTGCAATTGTCTGTCTGGGCTGGAGGCAACTCGACGAATGCTCAGGGAGTCATCGATTGGTCCGGAGGACCCATCAGCTACACAAACTCGCAATACACCACAAATGGATACTATGGCATGGAAATCTCTTCCGTGTCGATCAAATGCGCAGATACATCCATTGCCAACGTGTCCACCATTGGTAAAGGCAGCAATGGCCCCACCTCGTGGACCTACACGGGCGTCAACGACAGCTCTACAAACTATGTCCCTGCCTTTGTACTCAACACCGACCCCATCAGTCTGACCGACGATCCCTCCGCGGGTGGTTCAGCCGGCGTTCCAGGGTACAAGGACCAAAATACTGCTCTCCCCGCTGGCGGGTGGGACGGCAGTGGCGATACTGGTGTGCGTGCCACCACATCTTCCTCGTCCTCTTCCTCCAATGCAAAGAAGTACGGCATCCCCATTGCCGCGGCAGTGGTAGGACTTATTCTCCTCTGGGGAGCCATAGTAGCCATTGTCCGCAGAAGAAGGAGGTACAATCGTCGACCCAAGAAGTCCACCCCGCTTGGGGGGATTGGGCCAAACTCTTATAGCAACATCCCTGGCGAGGAGGATGGGAAGGTGGGTGGAGCTAGCTTTGGAAGCAAATACATCCCCTTGCGGGAGGATATGCCAGCATCGACTGCTCGAAGGAGAGCTAGTGCTGGTGGTGGTGGGCATGGGCATGGACAAGAGTCGAGTGAAAAGATTGGAAGCGACTACCCGGCTGCGCCGCCTGCTCTGCCCATGGGAGCTGAGATGCGTGGATCGGGTATTGGGCCTGCGAGTGGGCCCACGCCCTCCAACAATAGGAGAGGTGGAGGTGCACAGTATACACAGCTCAACTCGGTGGCTCCGGGTGGGGGTTATGGGTATGGACAGCAACAGCAGCAGCAGGCTGGTAGAGGGGGCGCGGCGTACGGGGAGAGGCGCTCCCCCCTCCCTCAACCACAAGCGCCCCTGCGCCAGCAACAGCAACAGCAACAGACGCCGCACGTCGCCTATGATAGCCCACAATACTTTGATTCACCAGTACGAGTTGCCTCACCCGCTGGGAACGCGTCGTACTACTCTCCTTACCCTCAGCAAGGAGCGCAAGGAGCCCAAGGGGGACAGCAGCAGAGGAGTCCCTGGCAACCGCAACAGCAACAGCAACAGCAACAGCAACAGCAACAGCAACAGCAGCAACGAACTCCCACCACTGGTGCTTCTCCCTACCCTAGGAGTATGGCAACACCGGCAGCGCAGAGCCACTCTCACTCTCACTCGGCATGGCAGAGTCCTGCACCTTCTCATGCACCGTCGCCGTACCAACAGCAATACCAGCGGCCCAGCCAGAGCCAGAGCCAGGGTCAGCAGCAGCAGCAACAATTTGGTCAACCATTTGATTATGGATACCAGGGGCAGGGGCAGGGGCAGAATGCCAGCCATGGAGGAGGAGGAGGAGGAGGAGGAGGGGGGCGCTATGGCTACATGTGAGCCCTTTGATCTATCCTCTCCTGAGCATTTGGCTCGCCTGGAGGCAGGATCTTCTCAATGAGGTCGATGCGCTGCGCCTATGCCTGTGCCTATGCCTATGCACGTAATACCCCGTTTGCGATGCGATGCGATACCCCGACGAAGAGACGGAGAGCCATTCAGTGCGGACACTTTTTCATTTATCTTATAACTTACCTACTTGCGTCTTCCTCTCCCTCTCCCTTCGTCTTCGTCTTTTGTCTTTTGTCTTTTGTCCTTTATCTCACATCTCCTCCTCCTCTTCTTCCACCCTCAACTCTCCTCTCTCTGTAAACTTCTTTCCTTGGAACCTGTACTTATAAATTCCAACTTCTATTAGGGGATCCGCGAGACAATGTTACACTGTATTGCATTGCTTTTTTTTTTCTACTAATAGCGCACCCTTGAGCTATAAAGTGTAATGTACTCCTTTTGAGGTGCACTCCCCTTTTTTCCCTTTTCCTCACCCTTTCCCCCCTTCCCCTGTGCACCCACAAGCACAGGCACGGGCACCTCGACTCTCTTCGCTCTAGCAAACCTCAGCAATAGCGCCTCTCTCCTCTTGGCATCCACGGCGAGATCTTCAATGAAGGGTGCCAGGTCCTGCAAAGTCCAGCTGGGGCGAGCGGTAAAGAGGGCTTGGAAGCGTGGGGCTGGAGCGACGGGGAGGGCGGAGCGGGGGAAGTGCTCGATTCGGCGCGGCGTCGCCGTCGCCGTGCTTGAAGAGCCAGTGGGGAGGGGTGGAGCAGGGTGAAGTAGGTAGAGGGAGTCGAGGAGCGGGAGGGAGGCATATGACTGGAAGGAGTCCCCTAGCTGCTTGGACCAGGTGGACATGAGCGTCGAGAGGAGCATGGGTTGGGAAGCCTCCCGGAGCAACTGCTCCCCGATGAAGCGAGCGAGCTTCGTACCGTCTAGTGCTACTCGAGTTGTTGAGCCTTCTTTGACGACTACTTCGCCCCCGCTCCCATTCCCACTCCCGTTAATGGTCTGCTTTTGCTGCCCAAACCAACGACAGAGGATGGCCTCTGCGACTTCTTCCCGTACTTGGTGGTCCTCGCGCAGGGCGTTCATGGCGTCTTGTAAGGGCACATCGTTTGGTAGGTAGGCGTTGGAGTCGATGATGAGGAGCAGGGAGAGGAGCAGAGAATGCAAGTAGGCTGGGGAGAGGAGACGCATTTGTCCTGGTAGGAGAGGAAGTGCACACAGAGAGACCAAACTGATGAGATTAGACGGCAATTCTGCGCAGCAGCTTCTTGTTTGCTCGACACTCACCATCGAGGAGCACGACATGATGCTCGTCATACCCGCGCTGCACCTCTGCATCGCTAGCCTGCACAACAGATCGTACCTCCTGGGGCGTGTATCGTCTCTGTCCTTTCTGTGAGCCGAGAAAGGGCCCAACCAAAAGGTCGGAAAGCAATCAGCAAGACATCTCACATGGCTGTCGGAATGGGGCCGAACTCACCTTGCGCTTCTCCTCTACTTCACCCTCATACATGCTTCCCTGCAAGAGCTCCACAATCCGCTCCAAGCGGGGCACAACAGGTACCAGCTCGAGCATCTGGCTTACATTACTCTTGAGGCACAGCCGTGGGCCTTTCTCCCCCTGTCCTTCTCCTTCTCCTTTACTCTCCGTGAATGATCCTGAGCTATGTTGTGGAGCAACTAGGGAACAAAGGAGGAGAGAATTACTCTGTGTAATCTCTCGTAGGGCATACGTCTTGTCTGCTGTGCAGAGGACTGCCTCATCTCCATGGCGACCATTGATGACCAGACTGGCCGAGCAGGCATGGCAGTAGAGGAAGAAGAGTCAACAAGACTATCAGATAGCAGTCTGGACCAACTCAGCCTGTCACGAGAGAACTCACTGCTCCCTCTCCTCACGCTCCACCCCCAGGCGTTTTCTCTTCCTTCCCCTGCCCTCAATTCCTTCCACCGATTGCCCCTCTACGGCCCTACTCTCCCTCTGCTTCAATTGTGCCTCCTCGACTAATCTGCACACCTCATCCGGCAACTCTAGTAGACGGTAGGCTACCTCGCCTTCTTCTTCTTCCTCTTCCTCTTCCTCTTCATCCTCCTCGTTGTCCCGAGATTGTGACTGTTGCCCATCGAGAGGGAGCTTTGAGGAGCGCGGAGGGGCACTTGTGACCAGTGGGATGGAAGAAGGACCTGCGTCCGAGGTGGAAGAAGCGGTTGGAAGTCTCGACATCTTGCACTGACTGACTGACTGACTGACTGCTCCCTCGAGGTTCTTAGTGGTGGTATGGTACGGCGTGAAAGGGAGGTGAGAAACGTCTGATGAGTCTTCAAGTTCAAGTCTTGCGTCCCGTTTGAAGCGCGTCGCGCCTCGCCTCGAATGAGTCGAGCCTCGAAAAGTGACACTTCCTGCCGCTCGGGCCAGGCGGATTTTTTTGGGTCCAGGGACGAGGATGGGAGCCTGTACGAAGCGTGGATTGGATGAGATATGGGCATTTACATAAATAGGGAGAATGCAAAAGGAGAGAAGGACATGTTGCGTGCGAGCGCGAGTGGGAAAATAGAGCAGCGACAGAACTTGTATCCAGATAAGAGAAAGGGAGCATGTACGATACAGAACACGACCACAAAAGCAACGGACGGCCCACGCGGCCTGACAAAGGGGGCAGGACTATGCAGCATTCCCGCTACCTAGGGCAAGTCCATCGTCATCGTCATCCCCTCCTCCCCCTTTTCCACCAACAACAAAGGCCCCTACAACCGGCAATTTAGCAATCTCCAAATCGCCCAATCCACTATTCCAAATCCCCACTCTAGAGCTTCCTTCGATTCCTGCCTCTACTCCTTTATCCCCCGCCGTAATGAGTTTCCAGGTAAATGCACGAAACTCTTTTCCTCGACCGGGCAAGACGGTAAAGGGTACATCGACGAGTTTGCTCTTGAGGAGTTTCTTGGGTGGGCTGTCCGAAGACCAGAAGGTGGTGGCGTTGGCAAAGGTGTGTGGACGGACACGGCCAAAGGCGCCCGAGGGGAGGGGAGAGGGGAGAGGAGGGATAGAAGGGTCGTCGTCTTCTTCGTCCTTGTCGAAGAAGAGAGATGAGAGCGGGGAGCCCCTGGTGGTCTTAGTCGCCGTGCCCGCGACAATACCATCGTCGTCGTCATCATCATCACCTCCATCATCGGGAATCCCTCCATGGCCTCCGTCTCCCTCGCCAGGCTTCTTCATCGACGGTGGCTTCCCGTCAAAGACGAGAATATCAGGCCACAACCTCCTCACTTCTACATCCACTGCTGCCAGCTCTCCAGGGAGGGCAATCTCGCCCATGATGGTGCCGCTAAAGAGGAGCTTCTCCTGACTAAAAGGGTGAGGCTTGATCTGCAAATCGGAGATCGTCACATTCTTGATCAGGTCAGTCACCTTGGATCCAGGAAAGGAGATGGGAACATCCAGGATGGTGAGGGCAGATGTGAGCCAGCTAGGTAGGTGACGAGATCCAGCGCCCGGCAAATTCCAGTCGTTCGTCTCTGGTGGGAAAGGAGATCCACCTCGAACGTAGACGGTGTTGTCGTCTCCACGCAGGAAGCGAGACAGGAAGTTGCCCAAGGCTGCCTCTTGTGGAGAGGCCTGAGCGTGCACTTGCGAGCTGGATGCAGACATGACTTTCTGGTGTGAGCCAGACTGCTGCGCCGACGACGGCGAGGATAGTGCTTCTGGCGCCGGAGGAGGTACAACTCTGCCGGTCACAATGATGGGGATCTTATCCTGACCCTCAAGCTGGAATGGCTCACTAGCCACGGCTGCAAGCAGGACCGTCTCTGGCTTGTCGGCCTTGGCGGTCAAGTTGGCTCCCTCTGGCACAGGCAGGTAGATGCCAAAAGGAAGGCTGTATTCTACGCTACCTCGCAGCAGCTCTCCCAGGGGGTTCAGAGCCTCGGCGTATGCCTTGATGCCCAGCGCCTTGGTTCCCTGCGTGGACTGATCATCTCCACTGCTGGACGCGAAGCCACTGTTGATCTCGGAAAAGTCGTACCTGGTGAGGTTGAGCACCGCATCAGTCGAGTTGCCAGGCTCGATCTTGGGAATCCGCTGCAGCACCCTCTTGACGATGTTCTTCTGTCCTAGCGAGATCATTCCTGGCACACGTGAGCCTTTGCCTGCAGGCCTACCCTCCATCTCAGCCTGGGTGATTCCCTTGACGGAGAGAGAGTCGACCTTGATGTCCAGGGTGGCGTTGCCTTGCTTGGCTGCTCGCTCGCCCAGCGTAACCAGGTAAGGGGCGGGCGCAACTGGCTTGAAGAGGAGAGTAAGATTGAGAGGACGCATCGTGAGACGTGCTCTGTGTGTCGAGTTGGGCCCGCCGAGGATGGGACCCTCCGCCTCCGAGGAATGCAGTAGACCAGGGAAGGGGACGTACAGCGGGTCCAGGTGGAAGGTGAGGAGGCTGCGAGGAGGAGCAGAGGCGCTGACACTTCGAGGCGACAGAGCCTTCACTGCTCCCGACCTGCCATCTTTGGCTTGGTCCGGGATCAGATCCAGCTCTTGCTCCTCAATGTCCAGTGACCAGTCAGGCTCAGCAATGGTCAGCTGCCCCAGCTCCACCTTGACACCTCCCACCTTTCCCAAGGCCCACTCTACGAGATCTCGGTCTTTCCTCTTCCACCAGCCTTCTACCTTCCTCTTGCCCAGCCAAATGTCCAAGGCCCTGTCAGGATCTAGACCGAGACGTCCGTCCACTCTGACTTGAATGCCGTCATCGGAGATGTTCAGAAGGCGAACCGAGTCGGGCCCCTCGAGGACGAGTGCCTCGTCCAGGATCCTTGCTTGCGCCTCTTCGGAGGGTGATTTGAGGGTAGATAAGGAGATGTGGGCTACTTCGATTCCGATGAGGAGGAGAATGAGAACGAGGAGTCCCAGAAGTGTGAAGAGGACTGCTCGCACGATAGGGTTGCGCAGCGTACGCTTCACTTCTGCCCACCAGGGATGAGCATCAGACGGTGTGGTGCTGCTAGACGAGACCGTTGCACCGCCACTGGCTGTACGTGCATCATTTCTCCTCTGCTTGCCCTTCCTTGTTGCGCTGGTACTGCCAAATCTCGCAGCCAGTTCGGTACGATAGACGTCGCAGGTGGCCTTTACTGTCTCCCAGGCTCGGGCGACAGGCGAGGTAGGTTCTGTGCGACTGTCATTGTGTGCTCTTTGCGATCGATTCGAGGCGAGAAGTCCCTCTGTCTCTTCATCGGCGTCCTCTGCGTCGTCTCGATATTGGTCGCTGGCATCTCGGATGGGAGCTGGGGTGGGTTGTGTCTCGGCAGTATTGGCCGAGGATGGCACCCGCTTGACAGCAGGCGCAGAAGCCATGAGTGGCGTCTGAGGGAAGTGTGAGGGGGTTTGCTTGGCCCTGTGTATCTAAGGTAGAGGATTTGTATCGTGTATTGTAGAGGAGACAGAGGGAAGTTGGAGTGGTGGGAAGTGTTTCGAGGGAGTGAGATAGACCTGATCTGTGGGGGAGGGGGGGTGACGCTGTGCCTGGGCCGTGTGGGTGTGGTGCTGCAGGTGTGCGGTCAGTGTGCGTGTGAGCCTTGTGGCTCAGCCCCGCCACTCGCGCCTGCAGCAGTGGGACCAACTGGGCCTACTTCCGCACCTTTGTACCGCTCAGGAAAGAGGTGCATCGAAGCATCCTCTATCAATGCAAGGGTGTGATGAATTTGGATCAGATCAATGTGAGCATCAGACGAGTGGATTAGGGGCTCAATCACGGTCGACGACGCTGATCTTCACGGCACCTCTGTTGACCTCCCCTCCAGCGGGACTCGGACCCTCACAATGTCCAGTACCTCCTCTCCGTGCTGCGAGAGTCCACGGGAGGAGGAGGAGGAGGAGGAGGAGGAGGAGGAGGAGGAGGGGAGGAATCAACCACCAGCACTCACGTTAATTCAATGAGCGCAGCACCCCCCGCCTCTTCTTCCTCTGCAACCCCGTATCTTCCTTCTTCACACGTAGAATCCTCCGCATCAGCTCGGTCTGGAGACCCTAGGAAACGGCGGCCCGTAGGGGTAGCGTCGGAGAATGCCCGTGGGATGGAGCAACGAGGAGCACAGGCGAGCACCAGCACCTCTTCACTACGAGGTCCGCCTTCTCCAATTTCCACTCCAAGGACAAGCGCAAGTGCTGCTGCCGCCCTTCCTATCGGGCATTCTCCCCAATCACAGCCACGCTCCATCCTCAAAGGCTCTGCAGCCCCTCTTGCACCTCCCCCATCAGCAGCAGCAACAGCAGCCTCAGCCTCGACCTCAACTTCAAGCCCGCCCTCGGAAGACCTCTCCCACCTCTCCTCAACATCTCCGCAGACCCTTCCACACCTAAAGCGTCTAGCCTCCTCGGCCCTATTCCTACGCGCACTCATGACGCTCAAGCGGGAGCAAGACGAGTTGGAGCGGGCGCTGCAGAGAGAGTGGGGGAGGTTGGAGGAGAGATACAAGATGGGTGCAGATGGTGTGGGCGTGGGCGTGGGCGCGGGAGGCGGAGGCGGAGGCAAGGGAGCAGGAGCAGGAGCAGGAGCAGGAGCAGGAGGAACGGCGGCATTAGAGAGGGAAAAGGAGAGGTGGAAAGAAAGGGCACTCCAGCGGTGGGATTGCGTAGCCGAGAGGCAGCAGGTGCGATTAAAGGAGGTGAGTCACTAGCTGCGGGACACCTCTCCGAAGTATCACAGTCAGTCACTAGAGCACACACTGAACCTGCGTTACACCATCCATCCACCCTTCCCTCCCGTACCGCTCAGCTCAATACGCCCGGCTTTTACCCTACAAAGTCCCCAGCGGCGAGGGCTAAACAGCGCAAGATCCTCGATTTGATCAGTGGGCTCATCGAGAGCGGATAGCTCAATTCAGACCTCCCATCGCAAAAGCAGCTGCTTGCACAAACACCACACACGTTTCAATCAGTATACCCTCACCTTTACATTTGCAAAGCCCCGTCCCGTCGCATATCACAATGAAGTATTTTCAGAATGCGCTTAGATTGGAAGACGGAGGATGTACAGAGTGGTAAAAGCAGCTCCAGTGAGCCGATTTCTACCGCGTGTGTATCTGAGCATTTATCTGTCCACCTCTCCGAACACAAGGTCCATAGTACCTATTGTGAGGCAAGCGCAGAGAGAGAGGCGGGCGTCAGTGAGATGCTCCAATAACATCTGTCCTTCTATTGAATCTTTTCTAAACTCACCAATCACAGCCACAACGTCGGGCAGGAATGCTCCCCTCATCATAAAGTCAGCTCCGGCTAGATGAGCAAATCCAGGTGCGCGAATCTTACACCTGTACGGTCTATTGCTTCCATCTGAAACGAGGTAGACTCCCATTTCACCCTTTGGTGCTTCAATAGCCGAGTACGTCTCTCCAGGTGGAACGTGGTATCCCTCGGAGAAGAGCTTAAAGTGGTGAATGAGGGACTCCATCGACTCCTTCATGTTGGCGCGGGGAGGTGGGACAATCTTGTGGTCATCGACCTTGATTTGACCAGCAGGCATCTTGTTGAGACACTGCTCGATGATGCGGAGTGATTGACGGAATTCCTCTACTCGGCAGAGGTAGCGGTCGTAGCAGTCTCCATTCTTACCAACGGGCACGTCGAACTCGACTTGGTCGTAGGCATCGTAAGGAGCGACCTTTCGGATATCCCAAGGCACACCACTACCCCTCAGCATGACTCCACTGAATCCATAGTTCAAAGCCTCCTCTGCCGTCACCTTTCCAATGCCAATGGTCCTTCCCTTCCAGATACGGTTTCCAGTGACGACTTCCTCGATTTCATCCACTCGAGAGGCGAATTGAGTAGCCCACTTGTGAATATCGTCCAGCAGTCCGTGGGGGAGATCAAAGGCCACACCACCTGGACGGACGTAGGCTGCGTGAAGACGGGCACCTGATACACGCTCGTAGAACTCCATGAGCTTCTCACGCTCCTCAAAGGCCCACAGGAAGGGTGTCAAACCTCCAACGTCCATCACCTGTTAAAGTACAGCGAAAGATGCGGGGTCAGTGAACCGACCTGGGCTCCTTCGGAATCCAGCACATCTCCCTTCTACGCCGCTACTCACGTGGGACAGGACGGCCATACAGTGGTTCAAGATCCTAGTAATCTCTCCAAACATGGTACGAATCCACTTTGCCCTCTCGGGCACCTCAATGTTCAACAACTTCTCCACAGCTCGCGAGTAGCAAAGCTCATTGGTCATCATCGATACATAGTCCAATCGATCAAAGTAAGGAAGTGCCTGTGTATAGTTCTTGTACTCGATGAGCTTTTCCGTTCCACGGTGTAGCAGACCTACATGAGGATCGGCACGGAGTACCTCTTCACCATTGAGCTCTAGGATAAGACGCAATACTCCATGAGCAGCGGGATGTTGAGGACCAAAGTTGACTGTGAAGTGACGCAGGGAGGCTTCCTTTCGAGAGCCACTCTCCTGAAGAATCTCATGAGCAGTCTTTTCGTGAAGTTCCTCAACTGTGTGAGCCTTGGTGGCTGGGGAGATAGGAACGGCCTTGATGTCTGGACGATTACCACCGCCAGTTGCATCGGTGTTCCAGCGATTGGGGTCTGCCTCTGTGGCTAGGGAACGACGAGAGGCGAGGAGAGAGGAAGGACCGGCAGAGGCGCTGATGCCGCCAGTAGGGCGCAAGGCAGCCAAACAGGGCTTACGGAGAGCCGTTCGGAAGGACATGGTGGCGATGGTAGATGGAGAGGAGGTGGGCGATGAAGACAGGAGACGAGATCGAGCGCCTGCTTATGCTTCGCAAAGAGGACGCGAGGTGGCGATGGCAATGGCGATGGCGATGACGATAGGCAGGGCGTGGTAGAAGGAGATGATCGCCAGTCCTCGCACCCGCCCGCCCGTCGTCCTTCGGGAAGCCAGACTGGGCGGGCGGCCGAGGGGCAGCAAGCGGGGGGCTGATCAATCCCGAGCCCCGCGCGCGATCGCTGACCAAAGGGCGCCACACACACACACACCCGCACATGAGGCGTACGCACGCATGACATGCACAGCACCATCTTGATTTGGCGTGGTATGAAGCACGAAACAAAGATCAGAGGCGACCGCGTCGAGGCAAACCAGTGATTGACGGCCAGAGATGCTACAGGTGTTCACTCCTGCTATCACCTTTTTCAGCTCATTCCCATCAGTCTACCCCTCAGCGTGATCTGCGTTTCTCCCGCCTCGATCAATCCCAGCTCACCTCTCCGACTCTGATCATCCTCCGCCTCCCTCATGACCCGATTCGCCTCAAAAGGTCTCACACTCTCATCTCGTGTACCTACAGTCACATGAGGTCTCCAGTCTCCCTCCCCGGCACCACCCTTTCCACCTTGTAATTTCCAAAACTCCTCCGAGGCAAGGTGCTTCGAGGCTGGCTGCGTAGGGTGGACATTGGAGATGCTAAAGGCCATGACTAGCTCATCGAAGACCAGATGACCCAGAGTGATGTCAAAGTCAACTGGCTCGTTGAGACGACTGAGGGCAGAGTAGCGGTCCCATTTGCTCTTTGCAGTGCTGCGCTCAGCGCGCTTAGAATCGTCTAATTGCGCCTCTTCCTCTGGGCTCAGAGCTCGAAGGGCGGAAGAGTGGACAAGGGTAATGTGAGGTCGTAACACCACCCTGTCTGAGTCCCTGAGGAAGGCAAACATGTCGCGTGCCCTCTGCAGCACTTCCGTAGAAGTACGTTGTGCTGCCAACTTTAAGAATTTGCCCATCACCGACCTCAGATCGAGCTCGACGGCGATACCGTAGTATCTCGGGCCTGCACGCGCTGTATCTTGTCCTTTCTTCACATTGACAGCAGCCGGCTCTTCCACTTTCTTGACAGATACACGGTACCCAGCCGCAGCCGCAAGTGCTGCACGAACCTGTTCATCGCTGGGTTGCTTGAGATCCTTCTCAATGCCAGCAACAGCGGCTCGCCTCAACTCTTGGCAGACTTTCGTCAACTGCTCCTCCTGGCTGCTCTCGACCTGCAGCGTGATCGTTTCGTCAAAGTTGGCGTCACCCATGCCCTTGTCGCCTTCTCCCTTCCCCTCTGCGCTGTTCAATGTCTCAAGTGACTGAAGGAAGCGCCAGAGGATCGTTTCATGAGACCTTGAGCCTGTAGCGGATTTTGTGTCGGCAATCAGAGACTGATGGTTGTCTCCTCTAGCGAGGATACGGTCTGACATGAGCCGATGGAGCGTATTCAGAGGGAGCATATCGAGCGACCACGCCATAGCTACGATCTTGACTCGAGGCTTTTCGGAAGCCTTTCCCTCCTCAAGGCTGCCACTGTCTTGCGCATTCTGGACGCCTGCCTGCTTGCTGGATTTACCTGCATTTGCCTTCTTTTGAGCTCGGTGCTGCTCCTCGGTGAGACCGCCTCGGTTTTCCCATTCTTTGATCGCTTCGACGATCTCATCTCGATGCTTCAAGAGGTGATTGTTCCTGTCCGCCAGCACCACCCTGTGTTTGCTCAGCTCATTGCAGATATTCTTGAGGAAAGTGGGGGCAGTTTTCTTCGACTTGACATCGTCTGATTGGGTATGTCCTACAACCTGAGGGTATAGATGGCTGAGTGAAAGGAACAGAGAGGTTTTGCCGCATCCCGGGATGGCAATAGGAACGATGAGCAGATGGGTATAAGGTCGGGTAGAGCGATCATCTTCAGCCGCAGGTTGTTCGGACTGGCTAGTGGTTCCTGTCAGAATTCCTTGTCCTTCGAGCTTAGCAGCCACAGCTCCACGGGGTCCTCCCAGACCCGCGATCTTCTTTATGCCTTCTTCGGTCTTCAAGTAAGCCAGAAACATGTCTCTAAGTCGAATGATACCTTTGCCCACATTGATGCCTTCGAAGATGGCTGGATTAGGTTTGACCTTGCCGTCTTCTGAGCCGTAGATCCTGTCGTGACACCACTGGATGAACAGGCGAGTCTCTGGACGGTTGGATCTTGCCTTGGGCGGGGCTGGCAAGGGAGCTGCGCCTCTGGCCGCTGCCTGCCTCTGACTCTCATCGTTTCGACGTGCCTTCTGCTCTCTCTTGAGTTGACTCTTGCTTTTCTTCTCGCTTGATTCGTTCGAAGAATCTTGCAGCTTGACAGCTTCGGTCTTTGTAGCCAATTGTGATAACTCCCCTGCCTGACCACTACTTGTAGACGCATGGGTGGCGTTTTCCCACTTCTTCTTATCGGTCAGCATCTTCTTGGTCAATTCTCTCCAATCCCGATACATCAGGTAGGGCTCGTCGAATTTGACCTTATAGAACCAAGCCTGGCCAGGTATGTATGGGGGAGACGCCGCTCCTTCCACTTGACCTTGTGGGGTATCTTTGGGCATGCTTGTTCTGACTACAAAGCCTTCAATTGCTTCGCCTTGCCATTCCCCAGTCGTGCCCACCCGATCCGTGAATTGTTTGACTTCGTCCATCGAGTCTAGACTAATGTAACGAGTGGGAATAAATCCCCAGGATGTGGCAAAGGCACAGACGTCCTCCATTGGTCGGGTCTGGAAGGCCACGGTATTGCTATTGAGGCCATGGAGATGCAGACCGGACTTTTCTGGAGGATAGGCCAGGACGTGCTCTTCGAAGGAGTCATCGCACAGCTGTGTAGTGATTAGGAGAGGGTAAGCTCGACATCTTCAGGGCTTCCTACTTCGCTTCGCCAACTCACCTCTGCTACTGCAGTCTCACCCCTCGACCACAGCTGTTCGGCTAGCTCGTGCTTGCTCCTTCCAACCCGCGCGAGATGCCTTTCCAGCCACTCCTCTCCCTTTGCAGCATGTGACGTCTTTGTCGAGCTGGAGCTGCCACCTTGCTCTCCTCCAATCTCATCTGCCTCTTCCGCGGCCGCCACAGTATCTGCTTGCTGCTTATGTCCGTTCTGCTGCTCCTGCAATTGGCGAGCCTGCTGGCTATCGAGGGAGTGCTTGGATGTGACGATGAGCTGAGTCGGGGAGAGGGCAGAAATGAAGATGATGCAGCCGTTCTCCTTGAATGTCAGGAGGTAAGGTGGGGCAGAGTATCGCTCTATTGATGCTGGCTGTAACGTTGGGGAAAAAGAGAGGGGGTCTATCTGCGTCAGCCCCAGCCGTACCTGGATACTCTCTGGAGAGGTACGTCTGCTCTAGCTTCACGCACCTTTGTCCAGCTGATCTCTCCCACATTGAAGAATTTGTCGTACCCTCTGACCACTATCCGATCCCCTTGCCTTCCACTAGCCTCGCTAGATGCTTCTTGTGTAGCATGCTGGGCACCATCTTTGACTGTGAAGAGTCCTCGGGCCAGTGTGGGTAGATCCTTGCCTATGCCCACCTCGGCGGCTTTGCGATAGGCAAATTCCACAGTCTTCCATGAAGTCACCTCGTACACGTCATCCGAAGAAGACGCAGAGTGTGCTGCCTGTGGTGCCCCAGGTGCCGATTGTCTTGGAACACGATGAAGCGTGCTCTTGATCAGTGGCTTTGGATTGGCGTCAGATTTCTCGGCGGAGGAGTGGAGGGAGGCCAGTAGGGCAGACGTCTGAGGGTCCACTGATGGTGCCGACGATGACGAGGGCCCAGCAGCAGCTGACATTGTGGGGCGATCTGACCAGCACAGCACGACGTATGTGAAGGAGATGGCGCTGTGGGGCTCGAGGTGGACGATGAGAAGAAGTGAAAGCAATGCTTCCAAGGGTCCTTTTGACTCGCCAGACCAACACGGCCAGAAATTGCCAATTGCTTCCGTCGATCGGAGATTCAGGCAAAACAAAAAAGGACGGCGACAGTTGCCTTTGGCTCAGACTCAGACTCAGGCACGCACCCAGGCACGCACCCACACCCAGCCATCACCCTCACACACACGTCCCCCCCCTTCCGCCCGAGAAGCACACAAGCCTCAGGGCCCGCCGCTGCTACCGTACGCGTCTGACTTGACCCCCCTGATTCACCACACCATAGACGACAACACCTGAGCCACACCGTATCACAACCTCGAACCCCTCCGTGGCTGCCTCCTCCTTCACTCGCGCCCGCATTGGCGCTTCTCTCCAGCATTCCCTTCCTCCATACCCGCCTGCACCCCGCCCTCGCGAGCTGCGTCGCCCACGATTCCTACCATTCCTTCGGTCCTCGCGACCGGCAGGCGCCGACAGCAATCTCACCTCCTCCCACCCACCAGCTCGGGAGGACCAGTCGAGCAGATTGCCAGTGATCACGTCGGCGCAAAGTTCCCAAACCTCTCTTCGCCTAGAAGGAGATTCTTTGGCGGTGGAGGACTCTCGCCTTCTTCCCCCCTCGCATCCTCGTCGCCCACCTTTGCGCCATCGACAGATGACAGCAATGCAGTCTCACCCATACTACTAGGCGCTCCTGGAGGCTTCCCGTCCACGGGCAGCGTACCGTTGTCACAGACTACCCTACACAACGTCCCAGAGCTAAAGATGAGCGGCAAACCCCTGCCCAAGCTTACCCCTCGCAAAGCTCCGCCCACACTGGGGGTGGAAGGAGTAAATGGGGCAATACGCGATGCTCCATTGTCCACCTCCCTCATCAATCAACAGTCGCAGTCCTCGCGGTCTCCGAACCTCTCCCAGCAGCACGACCCATCGATAGGATCATCCTCTTCTGTAGTACGCCCACCGCCCAGCTCCACGAATCCGGTCTCATCCTCTCCTCTTGAGCAAGAGAATGAGGAGCCTTTTGCCCCACCTAGCGTGCCTGTTAAGCCCTACCCACCTCGTCTCACGCTACGGCCAAGAGGACCCTCCTCTTCCAGGGGCGACGGGCAGGGCCTTGGCTTGACCGAAGCATCGCATCCCCTCAGCCCCTTCAGTTTCTCCTTCGATGCCGCAGATGCCACTTCCACCTCGCTCTCATCGGCCACTTCTTCTTCTCCGGCCCGAGGCAAGCCAGGCTCTGCAAAGAAGAAGCCCACAGCTGCTCCCTCCTCAAATCCCTCCACGGACTTCACACTCTCGGATCCTCAATTCTTCCCACGGAAATATCACAAGAATCAAAAGTCGGGTGCATCCTCTCGACCTGAAAGTCAGTACTCCACGTATACTGCCTCGTCCGCAAAGGATGCCATGATTCGTACAGCTAGCAGGGAGAAGTTGCAGAAGGGTAGCGCCAAGCTCAGAGAAAGACTGGCACGTGGGGCATCTCATGACGAAGAGCATGACGGTCAAGATGGGTGGGAGGAAGGAGAGGGGATGAGCCACAACGGAGGTTCCTCTTCCGGGTCAGAGTACGACCCAGATGAGTATGGCGATCAAGGGCCCGGGAACTCTCCGTCTAGCCACCGTTCGGCTCGGAATGGGCAAGCCGCCCAGCTCCCTCTACCAAGACGGACGGGCTCGTCTACAGCCGGCGGAGTGACACAATCTTTATCGCCCACGTCACCCCTGCGAAACAAAGGAGCGAGCGCACACGATTCGCCTTCTCGGAGGCTGCCTCCCAATCGCGACCCCTCGACCTCTGGTATGGCACGCTCCGCAACGGCTTCCCATGGATTCGGACATAAGAATCGGTTATCAGGGTCCAGCAAAGCCAACTCGGTCCTGTCGATACGGATACCTGCTCAACGCCCTCCCCTTGCACGGACAATATCGGGCGCTCACTCTGTTGCTGGTCGGCGTTCGCTCTCTACCTCCAATTCTGTCTTCACGGTGGAGGATCTACCTGTGCCGGAGACCTACCTGCCAGGCCAATGGGCAGAGAGCCCTTCACCATACAGCAGGAATGAGCCGCCCTACGAGGGCGACGTGAGAGATCGGGACCAAGAGGAGGATGCCAACCTTATGAAGCTGGCAGCGTTCTCATTTCCCCATGCTGCCCTCGAATCTTCGACCCTGGACGACTCATTACAGTCGTACCAGTCCTCGGCCGGAATCGCTTCGACGTCATCGACGTCAGGAATGACGGGCCAGTCGTCTCGTAGGTTGAGGTGGAAAGAGGCAATCGCGTACGCTCAGCAGAAGGAGAGGGAGGCAGCATCTACTAACAGTGCATCCCACTCCAAGGTGATCTCCGTCACCGAGGTAGCAGACGATGGCTTGGGACTGCCGAGTCCAAACTATCTCACTAGAGAGGGAAGTCAGTCGAGGGCCTCAGTAGCTTCTCGTCAGCGCAGTGTGGTAGGCGGACATTCCAATCAGGCGTCCATCGATCGCATCCTTACCACCCTCCAGGCCTCTGCACCGGCCGCCGCTTCGGTGCCGTTCAGCAAAGACTCTTTCCTTTCGAATCTCCTCTCTTCGCAAGCAACAGCAGAGGTCTCTGCCACCTTCCCCTCGCAGTCGGTCTTTGAGTCAGTCGAAGACTTTGAAAGTGCGAAGAAGGAGCTGGCGCGTTTGCAGAATCGACTCGTCGACAAGAAGAATAAATTGAGGACGATGAGGCGGTTGCGAGGTGCTAGAGGCAAGCTTGTGAAAGCAGCTTCGTCCGAGCGAGGGGGTGGACCCTTGTCCACCTCTGGTAGTCAAGAGTCGGGTCTGATCATTCCAGGGCGGGCCAGATCCAACACCATCAGCCCAGTAGCAGCAACAAGTGCTTCCCAAGGCCTTTCAGCCGCCTCTCTAGCCGGTGGACTCTACCCTCTCGTACCCCCAACCCCACGCTTTAGCCACGCGCACAATCTCTCCCACTCATCAAACAACTCTGCAACGTCCATCCAACCCTATTCTCTCTCGGCCGTAGGCACCAGCAATGAGGCTCTGGATGCCGCGACGGCCCAGGTGGATCAGATTATGGAGGAGGTCCTGTCGCTGCAGGAGCGTGTGGGGGCGCTTAAGAGTCGCATTAGGGAACATATTGCGATTGTGCTACTGAAGAGGTGTGAGGAGTTGGAGAGAGGTGGGAGGATGAGAGAGGTCGTCTTTTTGAGGGAAGATCAGAGAGGAGAACTCGCTGAGGGGGATGATGAGCGGTATGCCTCTGACGAGGAAGGACTGGGAGAGGAGGACGGGCGGGGACTTAGTCACAAGCAGACCGACCTGCGCTACCAAGGTCCACTCCTCGACGACAAGGAGCTCTTTGCGCTCCGTTCACAGGTCGAAGAGCTGTCTGCAGTCAAGGAGCGCGAGGCTCACGCCTTGCAAGAGATCCAGATTCTGCGCAGCCAACTCGATGTCTTCGCATCCCAATCCGAAGAGCTCACCTCGGTCCGGGAAAGGGAAGCTCGCTCACTGCAAGAAGTGGAGCGTCTGCGAAGTGATCTAGTTCTCATCAAGTCCGCGCCCAGATCCGAAGGTCCGTCCTCGATGCAGACGAAGGATGCTAGCGATTCGCTCCAGAGGGAGATGGAGGAGCTGCGCGCCCAGCTGGACCTGACGAAGTTGGAGTACGAGGAGCGCTGCGCGGGTCAGGATTCCAACCTGAAGCGGGTCAGAGACGAGCTTACCTCTGCTCAGGGTACAGCCGCTGCAGCTGAGGAGAAAATGAGGGAAGCGCAGATGCACCATACTGAGTTGGACGGGCAGCACCAGACGCTCCGCATGCAGCATGCGGATCTGGTGAGCCGTCACGAGCATCTCGAGAGCCAGCAAAAGGACATGATCTCCGCACGCGAAGTCGGACAGAACGAAAGCGCTGAGAGGTCTGCAGCTGATAAGAAGAGAGACGCAGAATATCAGCAGCGCGAGCAGGATCTAGTGTCTCGTCATGCAGCTGCTCTCTCCGAGGTGCGGCAAGCTCTCGAGCATCATCAGGCAGAGGCGCAAGCAGCACGAGGAGAGCTCTCGGCTACACAGTCGCGAGCGGAAGCATATGACTCTGAGCTAGCTAGCGCTCGTGCCAAGATTGCGCAACTCGAGGAGGATGTCAGAGCTCGTGATTCATCTGCTGAGCAAGATATGCAGAAGCTGAGAGCCGAGCTGGACAAGGCTAGATCAGACGCCGAGGCTATGCAGGCGGAGATCGCTAGCCTTCACTTCGAGCTCGACTCCTCGAAGAGGACGCAGATCGACTTGTCGACACGAGTGTCTACCCTACAAGGCGAGGTAGACGGCCATAACGCCAGGTCTGCCTCTCAAGAACAAGCAGTCCGCGATGCCGTTGCCCAGCACGACTCGCTCGAGCTGGCGGTCACTGCCGAGCGGCGGATCATGGCCGAGCGCGATGCTCTCTTCCATGCCTTTGAAGCGCGCCTGGAACGTGCAGAAGCCGTGCTCCGAGAACAGGACAAGAGATGTGCGGCCCTTTTGGGTAAAGCCGAGGGTAGGGAAGAGCTAGACGACTTCTTGGCCAAGATTCGAGGCGGAGGCATCAAGAAGGCCGACAAGACTGCCGGACAGGATATTGATGCTCTCCTCGAGTCTCTGGGAGTGCACGTAGAGGATCTGGCTGATGAGCTCGATCGGCGCGGGAGGGGACGATCTGGCAGTATGTTCAGTCTCTCGAACACTGAAGACCTCATGGGTAGGCCACGCTCCGTTGGCCAAGGTGCTGGTGGTACAAGTCCTCGAGACGATGAGCAAGCTGCTGCGGCAATTGCGGAGCTGGAGGACAAATTGGAAGAGTCGCAGTACGAGGTCATTCAGCTGCGTGGAGAGCTGCAGTCCAGCCGTATTCAGCTCGAGGCGATGAGCAACTCGATCAAAATTCCGCAGGAAGACGATGCTGCAGAGCGCGAGAAGGACTCCCGACTGGTAGAGCTGCAGAGGGAGCTTGGTAATTTGCGGGACGAATTAGCGAGGGTCAAGAGCGAAGCAGCGGCAGCGGCAGCGGTGGAGATCAAGCGGGCTAAGTCTCCGGTTGGGACCGAGAGCGGGGAGGACGAGCATTCCTCCTTGGTCAAGGTCGCCGGCTCAGACCACGAAGGGGATGGCGCCAAGACTTTGCCAAAGCACCAGACTTGGGGTCCTGCGCCACCGGCTGGACTCATCCGAGATCTCTTTGCCGCGTTGCAAGACGTTCTACCCGCCTCTTTGGACGCTACTGTGGCCAAGGGGAATGATATGAAGGCTCTTCAAAATGCCCTCGAGGCACCGACGACGCCTCAATCCAAGACTGTGGTCTCACCGAGCAGAACCCTGCACCGCACAAGAGCCCCGCTCGAGAAGAATACTTCCCCAGCCAGCCCAATGACGCGACCTGGCTTCGGCGCAACCAAAGGTGGCAGCGTACGTGATCTGGTGCGGAACTTTTCAGGGGGAACAGGCCCGATGACCCCTCCTGCCATCACCCCTTCCGCATCGGCCAAGAGCTTCAATAGCGGGACGACTGCATCTCCCTCGTCTACTTCCGGTGTGGCAGCAGACGATGCAAGCCTGAGCATCATCGTTGATCGAGCTCGCTTGACGTTGATGGCGGCTAAGGTCGCGACGCAGAAGGCGATTTCGACCGAAGTCACAAGGGAGGAGTTGCAGGTTCAGCTGGACCAGGCTCGCAATAAGAGTGAGGAGTACCGGCAGGCAATCGAGCAGCTCAAATCGCGCTCTGTGCAAGATCAATCGAGAGGGGAGATAGTAGCTCTAACTACCTTGGCTCCTCCTGGGGACACTTCTTCTCCGCAGGTCAGCACCACGTCCTGCAGAGGAGGAGGAGCGGACCCTCTCCCTCATCTACGCACCTCGGGTCTGAAGCTCGAGCCTCTACCCTCTCGAAGCGTCGATAGCGTCCTGGACCCGTTTAATGACAGCAGCACAGCCAGCTTCCCTAGTGCCACGAGCGGCAACGGTAGTGGCAGTGGAGCCTCGACGCCCTTTGGAGCAGCCCTCTCCACGGCTCCTTCTTCGGCCACTAGGCGCACAAGCAGTACAGTGGCGCGGAGCAGACTCAAACCTCTCAATTCGGCTGCCTTCCTGAGCAACAGCAATACAGGTGCTGGGATGGGGTATGCTGCTAGAGATTCGTCACAGCCGGGCTCGAGCGTGACCAGTCCAACACGCTCCTTCAAGCCCCTACCCACTACCCCTGGCGAAGGGCCTATGCCAACTACGCCTACATTTGGCTTCGGTCTCGGGCTGGGCTATCCGTCTTCTGCGCCGAGTGATCCAACGCAAATGCGTCGTAGCGTCTCGGCGCGTCCTGCCGTGTCCGGCCCGGGCTCGCAATACAGCAGTCGAAGCTTCGACAAGCCCTTTGGCAGTAGCAGTGGCAGCGGTGCAGCAGCAGTAGCCAGCCCAAGTGCGGCCCCAACCTCGGCAATCCCACAGCGCTCCATCACTCTTGGTCTCTCCACCTCTCAACTCGTGTCCCGCATCCGCATCCTCGAGACCTCCCTCGCCGCTTCTCACTCCTCGGCCCTCTCAACTCCTCACTCGGCACAATGGTCCATGGAACAAGTGTCACGATTGGAAAAGAGTCTAGAGGCGAAAGAGGAGGAAGTGAGGAACTTAAAGGATGAAGTGGGAAGGGTGAGGGAGGAGGAAGGAGTGCAGAAGGCACGATTGATGGAGGAGCTCAACAATCTTCAGGAGGAGATGGCTAGGCAGAGCAAGAGCCATAGTACTGCTGCTGCTGCTGCTGCTGTTTCGGCGCCGACTGCCAGTGCGAGTACGAAGGAGAGTGCAATGCCGACGGCTGGCACTACGCTCCTCAAGGCTCCCTCGCCCCTGATGCTCGCATCGCAATCTGTGCGTTCCACAAGTCCCTTTGCCGCCTGGATTGGCGGCGGCAGCGGCAGCGGCGGCGGCGGTGGCAGCAGTGGAGGCGCAGGTGCTGGTGTGTAAAAGGAGAGCGAAGTGAAGGCTCGATCACCCCCAATTGGGAGACACAGCGTCTCTCGTCCCTCTCTATGGCTCGCAATCCTTCTCTTTGCTCCAGTCTTCC